ATCTTGAAGAATAAAACATCTACCAGAGCATTTTCCAAGTTATTCATTCCATTGTTCTTAACTGCTCCGGAGACTTTACCGATCCTCAGCGACTTTTGTCTTTGTTAAAAACGAATGCCGTTGTGTTTGGCGACTCTGTTCTGTTACATACTAATAAACAAATACAATTATGATGTAGGCCAGAAAAATGAGCTTCCCCTCCTTGAAAGACCAGCAGCCGCCACTGCTATCTATTATATATCTTACCTTGAGGAAGGTAAAGACTTTTCTAAAGAACATGGATCACCCACTTCACAACACCTTAATGGACCAAAGGGCCAATGGTGGTGGACGGCTCCTCTCTTTTCTATGCAGGACAGAAAGATTCAGAAGATCTTTTGTACCCACAGCCATCAATCTTCTTCTCCTATTCTGTAAATAGTAGATGACTTTTTGACCCATGATAACTAAGACTACAGACAATTGAATTCCTCTTTGGGGATAAAATAAAGTTGTTCTTATTCTTAAACTCTGTACAGAAAACACAAAACCCTCTATATTACAATAATCCTGGACTGGATTATGCTGAAACAGCAATCATGCTTATTTTGATTGGTATAATGATCATAATCATTACACACAATGACTAAATTACCTACTCCTGCCTGGCCACCTCTTTCCACTCACACTTGCTTTACAAAACGAGTTGATTAATACAGCATTAGTGGAACCACTTGTGGCCCCAACCCGACTGCCGCACACAATTTAAAGATATGACAAAACAACTGGAAAAAATAAAAGACGGGGAAAACCAACAGTTTAGTGCCGCCTGAGGTGCAAATATACTTTGTCTTCCTGCCAACTCTGAATACAAAATCAATGTGCCTCATTTGTAATGAATGCACTGCAGTAAGTAAAGAATTAAGCATTCTGGGGCATAACTTTAAAAAAAACCTGGCTCATTTTCCAAAAGGATACAAGAGAGGGCAGCCAAAGTACAGCAGTATTTCTCACATGTATCTGAAAAGCCCCCAAAGTACATTTGCCGAACATTTAGACAATATTCTTTGTTTCATTCTCATTTGTTTACAATCACCATCTTTGCCTGTGAAAATAGTGTGCACTCACTCTGCACCCCTCGCATATGTCCAGGATTAGAATCAGTAATCTCCTCTGTTAATTCTCATTACACAGATTGACAGCAGAGTGATATCTAATGTGAAATATGAACCCGTCTCTTGCTGCCATTGGTGTTATTTTGTCATGTCTTAGTTTTGCTGTATCATTGACAACCTTGGATTTTTAAAAATTTATCAGCAAAAGTAACAAGATGAGGTTATTATTTTTGAATGCTGTAGAAAGGTACAATTGGGAGCAAATAACATAACCAGACCCAATGAAAAGAAACAAAGCTATTAAATGGCATAAAGCAGCATGCTTTCCTGGAAATAAAGTAATACTTTAAAAACAAATAACTGATCAACATACGTGCTTGTGCAATTTTACTATATTTATCCATGTAAGGTAATGGAGAAGCCCCTGTGTAGAGCTTTGTCAAGGAGCTTAGTGCCTGCCTCAGCTCCATCTCTTTGCCTGTTTCTGGATTGACTCTCATCATTTCTCATGTGGCCATTGCTATTGTTGGACCTCATAAATTGATTTGGTCACTGAGACCAGTCCAGTCTGCACCCATCAACATAAAATCCAACACTGCTCTGTGAAGTTCGACAAATACAGGATGCTGACTGGAGGAACAAGTTCATGTCATAAAATCAATTCCAGGGTTTTCTCTGAGTTCGATGTAATATAATCTAAAATGATCAACACAACAGTTCTGGATCTCGTTTTAAGAGCGGGGAACTGGTGCAAAAATAAGTGAATCAAGTGTGCCTTGTTATTTCTGTTCATTTAATCAGCATGTAATATCTCGTGCTGCTCGTCTCATTTTCAGATTGTAGCTGCAGGTTGTGAATATTAACAAGGCTGACAGTAAAATCTGCAGTGATTCTGCCTCCCTGCTGAGAGGAGATCATCGGAGAGCTTTAGTTATTTATAACTTTAGTTACTTGAAAATGTCACCGTAAAAACTAATGAGGTTTGATTAAGGATTCAAAACTCTGTACTGGATTCACTTTTGATATTTATTATTGAACTCAACCAGACTTCAAAATGACCGCTGATTTCAACCTGCAGTCACAAGCTCTCCCTTTCGAAGGCTGTGCTGATTTATTTATGACAAGCATCAGAACGAGGACATTGCATCGTTTTTGGAGCCGTGTGCAGGGCAGTCGTGTTGAACATGACCGTTATTTAACCCCGCCAATATCAGCCACTCATTCTGCCTCGTCTTTGTTCAGCCAATCCCGGCGGGCTTTAAGGGGGAAGTTAGTGCGGTCAGTGGATAAATGTGATGCACCAATTCCAGAAAAACACACAAAAGCAAGGCATTGTGGGTCCTCAAACGCCTACTATGGTGGATTTACGTACTGTCAAAGCTACGCTGGTTAATTCTGATTTTAATACACAAAATTTAACTGACACGCCATGCGGCTCAGCTCCATCCCACCTCTGTTTGCTTGCACGGATTGAGAGCCGCGTTGCGTGTCTGGAAATTAGGACAATGCGAACACAGCCATTAAGGAGGCTCTGAACATCTGTTGCAAATTTGAATCGAGGGAACTCAGACGTGTGAAAATAATTCAGTGTGCGAGACAAAGTTATATCAAATCCAACGTCCTGTCAGACCGCATCACATCAGGTAGTCGGGAGCATTTTTATGTGAGTCCCACTGCTTCACTAATATCTCTGCTTACCCCACATTCACACAGCAGGGGTTATAAGGCCATACAACCATTATCCATTGTCTGTACCGTCCTTTAACTGCAGGGGAGGCACGACTTCACAGACTCGCATGCACTCACACTTCTTGTTTTGCAATATAAAGACAGTAAGGTGGTGTTATATACTCTGCTGCTAATATATGACCCCTTACAAAGAAATCCCGCCATGATCGGCTCTTACATTCCTCTTGTTTATGTCTTTATGTCTCTGTTGTAGTTTGTATACATCATCATCATTTTCAGGGACATTTATTTTTCAATTGTCTGTTATGTTTTATTGTCTACTCCTGTCACCTGGAGTAATTACTTTTATGGTTGTTCTCTCATATCTTCCCTGTGGTTTTATCCAAGGAGCTATCGTAATGAAATATAAAGGCACCCTTGTCAAAACAAATGGGTTCAATTAACACTGAATTAAATTACCGCATAAAAAAATAAATGTTATTGCTGTCATGTCCGCAAACACTTTTAATTTTTTTGATTTGTTAATCTCATTAAATGGAGCAAAAGTGAAACCATGATTGGGTTAAGAGGAGTGATGCTGCAGACTGAATGTGAAAAGTGTAGAGCTTTCACTAATTTCAACATTTCATCATTCTGACCACCAAGTGAACGGGTTTGTTTGTCTGCTTAATGAATATCTATTACAGTTTGTTGCCAATTGCAGAGGCTTTTACTTCATGAAGGCTGAATTTTATTTGGTCCCATCCTCACGTAGGTAAAGGATTCATGGCCTGTATCAGTGAAGGTGCTTCTTGGTCACTTTGCTCTGCTTGCAAGTGACAGAAAATGTCATGAAAAGCTGTTATGTGGTCAGCATACAAACATAGTAACCTTTAAGAAGCCTTTATGAGGATAAAATTGGATATAAGTCATGGCATGAGAGGCCTGCACCGCAGGAATAGGAACACAGAAGGACCCTGAAACCTAATTGTTCAGTGGAAACTGGGAAAGGGCTGTTTCATTAATGAAATTAAATTAAATTTAATTAATTAATGAATTAAACCAGGAAAGCCTCACTGAGATTAAAAATCTATTTTAAAAGAGTTCAAAGACAGCAGCAGTACATTCCAACCAAGATGAACAATCACACAGTTCAAAAACATTTTTTCGGTAACATGTTCTGGATCATATGACAAAAATCATCACTTAAAGCATCTGCAGCCTGATGCTCCAGGACCTTGAATCTGCTTTTACAGAGACCAAATCTCTTAGATCCAAATTCTGCTTCAAGAAGCAGGACCAGAGGAGCTAAAGCTTTTCTACCCATTCTTCTTGGGACAGACAGCAAAAGACAGTCCTGATCCTGGGTCACAAAGCAAAAACTTTTTCATATTGATAACATTACATACAAATAAAAAGGAGCAAGTTAAGAATCACCTTGTAAAAAAGGACATGCAGTGATTTTGTCCCTAGGTTGACAAAGCAGGCTAGCCGACTTTGTCATAAAGAGAACAGTGATGAGTGAGAGGCTTCAGCTTTGTAATGATTGACATAATGTTGACATAAATTGTAAACAAAAGAGGTCCTAAAACAGAGCCTTGAGGCACACCATTTATCGATGCAACAGGTCTAGAGGCGTCTTCTGACTGCACACACTGTGATCTGTTGGATAAATAGGCAGATGGATTGTTCCGATAGTCTGATACTAAATAGTCTCCATTTCCTGATAACATGACTTTTGTCTTTTTTTCCTAAAACCTGATTTATGTACGGATAACATATTATTATCTGTTAGGAGCTCTTTGATTTGGTCCCTTGTTAAAGATTCCAGGACCTTCACTAAAACAGCGAGTTTAGAAATAGCCCTAGAGTTATTAAAAAGGGAAGGGTCTCTTCTTGTTCATAGAGGGAGAGAAAAGGCAGATTTTCACACATAGGGTATTTTATTAGAAGCTAAAGACATTAAAAATGTACGACAGAAGGAGCGGCAATAAAATCAGCAGCTAGTTTTAAGAAATATGGTTCCAAATTATCAGGACCTGCCGGCTTACTGGTGTTTAAAAGTCTGAGGGATTTGTGCACCTCAGAGACAGTTACTGGCCTGAAACTTAATGAATGAAAAGGGGGTTTCAATTTATCAAACAGGGACCCAGAAGAAATAATCTTCATTGAATAAATTATGTGTAAAAAGATCATGCAAAGAACCAGAGAGTTCATATCAAGTTTTCAACTGCACATGGTTTGGTTTTAGGGATCATGCCATTTCTAACTGTGGCAATAGCACAGTGATCACTCATGTCATTCATAAAAAAGGGATACGGGAGAAAATCTAAGGGAATAATGACTTTTCAGGACATTTCAGATTGGGCCAAGTTGGCTTATTTACAGTCTGGAAGAGATTCAAAGAGTCACATTGTGCATTGAAGTCATCAGCCACTAGACCCTGCCAATTCCAATTAAAATCCCCCATCAGAACAATTTCATTATCATTTAATGCTCATAAGAAGGAAGTGCATCTTTAATTGCTGAGGGTGTCCTATAGCAGCCCCCTCCATGCTGGCAAGGCTGCTGGCTCTGATGGTGTCAGCCCCAGAACGCCCCACAGCTCTGTGGACTGATTCACTTTGTCTTCACCATGAGGATCCCATTGCTGTGGAAGATGTCCTGCTTTGTCCCAGTGCCGAACAAGCCACGTCCCAACAGCTCCAGGGACTGTAGACCAGTGGTGTTGATATCTCACATTACGAAGACCCTGAAGAGACTCATCCTGGAACTCTACCTGCTAACCCTAATGCTGATGGAGGCTCTTCACATGTTTTGGATCGTTGACTGGCAGACCACAGTTTGTATGCTAACAACATTGTGTGTCAGACAGAGTGGTAAGCAACGCCGGGGCCCTTCAGAAGTTGTCTGATGACTCTGTAGTAGTTATATACATCGGGAAGGGTGATAGTGCAAGAACGTCCTGTCAGAGTCTACAAAACAACTACATTATTAGAAGAGTCCACAACAAGATGTCTCTGGTTATTTTCATGCTGTTCCTTGAAAATATTGCGAGTGAACACACAGGGCTTGATCGGCAGAGAGTATACCTTCCCCAGTGCACTCTTCTAACTTACAGGTTAATAGTAGCCAGTAGAAGCAGGCCACTCTAAGGTGAGGAAGCCAAAAACCCAACAGCAGGTAGGCAATAGGAAACGGGCCACAGACAGGCAGCCAGATCCAGCAGCAGGCAGTGGGACACAGGCTGCCAGTGGGGAGGATCACCATCAAAGCATAGACAGCAATGGATGGAGAATCAGGCACGCCAGAAGGAAATCAGCAAGCAGACAACCAGGTGAGCAGGGAGTGTGATTACAAACAGGTGGCTCACAGTGTCTCAGATGACAAGCCAGACCTGGTTTTTGTGTTCAATACCTGCAGAATTATATCAAAAAAACAAACTTGGATCTTATCATTGCCATTCCTCTTCTTGTTGGAGTGGTTTGTTTGAATATGACATGACAGGCTCTGTCTCTATTTCACCATATTACTGAATATACTCAGACTCACATTAACTGGTATGATTATAGCAAAATTCTTCGTGACAGAGATTCAATGGTTGCTGTCCGGCACTAACTGTGACTAAAGTGATGTTGTCAAGGACCATGGATTAACCTCCCATGAAGCTTCTGTCAACAACCATTTGCCCATCAATGTATGGTGTGTTACACCCCTCCTCGCTGTGCGCTGATTGGATCAAACCACAGAGAGAGTAAGGGACCATGAACAGCAGCGTTTGATAACCTTACTTATAGATGAAAAGCTCTGTAATACAAACTCACAACATAAATATGAGAAAGGAGAACTTATTTCCCTTCTTTTGATGAAATGAAAAAAACCTGTTTACATTTAAGGCTCCACTGAGTCTCTCTGAGCACAGGAAGCCTGACTGAGCCAGATGGCTCTGCTGGCTGCAGGAAATGTAGGGTCTGGAGTCTGGGTATGTGGAAGGGTTCTTGGGAGCTCTTCTCAATGAGACTTACACTTCAGGATTGAGAAACTTCCAGCTCTATTAGGCCTTGAAACTATGATACACTTGATGGACTGTCCGTTCCAAGTTTCAGCCCAAACTAATCAAACTGGAGACAGACAGTTACAGATACAGGGGTGAGAAATTCCATTTGTATGTGAATCGATGTGTGAGTGTGTTTCACTTTTAGATAACCTTTCTCTAGCCAGCTTTTTCTTATCGTAACTAAATGTGATTTCACACCTGAGCTGTTAGATGAGATCTATAATTAATAATTAGATGTTACTGCTGTGGCACTTTGAAGCTTTATAGTGTATCCTGCTGAAAGTATTTCATCATGATGATCTGTATCATTTTGAAAATGTGTCCCCACTGCTACGATTTTAAAAAGTCAGAGTTAAAGGAAGAGTAGGTAGGATTCCGTTAATTTTTTATGGTGTATATACAAAAAAGCTTTTAATATCAGTCAATAGCTCTTACTTATTGATGACATTTGGGAATATCGTGATATCGCTGTTTTGTTATGTCTGTGTAGTCAACATTTTAAATTTTTTGAGCGGTCCACTCTTTCTGACTGTAAACAAAGCCATTCTCCACCTCCCCTAACCTGATTGGTTGTAAGGCGAATGCTGCTCCTCAGTGCTGATTGGTTGTGAGGCAGACGCTGCTCCCTCATGTTGTGAGGCAGGCTCCACATCCTCCAATAACATGCACAAGCCCAAACAAAGTTAGTGTGCAATAATATCGGACAGTAGAAACCAACCAGAAGCATCTTTGGCCACGACTGCCAACACAAGCAAGAAAACGAAGTAAATGCCTGAGACTCTGCTGGAATAACGGGCGCTTAAAAAGGAGGTAGACCACTCGGACAAGAACTAAAAAGCCGGATCAACATCAGTGAACACTTTGGGATCTTACGGACTCTGTACAGACCCTGCGGTTTACCTGCTGGACAGGTAAACCACTTTGTCAAGCCAAGTGTCTGTAACAGAAGTGCTTCTTGTCAAACAAGACCTGCTGCATGTTGTAGCGCTACTAAACTGTTTACCTCGGGTCCTGGGGCCTATTCTACGATGCAGGATTACTGCCTAGCAAGGTAACTTCGAGGGTAAGCTCAGGGCTTGCTTCGTAGAATAGGCCCCTGGACTTTGTCACTTTATCCTAGTTGTAGAAGTTCTGCAAACATTGTGTTTGCTGGTAGTCTGTTGGCACCAATGCATTTTACTTTCACATCGACTGGGCCCCATTTTTAATAATCTGAAGTATTTATCTGCATTATATCTGAATTTCATTGAAACGATACAAGCGAGCAGGAGCGTTTGTTTGTGGGCGGGGCTTGCTGGAGCAGAGAGGGAGGGGAGAGGAGGAGCTGAGGGGAAAGCTTGTTGGGAGGGGTAGTGTTTACATTCAAGATTTCTCCCAAAAACTGGCATTTTCTCAGATCCTGCCTACCCCACCTTTAGACCTTGGTGTTTATTGTTTATTGCGGATCCCCATTAGTCCTCACTACTGTGAAGACTATTCTTCCTGGGGTCCAAACATTCACACATGTTTACATGGACAGTCATGCTAACCTTTGATCTTAGATATGCCAATCGGTCAACTTAGTACCATGTCTACCATTCATCATAATCAAAAGGACCGGGACAGTCCTCTTTATTAAGGACAAAAAAACCAGAACCAACCTGGTGATGAGAAGATGGAGGCTGGTGTTCTTTGTTGACACACACATCAGGTGGGAAGGCGCCAACATGAACAAAGATGTACAACTCCAGCGCCAGTGCGGGAAATCTGAAACAATACAAATTATCATCAGTTTGAGATTATTACACAGAGAACAGGTCAACATGAATTTATAGTTTGATGGATTTAACTTTGAAATGAAATAAACACCATGTTCTCCATCACAGTATTTTTTTTCTACATGACGTGTCATTCTTAGTCCTGGTGTTTTCCTTTTGTCACTTGTCACAGGTAGCCTGTTAGCTATCAAGCATCAACACAGACATCCAAGTTTTCCCAGTTAATTTGAAAACGATGCAGTATAAATACAACAAACCATTAATGAAACTATTTCTATAGGGAATAAATGGATTTTTCCTGCATTCTCTTCACCATGCCTCCACCCTCCCAGGGGAGGCTGCTGCACACTTTGGGAAACACTGTGTTAGTGCACGGATATTTCTCCCTTACCTCCTCGACTCTGCTGATCCAGTTCATCATGCTTAAGCCTACAGCTGCAGCCAGAGCTGTCAATCATGATGTCACATCTGTTCTTTTCTAAATCAAATAACTTCTCAGAAAACTGAACACGTGCGCATAAATCAGCACATGAAGAGTAACATATCATGACAAAAAACCACGTGTGAGAAAGATGTATATGATTTTTTTTCCCTTTGTAACTGTCATTAAAGTGAGATTAATGACATATACTGCACCCAATCAGGAGAAAGTGCTCTACACTAATGAAATAATTAAAGTGTTTAAAACAAGCCATTAAAGAAACAAGGATGATAAATTAAAAACAGTTATCACAGAAGCCATACTTTAATAAAACGTGTGTTCAAGTCACAGCGCAGTGATATATAGCTGAAATACTCATTCAATAAATGTATTTTAAAAATTGAATCAAAGACTTCTGTGAACAGATGAGTCTCCAGCCTTTAATGAAGGGAAATGAGACTTCATCTGGACCGACTGGAGCATCAAAACTGATCAGCTCTCTTCATGTTTCTTCTGGTTTTGGGGAAAGAAATGAGACCTGTCCCTGACAACCCGAGAGGTCTGTAATGTTTGCAGTGTATCAGTAGATTAGAAATGTATCATCTCTGACATTAAGGGTAAAAACTTGTCTAGAGGTTGACAACAAGCTCGAGCAGCTCCTTATTTTACCCATCTAACGTTTCACTTTAAACTCAGCGGGGAACATCAGCTCTTTCTGCTTTAATTTTTAATTTAGTATTTTATTATGTGAGCCTGGGGAAAATATAGGACACTGAATGTGAGTGTGTGTGTGTGTGTGTGCCTCTTTGATACATGTTAAGCTGATTTAGTCTAAATAAGAAGGAAGACAAAAATCCGCCCTCAATCTAAATGTTTAGACCCTTTATATAAGGAACAATTTGTGCCTGGAGTCATATCGCATGACTCCAATAACTCAAAACAGCCACCGATGCAGCTTATCCTGACATCTCCACTGGACTACCCGCTGCTTGATTTGAAGTCGGAACACTTAATTTTCTAACAAGCCAAATTGGCTGTCTGTACTAAGGCTGAGGCGTCTACTAAAGCTGACCTACAGTGTCAGGGTATGTGCTGACTCCACTCCATTAACCTTCTACGATGAGTCTAGCATGGCCTCTATAGCTACTCTCACCAACACATCCTCACCCTGAGCTGCTGTGTACTCATCACACCTACCCATCATCAGGAATAAAAGATCTCTCCAGATAAAGACGCACAAGGTTTCACAGATACTGCAGCAAGCTTTTTACTGCAATAACACATGCTTAGACACAATATGAGTGTGGACAGAAAAACACATTTAGCCCACTCTGATATGTTTATTAGTTAAGTTTATAAAGTAAGGCCACTCCAGCCTTGTCATGCCTTCCATGTCTTGTCATGTCATGTCATCCCTGTGAAAGAGGATAAAAAATAATTACAGGAGGAAGATTTTTTTTCATTTTCATTTCGAGATTAACCCTTTAATGCCTTTTGTATCATATTTGATACATACTTTTATGTTACTTCTATCAAATCAATATAATAAATTACTAATAAAAACATCTGAACCCAGCTCGATACATGATAAAAATGTCCTCTTGTGGTTTACCAGTTTTCAAAGACATCTAATGTATCAAACAAGATAAATATGTATATATTTGTTATTTATAAGGACATTTTGATTTTTTTGGTTTTCAGTTAAGTGAAATAAACATTACAGCTCCAAAAAAAATTGGAATTTTCTGGCCATGATTTGGGTTTAAGTTGAAATTTCAAGATTACAGTTGAAATTTTAAAAAGTTAAAAATGAAAAAATTGAAATTTGGTAATTAAAAAAATCAAAATAACATGAATAAAGTCGAGATTTTGAGATTTAAGAAATCGAAATTAGGTGAATAAAGTCGAAATGTCAGGATTTGAATCTTGAAAATTTGACATTATTAATGTACTTTTGAATTTTTCAAATCTTTAATTTTTTACTTTAATCTTCTTCCTGTAATGATTTTCTTTCTTTTCATGTGGCCCTAAACCTCTTCCATACCTCCCTCAATTTGACTGACCATGATTTGTTTTCAAGTTTTTCTTCAAAATCTGACAGGATATCAGATATTTTGAGGCCAAGATAATCATGAGGTCCAGATCCAGTATGATGACAGCCGTAGTTTGGATCACATGACGATCAATAGAAAATGCATTATCACATTGTACCACAAATTTCCTGCCAATAAATAGCAGCGCAGAGTCTCATTAGATTGAAAGCTTATGATCCTGGAGAGCTGCTACACAAAGGAGGAAGACTCAGCTCGGTTATTTTCACTGTAAGACGAGTTTTGGGAGAAGAAAGGGCAGTGCAGTCTTTCACTGTGTCTGAATAGTCATGGTGAATCTTCTCTTGCACTCCAGGCTGTAGATCACTACATCAAAGCTGCTTTCTGCTGGAGAAACCAGGTCTGCTACAGGCCCTTATTATCAGACTATCAGACGATGTATCTGATAAGAAAAGTCGGTGACCAATGATAACAGCTCCATCAGTGAGTTGTGGAAAAATATTCAAGAGTTGGCTCGGCATAATCCTTCTCCAGAGACGGCTTACAGGGGCACAATGTAAAGCTATGGCAGCTGGTGAATCCACGTTTGGAGCTCCATCCTTTCACTTCATCTTCTTGAGCTCAGTGCAGGACACAATGCTGCCCCCCCCAATCTCTTCCATTTCCCTCATATGTTGATGTCTAGGAAGTTCCTATTCAAGAGTCATGATGTGAACTTTACTGCACTTGTCCAAACCCCCCCCCCCGAGGGGAGGAGCAAAGACCCCGACCTCCTCTGTAGAAGTTCATTCTAAGCAGGGAGTCCATCCTTTTAATGTAAGCCCTGGACCGCTTCCTGTTGTGGCCACTCCTGACGCCAGTCCATGTTCCTTTCTCTATAGGGCAGAGATTTTATGTGTGTGCGTGTTTTGTACTGCGTGAATCTGTGTCTACCCTCTGACAACATTTGTGAACGTGCGTGTGCGAGAATCCTCCCTGGAGGGATGAGAGCTTGTTATGAAGTCTTTCTCTTATCCCTCTAAAGCAGTTTTTTTAGTCTTTCCTCTTATCCCCTAAAACAATACCATCCCCCTGAGATGCTGCTGAGAGAAAGAGACTGCGCAGCATTAGAGTAAGAGATAGAGGGAGGAGAAACAGAGAGAGAACAGAGAGTCCTGAACGCAGCCACGGCACACATGCCTACACTCACGATACTGTCCTGCTCGGTGGTGAGGGGCTGAAAATAGAGGAGGAAGCAGAAACACTCAGGTCCTGAACTTGGCTGCATCTCAGTCGACTGCAGATAAACAAATGTTGATTTATTGATTGATAAGTTCCTTCTAGGTCAATCAGTGTCGTCTGAAAGCTTAAAGGCACACTAACTAGATGATGCGCCATTTCCTCAGAGTTTGTGATCATTTGATTAGAAGTATTCGAGGAATTGAATGTCACAAGAAGACGCAGTCGCAGTAATGATGTTAAAAGTGCTAGAGAGCGGTGTGTGGATGCAAACTCCCTCGTGGTTTGTGTTCATCAATCTGTGAATATATAATTGTATTGATAAACCCACCCTTGAAGCCCCCCGTATTATTTTATCATGTCGTATCTCATTGTTTTTGTTTAAAGATCCTGTAAGGAATTTCTAGCTGGTTATGAAACAGACTGGATTTAATCCTTTATGACCTCCAGGAGCCTCGAATAGCATCAGCATAAAGATTGATCATTTCTCTACGGTTAATTTCAAATGCCTGAGACTGCTGCCGCTGGGTAGGTGTCAGACAAACTGATTCTGAGCACGCTGCTGAATCAGCGTTTTTCGTCACAACAACAGTGTGCACAACAAAAAAAAAAAAAAGGTTCTGGAAGATGGATGCATTTTTACTGTCTAAACAAAGGAGGAGGAGATATGTCTCAGAAAATGAAAAACAAAACACATCTTAGACACATCCAGGACCAGATCAGCAAAGACCACAGCAAAGTTCTGAAGATTTAGAGCATCAGTTCACAGCAAGTACCCTTGTTTTAAGGAAAAGCAGCCTGCTGGTTTTTGTTTTTTTCAATAAAGAAACTGTAGTGGCTTTAAGTCTCCAAAGAAAACCACTGACGAGTGGGTCTAATACACACAGTCCAAACAAAATTAGCCGCGGCTCCAGAGTCACTTCCAAGGTTTATTTCCAAGGAAAATAAAGGATTTACACGTGTCACTCTACGGATTAAAGTAAATTAAAGGTAACTATAAAGGTAACTATATATCGCTCTTTGCAGTCAATAAGCTTTTCCACTCCCAGGCTCAGCCGTCTGGCCAGGTGTCACTAATCACACTAAATCACCTGCAGCAGTCAGTGACTCAGGTACACAGGGATGGGCAGCAGGTAAAAATGACAGTATGATTACTTCAAATTAAATGCCAACTAAAAATATTGACAATTAGGCAGGCAAGAAAATTAATACCAGCTTTAAATTAATTTTCTTTCCTTAAGCTAGTTTACCATAAATTAAATTTATTATTTAAATCAGATATCCCGTTTGGCCCCAACAGAAGCTTTTTCCACCTAACAGCACACTAAGTTGGGCTAACTTGTTAAAAAGTGACGCACAGTTTCGCTTTGGTATTACAGCTACTACTAAGCTAAATGAAAGATTACATGAGTAATAATAGCAGCTCCGGTTGATGTGACATCCACAAACCTGTTCAGAGGACCCAAGGCTGTTGATGCTAGCTCTGAAAGCCACAAACTAATTTTACAGACTCTGTGATACCCTCTGTGGTTTGCTGCCTAATTTTGACTGCTTTCCATGTGCTTTCTTACCCTTAAAATTGTCAAATATCCAGTTAAACTACTGGAAAAATCATTTCTTTTAAACAACTCTTATCTCATCCCCACAGTGAAAAAAAGCAGAGTATTTCAAAACTACAAAAACAAAGTCAGATTTACACTCAAACTGTCAGATATGCAGAAGCATCAGTTCTAACGAACTGCATCCAGTAGGGGAGAGTGGGGTAAGATGAGCCATTTTTCATATCTCGGATCACAACATCAAGGCAATCATAGGTTTGTCTCTTAACTAGTGTATCTGCATATATTTCAAGATGTTGTGCATCCCTACAAACCAACAGAATTTGAGAATTTCCCAGTTTGGGATCAATAAAGTCTATCTATCTATCTATCTATCTATCTATCTATCTATATAACAGAATGAGTGAAAACATAACTGTCTTGAAAATATAGCGTGACAAAAAAAGTGGTCTCCTATGGTCAACTTTTCCCGTTTATGGGATAAATTATGTGTATTTTTATCTAATTAATGCTATTAAACTGGGACAATAATTCATTATAACTTCTAAAATTCACTTTCAAGAGTTAAAAATGTTTTTTGGAAATAAATGTCTAACCCCTTCACCCATGTGCTTCTAACCTTCACAGACTCAATGAATTGATGCCCATCTCCTAAACATCTGGTCACATGATCAATTTCTTTTACCATTTCCGAGCAACAGGGGGTGGCACAACTTACCCCACTCTCCCCTACTGTATCCAGTACTGGAGTTGAGGGGGTTGGCCCATTGAAGTGAAAATGGTCAAAATTATACCCCTTCTACAACGGTCATACCAACTTTTCATCACTTGAGCCACTTATGTCAATGAATATGGAAACATTACTACTATCTTAACATTAGAAATATCACCGCAATTTCAACTTTTAAGCGTGTGTGAAGGAGTGACGTCCTCTATGACTGCGGGCAGCGCATGGAGCAACACAAACACACACACACACACGTGCACGCCAAACATTTTCCTCCCCGCCAGCGTCGCTAATTACCCTCTAAACAGCGCTATTTTCCCTTCTCTCTGTTGGATAGGGAACCAAGGTTGCACACTTGGAGCTCTATCGGTCAACTTAAACATAAATTCACAAAGATATTTATCCCTTCACTTACTTGCCGGGCGTCCATTCACGCTATCATGCCGGCTCATGTTTCCGCATGAGGAAAACAGAGCGCATTATTTCCGTGTGTAAAATAGGTGGGTATGGAGGGTCAAAGTGGTCACATGATGCAAGAAAAAATAATTTCTTTGTTGCTTGCCACAAATCCTTAAAAATTAATGCTCCATTAATCTAAGTAAAAACTTATTAAAAATGGCAAAAACTTACAGAAAAAGATCTGAAGGTTAAAAATAGTAAAAAATTGTTTATATGTGAATAAATTAGTTTTATCCAAACTTACTAACGCCCACTAGGAGGGGCTAGGAGGGTTAACGGAGGGCTTCCTGGGCCTTCCTTTCTTCGAGACTGGACTTTGTTGTATGGAAAGTAACTGCTAAACTGATTTTAGTATTGTTACTGTGTTTCTGTTTTCTTTTTTCTCTTCAGTGAGAATCTTGAGTTATAGTGGAACTCTTGCCTTGTTGGCATTTTCTTTTTTTTGGCCTTGTACATTTTGTAAATAGTATTTGACCTTTTTTTTTTTTTTTTTGCACTTTTGTACTTATTTTTGCACTGCACCTTGTGAGGCGGGCTGAAAATAAATCCTATCACCATCACCGGATTTTCCGCTATGCCTGTGTCTTTCCACTATATTGTGATTGTTTGAGCGAGAACCCTGCGACAGGGGGCTTTGCGCATATTAAATAAAAGACTCTGGGTGGGGTGGCATGTGTGAAAATGACACTATTTTTCCTTTCTTTTAAAAAAGTGATATCAATGAGCAGCGCTGGCGATGCTGTTGCGATTAGAGTATCATGGCCAAGCAACATGGACAGCGCAATCTGTGGGATTATGTTGTATAATAATTATCTTTGTGTGCTAGTCACAATAAAATGGGCACACAGTTGGTTCTCCTCCATGTGCACTGTCATCAGAACAATAAAATCCACCATCCTCCCTGATTTTTTTCACAACTCGACTCTGTATCCATGTCAACATCATGCCTTCACTGGCCCTACAAGACTTTGGCAGCAAGACACAAATCACAGCATGTTTTTTTTGTTTGTTTGTTTGCCATTCAGGCTAATCTTTTAACAACGTTCTGCTTTTCAAGCATATATAGGTATAAAGTTCTGGAAAACAAAGTGTAGTAGAAAAGTACCTTGTTCTTGTTGTATTATATTTCCAGCAAAGCAGCTCAGGTATAGTTTGAACAAGCAGCACTTCTTTTTAGGCCAAAACATCATGCAGCCATACTCTTTAATCTAGAGTCAGAATTGTCTGTTTCTCCTGGGGTCGTCTCTGAGCACCTTCCTCTCTACACCTCTTTGAATAACCACAGACAGAATAAAGACTTTAACCTGAGTTTTTCTCATATGGTTGAGACTCATAACAGTGTAAGAAAACCATAGTAACATCAATGATAGAGATCAGGGAGGGCAGAGAAAACACACTTAACAAAAGACTCCTGACTTGTTAGACTTGAGTGTTGCCATGGAAAAACTTAACGTAAGTCAATTCAATTCTCGGTTGAATATTTCAGCTTGAGTGAATGATATGCAGTCATTAAATCCAAGCAGCTGACATAACTCACATAAATCACAGCTAAACTGAACCGCTAAAGAGCCACTTGAAACCAAAGAGAGCATTTGAACTTGACCGAAACCAAATCCTCAGCCTGGGGGAGAGAAAAGACTTTTGAATACAACTCTCTGGAGAAGGACAAACTGTCGAGGAGAAGCTGTGTAATTTTAAAATGTACATTGAAGAGAAGTTAAGGTTTAATTGAACCATGATGCTTAATGCTGAACCTCTCAAGTTTGCTCATGAAGCGAGAGCACTAACTTCTGTCACATGTCCTGCTTTATCCTCACTCATGTTTAAAGTGCATATTTCTTTAAACATAAAGACTCACACACAACATAACTACTGATAATTCTCAACGCCAATTTAAGACCTCTATCAGCTGTCATAAGGAGAGAGGGCCGTCCTTGGCTGACTGATAGATGTTTAATTTTCCGTGTGGGAGATACATGTCTACAGCTGGCGTTTAACACTAATTTAATAGAGGCTGCATTAAATAAAGATGTTCCCGCCTCTGCAGAAAAGAACAGAACATTCCAGAGGAACTAGTACCACGGAGGCGCCCCCAGGCTCTTCTATAATACTGTTTGTGAGCTCACAGTACAGCCCGTTTATGCTGTGTTCAGTCAGGCTTTATGTAAAGTACATTCACTCGGTGGTAACTTCAATCAGTCCTCCCTCAGTTTGTGCTCTGAGACGCTCATCACTTTCCCATCTATCTCTGCCTCTATTTATCTCATTGACCTGCTTCTGTAAAAGCTACAAAGCAGGTTTATAATGGTTAGGTTAGGTACACCTGAGGGCAACAAAGGCTGACCTGTCAGAAAAAAATGTGTGATAATATTTCATGGTTGTTCCTCAAAGCTCTTAAAGGGTTCTCTCAGTATTTTGAAGTGAAGTTGTATGAGTTACATGAGAGTTCACTGTATGCTGGATCCTTTACTGACAAACTGCTGGCAGACACAGGACCCTAGATGAGCTACAGTTCTCTGCAGAGGGGACTAGTCCTGCCCCCTAACTGAGCTAATTTTGAGAGACTCAGACTCAAGTGCTCATCCCGGTATAAAGTGTGCACTGTACCTTGAAACTTTTTAGCATTTTGTTTTTACATCATCAAAGTTCACTCGGAGGACACAGTGAAAGCTTTAAAAAGTCAGCTCATTTTTCCTCTTCAGCAGCTAACATAGTGTATTCAAACAGGGTTTAACATGACCTGTGGAGCAATTTAAAAAAAAAAAAAAAAACAAGAGACGGAGGTCTGATGGAAAACAAGTAATAGTTGGTCATAACACATAAGCCAAATAAGCCTAAACAAAAATGAAAATTCCTGATTCAGATTTGTGTTTTATTTTACAATAACCCCTTTACCAGGGACATTATTTTTAGTTGTTTTAGACACGTGATGCTGTAATTGTATTCACCCGCAGGCTGTACCACATGGGTAACTGGAAAAGGTCAGGAACCACTGCTCTAAACTGTCCCACTTGGGCTCTATTTCAGTTACAATCCAAAACAAAACTGAACACTGTCAGATCTTTTTAAACTCCAAAATATGTCCTCTTGGAAAGCACTGAGCTTGGCTACTGTAATTGTTACAGTGATTCAGATTCATGTTACAGCAAAGTCTCTGATTATAATTTCATCTGGCTGTCATGTCTTCCTCTCACTATTTGCTATTTAACATAACAAACTTGTATCTGTTCATCTTTGGTTTGGAGACCGACTGAAGTCATGCTAAAATCAAAGCTTTCGTCGCAGATCTATTGTCATCAGATTCATGATGAATTCATCAATGAATAAAACATTTACGTAAAAGCGAGTCACTGTCACAAAATATAAATATCTAATTTAAAAGTAATATTTCCCTTTTAACAGACTCAGCAAGTCACTCCTTAAATCCTCCTCCTGGTGGGACCAAAAGCATTAATCCAATAGAGGGGTTGGGGTTGAGCCCAGGCAGCTATTTGAGGACTTCTATATACATGAGCCACGCTATTGTACTGCTTCAAACTGTGTCCTCAGTAATCATAATTGTTTTGTAAGTACACCAAGTTCCCAGCCCTGGTACGTACATACTGTAGAGAGGAAACCTCCTACACAGAGTTCATCCATCAGAGGTCCTCCAAGGTAGCAGTATCTAAACCCTGCCTCTCTATGTCGCCCTCCTTTAGCTAGCGTACATAGGCTAAGTAAATTACAGAATTTGATTTGAAGCGGCAAACCTTTACGGCTGTCTACACTGCGTTTATTTGAGCACCCATGTGATGTCTGGGTGGGTTTTTGTGTTTCCCTGATAGTGGACAAACCGGTCTGTTAAAAAGGCTTACTGTGGACAACACAGATCCACTGGAGCAGATTTACTGTGTCTGGTACACATCGTCATCATCAGGGCAGCATCATTTTCATCATCACATGTTTTTTGTCTAGCAGGGTGTTTACCAACACTGATGATACAGATTGGCACAGAGCTCTTTTTTTTCTGTGCAGCTTGTGTGTGTCATGGGACAGTCTCTGCTGCTGAGCTTGGTAAGGGAGATAAATAGACAGATTATATTGCAAACAAAGAGGGGATGTATCGGAGAAAATGTATTAAGACACAAAACAGTGCTGTCAGCAGAAAGGAAGGCTCAGACACTGAATTTAAAGGTTTTATCGACTGGAGTATGACATGAGTTACTCTGAAGTGAACATGAAGGAAACAGCCTCTACAACATCGTCCATCTCACTGACTCTGCAAGAGCCATGAACCTGTAAAAGTCAAAGCAGCAAACCCACAGGAAGTATTTCAAACCTGCTCCTTTTATTTGCCACTCATAAATCCCATAGGAAATCAACTGAAAAAAATATGCACTTCTGGTGCTGTTTTTTTTTTCTTAAGACTCTTTTATGGTGAATTTCAAAGTCCTAAACATGTTAAGTTAATCCATATTTGATAACACGCCTGTGTGCACCAACTCTGTGCTAGAAAAGTTTCAGACTGCAGCTTTTATTCTTTGATTACACCTAATGACAGTAATATGATAAGAGTGAAGCCCTACACCAGAGTTAACTGTGCTGAGAGTTCACATGACTGTGAAAAAGCACAAGATGCTGCTATTGTAGATACCTGGGACTGATGCTCGGGACAGATGTTCAGTTATGCCATCTGGTTTTCAGTGCCAGTGTTTGAGTTTGAGTATCAGCATCTTGTCTCTGTGCCAGTTTACTGTGTGGCCTGAAATGCCAGCTGTTACCAGAGCAGCGGTGCCCCTAACGTTTACTCTAAACCTGCAGGGAAGGTAATGTATCAGGTTTTCACCTCATCATTAGCATGCTCATTAAGTTTCATGAAAATAATATTATCACAATATTTATGGAAAATTTGAGAAATACAAAAAGAGACAATCAAATTAAAGAAAGGTAGTACATGGATGGAGTCGCCCGTAGCTTAATAACCTCCACTATGAAACTCAACTAACCTTCATGCTATCATCCATTTCAAATAATGTTTAAATTCAGTATTTATCCACAAAACCAACCCACCAACTTTTTAAAAATCTATTCTAATTGTTATAATTTTATAAGAATTACATATAGATACAGCTGCTTTCTTTTATTTTACAGATGGCCAGTAAAATTAACCAATCAAAAGGGTGCTACTTTGACTCTGCTGCCTGTACATCTTCCCCTCTGGATTTTATTTTTTCCACTAGTGTGTCTCACAGGTTTGATCAAAAATATTAAACTCATTTTATGATGCAGTTTCTAATAATCCAAATTCTACATTTGGACAGAAAAGTTTTCATTTTTACTACCAGAGGAATGTTGCTTCCAAATATCAGTTGTATCTAAAAATGGTCACATTTATGATTTATCCACACAACCAGCTACTTGACCAGTTCCTCTCTAAACATATTGCTTCATAGCACAATTATGTTTCCTGCTTTTGTATAGATTGTTTTCTGTCTTGCTTTTCAGTTGCTTTACTTCCTGCATGTAAATTGGGGCTTTTATTTTGAAGTTTGGGTACTTCCAGTAGATTGTAAGTTGAGGTATTCCCCCACATTCTTTATAAAGAATAAAAGGTCTATAAGGTATTACACATACAGAGACTTCAGTTTAGGTATCATTTTAGTATTGTGTATCATGACATGTGACATTGTGACTCCATACATAAATATATATATATACAGTATATACATATACATACATATAAAAATTCCTATTTGTTTTTACAGACATAGCTTGATAGATAGATAGATAGATAGATAGATAGATAGATAGATAGATAGATAGATAGATAGATAGATAGATAGATAGATAGGTTGGAAAATGTGCATAACACTCAGGCCCTATTAAATATGGGTACAAACTGAGTATTTCTGTGAACTGCTGATTGTATAGCTGACTATAGGCTCCTCCCCCCTCTGTCTATACGTTTGTGATGTAAGCAGGCGGTGGGACCTCGGGGACTGGGGCAGCGGCTGCCTCCACAGCCCCTGTTATGTAACTGATTTCCCTCAGACTAAGGCCGGCGAGGGAAGGAGAGAGACAGGTTTTTCCTTTCCTGTCTCTCCCCCTCCCCCTTCCTCACTCAGTCCCCTCCCCAGCCCTCCCTTCCTGCTTTGCTATACATTAAGCCTCAACCTTAGAAAACCAGGACGCTGCCTCGCAGCAATGAGCTGGGAACGGTGGTGGTTGGAGGGAGGGGTGGTGGTGAGGGGGAGTGTTAGGAATGGACGTCAAAAGAGGTCACGTCTGGCTGCAGGCAGGGATTATGGCTTTGTATGTTTGTATATGCACATACATGTACAGGGTGTTTCTTTAAGACCAAATATACATGTTAAAATGATATATGTTTCTAACCCTATGTTGCTAGATAAATCCTGACAGGTTGAATTAAACTACAAGACAGGTCTCTTTTTTATTTTTTCACTATACACCTTCAAAAAGATTTACTGTGTGTCGGTTCTTGCTTGGCAAATTCCCCTTTCTTATAAGAAAACAAGGCTGATGGAAGAACTCATACATACTAATAAATCTTTGAGAGGCTCCTGAAAACTAATAAAACTGCTGGCTTCCTAACTCATAACTGGGTTACTGGGGGAAATACTTGTAAACAACACGAGTGAGAGTGCTTCCTGTGTAATTTTATGGTGCCCCGTCTCCTGCACTCATGGGAAATATCTTTTTTGGTACCACATTCATTCATTGTTTTACTCCCAGTTATATGAGCCTTTTCATCGCCATGTCCCCGCCCGCAATTTGAACACGCTACATTCATGCATGCACATACGATTCCTTTCTCAATGAGAAGATGTTGAAAAATGAAGACCGAAACTGGGTCATGAAGCTGCACATGATGCACGCTGCCAGTCCAAAGAAGCAAAACTGTTGCTGCATTGTGTAGATAATTCATATGCATAACTTGTTAATTATTCTCAGTCCAGACTGACACCTGCGTGCTGCTCAGAGGTCACCCCGAGCACATCCTCAACTGCAACACTGTCACTAACTCGAGTCTGCTTGGTCTCTCAACCTTGAATTGAAATTTAGCTGTTTATCACATCCTCATCTCAACCATACCTGTAGCTGAATCACTAAACACACACAAATATAGAAAGGCTATTTAATAATAGGTGCAACTCAACACACAGTCTCACACAGCTACACCACGCCTTAGCCTGCAAGAGCAGCTGTAGGCTGAATACAACATTTCATATTTCATGCTGTGCTGTAACACATACATTATTTAAATCAAGTCTCCAGGAGCACTTTAAGCACACTTTGGCACACTTTCCCCCTCACACAGACCTACTCAGATATGTCACAGCTAAGGAATGTGGACAGTGCCTGCCCACTTAATCACACACATTGACAAGGCTACGCATAGAAATATATAGGATACTGTACATTTAGTTCCTAGATCTTGGCACAAGGCTCTATCTCTGTACCTAGTGAGGTGTCATCTCTCACGGTCCGTCCAGACTGTGCAGCCATGTAGGGCAGGGTGTAGGTTAACAGGTTTCTTATTGCGTTGATCATATAGCTCCAACCTTAGCCATGAACTCAGCCCTACCTGACCCAGGTCCTTGAACAAAACGACAGTAAGAGAAGCACATGGCAGTCATGCGGGTCACTTTCTCAGATGGCACGTAGAGGTGCACACAGTCCACTGCGTGTCTTTGCATTAACCTATGGGTACAGTGCTGTAAGCGGGCCGGCGCAGCGCCCGGGTTGACGTGAGGACAGCACTGGCTTTGTACCGCTGCCTCATAAAGAAACCAGCTCACTGTATTTCGCTATAAAATGACACACTCACCAATGCTCGACTCGTGGAAGAAACCCGCCTCCTGTGCCGTCAACATAAAATGAACATGGAGCAGCCGGATTAACACGTGAAGAAGAAAAAAAAAAAAGCAGATCAGACACGTTGGAAATAAAAGCGAGTCCTGGTGGTTAACCGTCTGAAACGGCGCAGCTCTCTCCCTGGTGCTCGCTCCCCCTCTCAGTCCGCTATCAGGTGTGAGGAGACGGGAGCGCCGTGTCTGCCAGGGACTGCCAAAGCCATGGCCACGGTCTGCAGGGGAACTCTACAGCGTTTATTTGCTTTCTGTGGTGCTGCTCGGTCCTCCCCCCCCACCCCGCCTGCCTGTACAGTACGGGTGAATGCGGGTCAGGAGCAGTAGAGCTGCCGCCGGGGAGAGATCACCACCAGGCTCCACGGCGCTCTCTAGCGGCCGAAGAGGAGAGCTACAGCGAGGGTTGCATAATGACGGGAGGCTTGGTGAATCAGAGGGGAACATAGACAACAATAAAGGGGGAATCTCAGTTTCCTCAGCTACACCCCACTGCCAAATAACTGCTTTACAGAAAGAATACACCAAAAGCAACGGGGGAAAGTACTTGTGAGGAAGTGTGTGGTACACTTGAGTTTATTTCTATGTAATACTTTTAAAATTTCAACATATGCCTCATGTTATGGACCCACTTCTCTGGATTAAACCATAGCTTTCACCTACCTTCATACACAAAGTCCTTAGATATGATATATTTTCATAAAACAAATTCTATATTAATAATAATAACATAATAATAACTTTATTTTTAAAACCAGAAGTTTACAAGGTGCTTTAACAGTCGTAAAGCATCAGCACATGGAAATAAAAACAAATAAAAAACAAAAGCTCAGTTAAAAACAAGACCTCTGAATTGAAGGCCAGTTTCATTTGTCATAACAAACCCAGACAATACAAGAACCCTGCAACATAAAATGAGACCATGAGGAACAAAATAAAAACATAAAATAGGTATGTAATGTAATTTTAATAAAGGGGGGGGTGGGGGTGTCGAAAGCAGGAAACAGGATATTAAATATAAAAAGATGATATTCATAATAATGAAATTATAATTAAATAATTATAAAAGGTTAAATAAATAAGAGGTTAAAATAAGGTTAAATAAGAAAAGATTATAAGTAAAACAAAGGCTGAAAGTACAGTAAGTCTAAATAAGACATATTAGCTCCTCAAACATAATTAAAATGACTTGTTTGGGTGGTATTGTAGTGGTGTGTAATTAGTATGAAAGAGTAGGCCACTTCATATTTGAAAAACTCTCAAGCTAGTAATTGATATTTAATTATGATTATTAGTTAGGCCTATAATTGCAGCTTAGTGTTTTCACTGACATTAAGCCAGACCAGCGGTTGCCCAGGCTCATACTTTTAACTCATGGTTAAAAACCAATTTACGGCAACTCAGTTGTCCAACAATGTCTTTACTTAACCGGGAAGGCCAAAACAGGGAAAAAGAAAACGTATACAGAAACCTTGTGCAATGTAATGGCCCACTTTTAAACCCTTTATACCCTCTTGTATCATATTTGATACATACTTTTATATACGTCTATCAAATCAATATGATCAACAAATTACGAAAACAAAACACCTGAATACAGTCCAATAAATTATAAAAATGTCCCCATGTCGTTTATCAGTTCCCAAAAACATCAAATCTATCAAATAAATGAATATATTTGTTAAATTTTGAGGACATTTTGATTTGTTTTGTTTTCAGTAGTAAGAGCTTCAGCTCCCAAAAAAAACTGAATTTTCTGGCCATAATTTGTGGTGTCAGGCATTGAAGGGCTACAAAGAGGAGTTTACAGTGATTATCATTTACTGAACCATATGTCTAGTGTAGACAGATGCTTTCTATTCTTATTCCCTCATATATATTAAATATCATATCAGAGGATAAGGTGCCCCTTTAAGATGTAGCAGGGTAATTGTGTAAAGAAGCACTTAAAGACAGTGTTAAATACATGTACCTTTAATTTGAAATTTACTGTAATTAGTGCTTTACATCCATCTATCAATCAATAAATTAATAACAGACAGCTTTTTTCATGTGCATCTGTGCCTTTTATTGCAATAATACATCTGCATGTTTTTGATAGATATATTTACACACACACTCACGCACACGTACGTACAAACACATACACACGTCAATGATCCGAACAAAACGAGAACCTTGGACGATCAGCACTAAATACACAACATGAGAAAAAACCCCACAAATTAACAAGCAGCTACCTGAACCTAGATTCGCACACTCACACCCAAAAGCACTACCACACGCTCACACACACTCTTACACATGCAGCACTTAGTTCTCCACACATGCACACCAGCAGACACATAAATCTAACCAAGAACCCCCCATATAAGTACTAAAGGTCTTTTGAGTTGATGTTAAAAGTGCAGAATATATTTTTTTTGTCGTTAACACTGAGGCTGTCATTGTGAAACTAGCTTGACTGAACTGTACTGTACGCAACACAGACAGACAGGCCAACAATCCAACATATACTTTTACTATTACAGTAAACTAGTAATATCAACATCTCCAGAGACACAAGGAAGAAGAATCATACTGATATTGTATGAAACAGACTTAAAACTGATCATTTATTCCCATCATATACTGTTATTTGTCTATATATACTATTTACAGAACATGAACAAGTTACATACTGTATCTTTAAAGGGTTAACTTATACATAAAACAGCGCCTTTTTTTTTACAGCCACTACACAGTCACTAAAAGCCTCTCATAGATTCACATCTTAAATACTCAAAGGGCTTTGGGGTTCAGTGTCATTTTTGGACGTATTCTGCTTATACGACTTGAGTTTGTGAGGATACATATCACACTAACAATAACAAGAGATATGCAACAAATACGAGAAACACTACAGTTTTAAACATACATGGCTTTTTTGTCTTTTTTACGCACAATGCACAAAACAGCACTTTTTTTTTTTTACAATCATCTATTGCGATTTCTTTACAGATAACAGGAGAGTAACAGTACGACTGCTGTGATATGTCAATAAGGGAAGCTGATGATGATGATAAGTAGGAGGAAGGTGAGACTGTGATATTGCCCACGGAAACATGCTTGAATAGAGGACTTGTGTGTTCTTCTCTTTGACCAGGTTATTACACGGAGGGATGGATCAGTAGATGGAAAGACCGGAGGAAGAGCTCTTCTTCTTCTTCTTCTTTTTCTTCTTCTGCTCTTCCTTGAGTTGTTTCAGGGGTGGTGTGTTGGTGTCGTGATGCTTCTCCCTCTACTCATAAAAGCTGCGATCACTAGAAAACACAGGGAGGAGAAAAGAGGAGAAGAGATATTTGAGCTCTCGGTGTCTTAATGTGCATTACCACCCCCTTACGAACTTCTTGATTAAGAGGGGTACCCTTAACATGCTCCTGTGTACTCACACAACAGCACAACACTGGGCGGAGTCTTGATAAGACTACAAAACGATGATCAGCATTTAAGCTATAGAATAAAGAGAAAGCAACAACATAAAATTAGCCCTTATGAAGCCTTAGATGCCATATTCTGTAAGCAGGGGGGTTGAATCCATTTGTTTGATTGCCAAAGTAACACAGCAATGCTTCGAACACTCACCCCCCAAAAATTCAACTTCGAAACTAGCCTTTAGTTTTTTTAGAAATAGAATAAAATTTGTATTTTCTTCAGGCACCAAAAGTGTAATTCTGAGATCTTTAAAACCAGGCATCATAAGCATGCAAAGACTTCCCAGTATCTGTCCTACAGATGTGCCCCAGACTTTTAACAGGTGGTTGCACATCATGAAATCATAAAATCAAATTCTGGCACCACAGAAACGATGCTGATGAGAAGTTAAGATGAGGAAATTATCAGTTCTGTCTAACAGTTTTATACTAGTACAGTTAAGGCCCCAAAAATGTGATGTACCACTACATGCCAGTGAGTGATCAGAGGTTGTGATCATAGACTTTCATGGGTCAAATCATTGACATGCTACTTTGTAAAGACTTCCATTAAAAGTAATCAGCTATTGTAACAGGGACTCACATGAACTGTATTATAATCTATGTTAATGCATAAATACTGCAGATCCTTTTAAATATATGTATTACTCATTTAGTTTAATCTGTATTTGCACTTTTAAACAGAGAAATATATTATATGTAAGAGTCAGCAGTATCGACAAAGTCAATAATGAGCAGAAAATAACATCTCACCTTACAAAGACACATTTGTATCTATAAAAGGCATTCCTTGGGTTAACAAAATAACATTCATGCTAATACTATATTTGGAGTGTCATATATTGTTAGACAAACACATTTTAGAGCTCTATTTTAACAAAGTACGTGTTCTTAATGACAGAGGTGTGAGATGGGAAGTAAAAGGGATTTGAAAGCCAGGCTGTGTAACTTCAGGACACACTAGCTTCTTAAAAATTGAAACAAAATCACACAATAAAAGCTAACCGCTAATGCCAAAGTTATCAAACCACAGTGCTTTATGAGTGATCCAACTTCATGACTTTTCTCTGTACACTATCTTGGTGTCAAAGTTACAGAGCCGAGCCCACAAGACTGCTAGGAGACTTAAAAATTATGTAACATATCATGTCATGAAAGAAAGAAACACATTTTACAGGGTGATTATTTCTTTCAAATCTACAATCAAACACTAGACAATGGGAAATCTAGTGCTAATGCTAATGTAGCCGCTACCTGCTAAGCTAACCGGGTTCTAGATAGCTTCAGACACACGTCTTATTGCTCTAATAATGACCTTACCAGCGCACAGCAAGAGCGACCGACGGCTTAAATTCGGATTTGATCGCCTTCATTCAACCTGGTGATAATGATAATAATGCAGTTATTGCAGTAAACTGTAGTGAGAAGAGGCCCTTCTCTGTACTGTTAGCTACATCTTCTCTGTGTGCGCAGTGTGGAGTTACAAGATTAGGATCTTTAAAATCAATATTCATTATTTTGTAACATTACTGAGTCATGTAGAAGTTTGTGTTTGTCCTGTAGATGATGATGATGTTTCTCAATACATGTGGACAAAAATGGTTTGAGAGTAAAAGCAGAACAAACACAAAGGTGATAATGGAAACAAAAGTAGAGGGTTTAGATCGATGTAAGTGGACAAGTGGTGAAAAGGAGATTGATTGGTGCAGAGGTTTTGTACTCACGCCCCCTCGTCTCTGAGAAGAGACAGGAACTTGGTCACTCTGTAGTCCTGGTCCATCTAGAGACAAAGAGAGCAGAGAATGATTAATAGTTGGTAGGTATCAGTAATGTGAGATCTTTATGCCATAGAAGACAGAGCCATTATTGAGAACGGTCCTTTTGCTTATGTATACTTTGCTTTTCTTGAGTTTCAGCAGCACATTGGTAAAGAAGGACTCAATCACAGTCATAGAAATCCTTATTTCCTGCTGTAGCTGTTTTCAGGAGAGAACTTTGAATGTATTTAAATGAAACAGGAGCAATAAAGATGCATTTTCAGATTCATGACTTATCCCAAATCTGTGTTTTCATGTTCCTTTTACTATCCTGCTTTTGTGCGTCTTGATTACCTGCAGTGACATCTCAATGAGCACCAGGAGCTTCTTGATGCCGATCCAGACCCTCTTGCCTTTGAGCTGCTGTGCGATGCTGGCCCGCTCTTTATCTGTGAAGCTCCCCAGCAGCTACAGAAAAGACACAGAGCGTTAGAGAGGTGCAGACCCTGAGCTTCAAAACCTTCAAAAGAAAGATAGCGGGTGAAAACATCCTTTCAAGTGAGGTCAAGTGGTTTACACTCTGAATGTTCTTCCCTTGCACACAGCCAGGTTAGAGAGCTGTATCTGTCAAAGCAGGGTGTGCTTGAATGTCTCCCTTCAAGGATAGTGAATAGTTACTTGTAATTCAAAGCTCAGAATCACATATGAACCTTCAATCAAGTGTGCAGATGACATTAGAGGAAGTGTTTGTGATGGTGTGTCTGTACCTCTAAAGCGTCAACCAGCTGCTCCCCAGTAGAGATGTTGGGAATGTGGATGGTGGTGCTGAAGGCGTCCAACATCTCCATCTCCTGCAGGACATCCTTCCTGCTGGTGGTGCCAATAATGAGCAGCTTCCGACCCTGAAGGAGCAGTCAATGACATGTGTCATCTTTACTTTATTTTACCACATGGAAAATAAATTCAATGAGATCGCTACAAGGTAAACAAATGTTCTCATTAGACTTTGGTTGACCTGATGAGAAAACTCTGTGATTAAGATGGTTACATGAACCTGTTAGTGCATTTAGATTTCAACACCATGAATTCCTCTTCACCTCTTGTTTTCACTTGGAGGCTTTATGTAAAACCTGCTCTGCGAGTTTCAGTAAATGAACACTGGAACTACAGCATTTACGTATAATATCAGATAATTTTTTTAATGTCTGGCCCTATAACAGCTGGTTCTGTAGAGAAAACAGTAAAATAAAGAAAAAGTCCATTCATGATTCATGATTCATCATATTAATATCTTTCAGGAATCAGATTTCTGTTTGGCCAAACACTGAAGTTATCTGCGTCCTTCTGTGAGTAGAGGCATTCAGTACATGCAGTCTATTCCTGTACTCCTGAATTCATCAACAGCATGTTACTGTTTAAGTTTCAAAGTTGAACTGTCGTTAATATTACATTAGAGATGAATATAAAAAACATTGTTTGGTTAGAATCAAAATATAATGTTTTGAAGTCACACAGTATTTTTCTGCAGGATTCTTGTCCTTCTTTGAGGTCTACAGTAGCAAGAGCAGCAAACCAGGATCCAGCCACAGCAATGACTTTGATATTGTCATGATCTCCTCGTACCATGTCAGTCTGACTGAAGCAGACGTCTGCCTCTTGGTCCTTTTTTATTAAGTGAAAAGAGTGTCAAATAAGGTTTCCTCTACATGAGTGTCCACAGAAAGTCTGTCAACAAGTTCAACAAGTTTTTTTTTTTTTTTTTTTTTTTTGCATTTGATAAAATACAGTTTAATAATAATAACAATAATAATAATTCAAAACAAATGGAAAATAAACATTTAATTGAATAGTTTTAGAGGTAAAAATATTTTTCTCAGTAAATTATTGCCACAAAGGAAATTTGGATGCCCATCCAGTCATCTTAAATGTTAGGAAGGAAATGAAAAATTTCAAGCTACTGAGATTAAAATCTTAAAAAGTCATATATAACGTGCCCCATGTATGGGGACCACGGTCCCCGCAGTGGTCGTGAGTTCGAGTCCGGCCACGACCATGTGCTGCATGTCCTCCCCCATTTCTCTTTATCTCTCCATATTTCCAATCTGTCCTAATAATAAAGGCAAAAAAATATCCCCAAAAATATACTTAAAAAATAAAATAAAATAAGTAAAGTAATGTATAAATCCTTTACTTCATGCTTAATAGAATGAAATGTTCATGGTTATATGTATATAGGGTGATATCAGCCCTGTGAGAGCTGATGGCAATATGATGCCCATCTGTAAAAAAAAAAAAAAAGCCAGTAATCGGCCGATCAATCATCCAACTGGTTTAGATAATATAGATTTCTGAATGACAGAAAACACCAGGTTGTTTATGACATTCATTAGTTGGATTTGGTCTTTTTGAGGAGCTATAGTAACAATCTGTGCACAGATAGGAGGTGAACTCTGACCTTTGGTGGGGGCTTCTTCAGCAGCACCAGCAGAGCCTGGAGGACCAAGTTGGAGAAACGAGGCCCGATGGGCACATAGTCCAGCAGACGCTCAATGTCATCCACCACCACACAGCTGAGCTGGGACTTATAGGCATCATCAAAGACCTGGAGGGGGGGGGGGGCACATTGAAAAAGGCCAGTTCAAAGAATGAATGGATGAAAAATGATGGTGGAGTCAGTGCTGAAAGGAAGGCAGCGATTCAGCAGATCGTATACTTTCATAAGACATGATTAAATGCAAATATGTCATCATTTGCTTGCATGCTATAGGGGTGCAGACGCTCTGCAGCACGTGCCTTTTTGATTGCCTGGCACTTTGAGATCTCTGAGTGTCCAATCATCTTGTCTGGAGAGCAGATCTTAATGAAGGGGAACTGTGAGTCCTCGGCAATCTTGGCCGCCAAGGCTGTCTTTCCACTGTGGGGTGGACCTGTAGGGCAGAGAGTTCAGATAAGATTTTAAAGCCTGCTTGTGTTTGAAGATGTTTGTGTTTAGGTTTAGAGTTTCTTGATCAATTTAGAAAAAAAAAAAATAGTTTGAGGTATTTTACTTAAAATGAGTCTGTGGATAGCTTTCCAATTTGCTTAACTGACAGTATGTTTGCAACAGGATTTAATGAACAATGTGCAGTTCCCTATATTTTAGGATGATGAACATTTTTATATGAGCCTCACTGATGTTATGGACCTGTAACAGAAACTTATATATTTTTTATTACTCCATCTGATCACACTAACTAGTAGTTTTAGTTTATGGTTTTGTGTTTACTATGTTATTTAAAGTTTGTTAATTTTGTTTTTCTGACTTCTCACCTTCCAGTAGGACAGCCACCAACGGCGTGCGATCACTGTTCTTGGTCTGCTGCACCAGCAGCTCTCCATCATCCAGGACATGAGTGACAGGATCGCCCCATTTGATGATCCCGTTCATGATGTAGCTGGAGTAATCCTCTGCATTTGTACCAAAGGCCTGAATGCAAAGATGGAGAGGTCAGAGGAGAGTAAGGGGATTATACTCTGGTTTGTAGAGCGCAAAACAAAGCCTCAGAGGAAGGTGGGACATACAGGTTTGATGTCATTGTTGAGGGATCCCATGAAGTCGTTTCTGGTGACCTGCAATTTCTCCGCCTTCTCCATATCTACCTCCACAGTAGATGTGGCCTAAGAGAGGAAAAATAAACAAATGAATCAGAATCAAAATAAAATCATGTAGAAAATCATCAAACAGATGTGGTCATTAGAAATGGCCATCAGGGGACTTCAGAAGCCGCTACTGTATGGTAGTTGAATATCTTAATAAAGAGTGTGGATGTATTTCCACAACACAGTGCACTCAAAACTCAGGCAGCTGTGTCTACTTTAGTATCTGTAAGTGCACAATGTTCATACCTGCTGAAAAAGATAACTACGTTTGAGGCTATAACAAAATATATCATATGTTGACAATAACATTGGGCATCCTTGATATTACAAAGGTTTCCCTTGACCAGTCTTTTTTAAAAATTAAATTCCAAAGATGTCCTCTTGCCTCAGAATGAAATGAGTCATGATGCACTCTCTGCATTCAGAGTACAATCCCTTCCTTCCTTCAGTGCTGCTGTACAGTGAGGAATTTCTAAACAACAACTGAGGGCGAGCTGAGTCTGAGGATGGATCCAGAGTGGGTTAGGTATGACGAGGGCATCTCCTAAAATCAAACTGGCCATCCTGGGTGTCACCCCATAAACCACTGTGGGCAAGATTTATTCTCATTGGGGCCTCATCCATTCGAGATTTGTGTAGTTGTCTTTGCATTCGAATGCAGCACAGTTTCTCTAGATGGTTCTTTAAATTGCTCCTTTTGATGCACATCTTTAAATTGTTCAGTTTAGAAGGCTCACATGTTGGTCAAATTTTCCACCATGTTGTTTTACTTTTTAGAGTTAATATAAAATCACTGATATACTTCTTAACATGTAGTTTAAGGTATTTCAATAAGAGAAGATAGAGATTTAAACTTAAGTAACCAATGTGAGAGCACACTTATACTTTGTGTCACCATCCTGCATGGGTAGTTTGCTGAAAGAAGTCTGAATTAGCCCCTGGATTGATAAAGAGAATTTCTTGGATATCAAGATCATGGGTTGATTTTTGTGTGTGTTGATGTTACACGTGTAAATTTAATCTTTAAATTTAAGCTATTTTTTTTAAAGACTGTTATAAAACCTGTTTAATCATATTTTAAAACGTTTTTTCTGTCTACAGTTGGAACCCTAAAATAAACTCTCCCCTATACTTTGGGTGTTAAAAGCATCAAGAGACCTTGATGTGTCGGTTCATGGCAGTGGACTGAGCAGCCCTGACCAAGCCCTCCAGCTCCGCACCGCTGTAGTTCTTAGTCTCCACAGCCAGCTCCTTAATGTCAACATCAGGAGCGAGCAGGCCGTAGCCCCGCATCTTGTTAGTGTGAATGGTCAAAATCTGGACACGGCCTTTCTCATCAGGCAGACCTGGAGGTCAGACAGAGAGGCAGAATGAGACAGACGAGGGTTTTGAGAGGAGAGGAGTTAATGTGGGATAATGGATGGGGTGGGAAAGGGAGTGAGGGACAGATTGAGGAAGAACAGGAAAAAGGTACAATAAATGTATAAATGTGAAAATAATTTAGTTATTTGTGTATTTTTATGTGCAATATGTCTAAAGTTAACAATGTTGGTCTGGAGTAAAATATTTTAGCCGAGGATAAACACAGAAAAATGGAAAAAAAATATCAGATAAGTCCAGACCAGTTTTCTATACAGTTAACCACTAGAGGGTGCTAAACATATGGTAAAAGAGAGAAACGGCTTGATATCACTTACTGATTTCCATCTTGACCTCAAATCTGCCGGGCCTCATCAGAGCGTCATCTATGAGGTCAGGCCTGTTGGTCATACCTGAATTTATAAGAAAAACAAAGAGACTGATGAAAAGGAAGGATTATGAGAAATTTTTAGATGAAACTGGGTGTTTTAATCAGTTCATAAAAATCTATCACATACAGAAACCCTGAAAGGACACGATTGAATGTATTTTCTTTCTCTGTTTTGTTGTGATAACAAATTAATTTCAGGAGTTTTCCCAAGATCTCAGAAAAACAGATTTCACGTCGTGGTTTGGCTCATGGAGGGGCTTGGGTTGACTGTGGCTTGTTGTCAAATTAATATCTTTATACATTCATACTACGTCAGGAACAGAATCAACAATCCTGCTCTAATATTAGTTCATCATCTTCATGCTTCCATTCAGAAAACTGGTGACTAAATACAAACAAATTAAAGCATGTACGAAAATCAGTACTTGTGTTCAGTATGAAGAACACAGAGCTGTAAGAACAGTGTTTCTCCAGCGGTTCTCTGTTTGCTTATCTAACCATTATATTTGCATTTACATGTTACAGGGGAGGTGATCAATTCCAGCCTCCCATTGGTTGACTTTACTGTGTGGGTGGAGAGCTCCATTATACAGCACATCAGCACCAGGCTTTCAATCTCCAACTATTCCTAAAGGGATTTGCTGTGCGTGTAACCCTGCAAATGGTAACAGCAGCGTCCTTCACCATTAATGCGAGTCCTTCCGGGGGTTCTGGTCTTCTAGGTCATGGATTATGAGGCTTCTGTTGACTTAAACGGTCAAATGTTTGCCCTACATCCGGTTTTATATATCATAAAACTCCTGAGGATAGTCAGTGTTCCCTCTCATGCTACTGACCGATAACCAGGATGTTGTTGAGCTGCTCCACGCCATCAATCTTGGACAGCAGCTGGTTGACCACGGTGTCGTGCACACCGGTGCTGCTGGCGCCCGTTCCTCTCTGTTTGCAGATGGCGTCCAGCTCATCAAAGATGATGATATGAAGGCCACTGTTGGCTCCCAGCTGGAAAAAGTTTCAAAAGCTAAAAATCATCTCTTTTTTATTACAATTAAAAACATTTCAAAGTAAACCGAGCACCTCTTACCCTTTTTTGCTCATCCTCTGCCTCAGCGAACAGTTTGCGGATGTTGGCCTCAGACTCTCCCACGTATTTGTTGAGGATCTCAGGGCCGTTTACAACCTTGGGCTCACGGGCGTTTAGCATCTTGCCAATCTGCCTGGCCATCAGTGTTTTACCACAGCCTGGTGGCCCGAAAAGCAAGATGCCCTTCACGTGTTTACACCCTGGAAAAAAAAGGCAACCGTGATGAGTGACAAATGGCGAACAGGAAGAGACTCAGATGGGGGCGCAAGAAGAAGAGTAATGACAGAGGGATAAAACTGAGTCTAGAAGTCAGTTAAAAAAAAAGAAATAGATTAGAGGAGGAGAGTTTCTCACCCATCTGCTCCACGATGTCTGGAGGGAAGACTCTGGAAGCAAACGCCCTGCGGAAAATGTCAGAGAATTCCCTGTCCAGACCTCCGATCCCCATCTTCTCAAAGTTCCAGTCTGGGTTGATGATTGTCTGTCTCGCCTCCTTGGTCTTTGCCTTACCTGTTCCAAACATAAAGGAACTTTTTGGACAAAATTTCACACATATGTGTGATGGGGGTCATTTCTAGGGATGTCTTTGATGATTTAAAACAACTTGAATGAAAATCTGGTGTAAAAATAAATTCTGTTATGTGTTCTTAATGCCATCCTGTGGAGAAAATGAAGAAAGCTGGGACTCTTCTGGTCGCCCTCAGTCTTTAATTCATAATGGTTATAAAATACAGAAATAATCCTACATTAACTTTGTGTTACATTTATAAAAATCTATCACAAAAAAAAGATCTGCATGTGGTGAAAAAGAGGAACATACCAACTAGTGTGAGGGATGAACTCTCTGCCTTTTCAAAAATCACCTGGCTGTTGCCCACCATCAGCCCGATATCGATCTGTCAGAGAAAACAGTCAGTCACGGTCCGTCTGTGATTTATGACAATGTTAACCATTTCATCAATCAAACACACAGATAATGAGACACCTGTTCGTTGGATTTACTGATCATTTCGAACATTAATCTACGTTTGCAACGCATCACCTGGGAAAAGCCGCTTATTTGTGTTTTTAATCTTGAAAAGTCAGTCAACAAATTTGTCCGAAGTGAAAATGGTAAATCAAGTGTATCCTTTGTGTGCAGTACACCAGTTGCTAACAATGCCTCACTTCTTCAACTTTTCAAAATCACATCTCTTGCTCACCCTTTGACTTTTTCAATAAACTTAACTCATTAAACCTTGCTTGGGGACATCGTTGCAAGATGAGACTACTTCACCAAAAAACGTAACCCGATAAAATGAGCAAACTCCCATAAAAGTCAGTGACAGAAGTAACATTAGCATCAGCTCCTGGCTTTTGTTACAGAGTTTATAATGACTGTTTTATTACTATCCAGAGGGATAGCTTAGAGGAACGCTCCCCCTGTTGATTTCTACTGCGGCTGTAATGTTTTTCATTAGACCAGAGAAATGTCTGAAGCGAGCTGCAGAGAGCAGCTTCACAAGTCTAAGCATTGCTCTCTGTATTCACATCTTCTGGACTTAAAACCCTCCGTCATTTATACGTCTGAGGAAGATTACTGTAATTATTTTAGCTCTCATTGTGAAGAATCCAACTTCTCTTGAATTGCTGCATTTTTTCAGGAAAATCAGTCAAAGGTTAATCTTTATCGGGCTCATTTAAGGACTTTCAATGCAAGACGTATCAGCTGTGTGAATACTGCAGAGCGGATAATTACTTCAAGAGATTAAGGGACCTTTTTATGTTCCTGTTTCTGATGATGAAGCACACACACACACACACACACACACACCACAGGCTCTGCATATGGCTGAGTACCTTTTGTTTCTTTCCAGACGCTTGTTCTCCTTTCAGGATACTGGCGTCCATCGCCTCGATGTCCTTCACCATCAAGCCGAACAGCTTGTCACAGAAGCTGAACACTAGCTGAGAGATGGAGGAAAAAAAGGAAATTATATACACATACAACCACACAACACAGTGCAAAAAGTAAGCAAAATGTTAGCTGGTGTTACATTGTGGTATTAGTGGTGTTAGTATATGTACAACCTGCTGGGTTACAGAGAAGGCCTGGTTGTTAAACTGTTGGATGAACTCAGCTGCCATCTTGTCTGAGTCGTAGGGGGAGGAGTCAGTGCTTTTCTTTTGCAAGAAGTCGATTTCGATTGTCATGGCGCCAATGCACTGCTTGGACTTGTCAAAGTTGTAGTTGGCCACTGCAGGACAGAGAGACAGACAGACAGACACAGCGATGTTAAAGGATTCAGACTTTGATAGACAGAGAAACAAATGCAACCACAATGAAACATGACTTGTCTCAGGTAGATCAGACGACATTTAAAATGCCACTGTTCATGATGGAGATATACTGCAGATAAAACCTGTTGCTCAAGTAAAAAAAAAAAGTTATTTGTGAAAATGAAATACAAACATCAATATTTAAACCAAAGAAGACTGAATGTTTAAGTCTGGTCTGGTCAGCTCTACGCTGAAAACAAAAAAAAACAAGGAAAACTTATTTTTTCTGTTTTATATATATGCTGTCAGCTGCTGAAATTATAGCAAACAAAATGACAGTGATATAGTGCACATGATGATAGTTTTCTAATATATAGAGAGATAAAAGAGGAGGGGATTATACTGTGTCATCTTAAAAAGAAAAAGCTGTGGTCTCTATTTAGACAGTCATTCACAGATATCATATAATGCACCAACCTTCCACTTCCTGGCCAATCGAGAGACCCGCCCATTTCCTCTATTAAAGACACAAGAGGAAGACATTTTATCATACCACTCTATAGCATTGACTACAGCTGTAAAGTGTGCACACGTGTCTAGATGTGTGTACCTGCGGGAGGCTGAAAGCGATGCTTCCAGGCGCCACAGTGTGGTGGGTCTTCACTGTAAACGCAAACTTGTGGTTGGGTGTGGTCTTCACAGTCACATGTCTGCAGAGAGAGAAGACAAGTCGCCCCCCCTGGAGTTACAAGGTTCAATCTGCAGCAGCTTTACTATTTCTGTGCTCAGAATAAAAAAACTGACAAGTGGTAGAAAAATCTTTCAAACATGGAAATGACAGACACCTTAAATATATTGAAAATGTAGAATATAAAAGATCTATTAAATTTTTAAAATGTTTTTTTTTTCTGAACAGTTTAAATGCAGATGGACTTTATTATTCTGAGAACTCTCCTTCTGTCGGAGTTGTACAGTTTTATCTATCAGAACAAAATAAACACAAACAGTGGGGTCATTATTTTTATTAAACGTATAGTTAGTGTTTACATCTATATGACATTATAACTATCTATTTTAAACATTTTCAATGATATTTGTTTGTACAAGGATAATCGTCCTGAGTAAATAAAAGGTTATTGCATATTTTGAAACTCACGAGTGTCATTGATGCAGGGACTGTAGGAAGTTTAACCCTGCTAATACCATTTCTTATTTTAAATTTCACTGTGAGAGATGTTTCTTTTCTCTAGTTTGTTCCTTCCTACATAATACCTTATAATACTAGAGGATTACAGTTACAATATGAGGTGTATGTGTATATTATATTATATTTGTCCCATGTTTTCGTAAAGAATGGCATTACTTAATTTCTAGGACACATGTAGCCAGGTTTGCCTTCAGTTAGAGATGTGTTGCTTGGAAGCTAATAAATATAAATGCAGAACTTGTGCTTCATTTTTCTAATGTAGGTAGTTATCAGATAAAATAAAAAACAACTTGAGGAAGAGATCCAATTATGCAAAGCTAAAAAGCGATATAGAGAGCAACATGGGTATTGTTAAGCTGTTAATATGGCCAGTCCATTCACATTCAGCCTTTAATTGACTGGATTTATCTATAAGGGCAGCTTTTATTTTTCCACAGAAATTCAGCACAGATTTTTCTACAGTCCTGCAGGTCAGGTCTCAGGAGATGTGGTGTGTTCAGAGACAATGCAGCACCGTTTAATTAGTCTTTTAATAGAGGCTTTACGTACTGAAGAGTTCTGATTGGTTAGTTCTTGATGGTTACTAGGTTACTCGCACTATCTTTCCATAAACAGAGCAGGGTCTTTCAGAGCTCATAGAGAGGGTTTGTTAACGCTTGCTTTTGCAGAGTAATCGATTTCTCGAAAAGGTTAAGTCTGTAGAAACCCATTACGTCATTGCAGCAGTATGCGCCATCTTTAACTTTCAGATTCATCCCTCATCCTGTGGTTACCCGGGCGATACTTTTGAGTTGTTACTTTAACAGAAAACATCCAGTCTGCTGTTTATGATTCCCTGCACACCAGCACTCATAAATTTTAATTGCCATCAACCAATAGAAGAACAAACAGGCCATATACTGTTGTCAGCACAGAATTAGAGCTCGAGGGCTCTGAATGAAGAAGAAGAGGCTGCAGTTGCCATGGCAGTGGAAGAATGGGGACATCCTCAGGTTCCACATTTATGTTGATCATTATCATTTGTTAGATGTGTCCTTATTGTTGTATCGGCTTAATATGCAATAATACCAAATGCATATGAACATGTTCCTCAGTAATGTTGCACTTTAAGCTGCAATGAGCGCATACCACTCCTGGTTTCTGAAACACTTGTTTGTCAGCAGATCACGTTCTTGTTTTTTTTTCATTTGAATTGTCGGCTCTTGCTTCAGCAAAAAGAGATAAAAGCAGCAGAGAAGGTTGAAGTGTCTGAATGCTTATCATGCTGCAGAGCGGAAAAACAACGGCTCCGGCTTTTTATCAACTGTGACATGAAACAGCGAGGCATTGAGTATAACAACACTCAACAGCAACACACAAAAGGCAGGTTTATATCACACATCTAGCTTTATCGGTGCTACTTTAGTGTAGAAATCACTTCGATTTAATGGTCATACAACTTATCTGATAAAGACAACAAATGATAGCTGCTTTCTTTTTATCTGACAAATATGTGACAGTTTGTGAGCCACCATTAAACACAGAGAAGAACACGGAGATCTTTGCTCACTATATCTGAGCTTTTCTTACCTTTTAGACCTTTACCTTTGTATACAGTACACATTAAAAAGTACAAATTAGTACTAGCCATCAGAAGCAGGTTATTTGAGGTCTTTGTTGTGCATACCTGGTTTGAACAGATGTTCAGTTTCTATTTCATTCCCATTAACTGTCATTTGTGAAATAATAAGGTGCAGCTTTGCCAAATTAACACGAATGCCACTTTCTTGGAAGAGCATCTCCACTCTGATAATAACAATCTGTGAATAAAAGTAGGCGTGTTACATCATACTTCATCATTATACTCTTGTCTTTAGTTTGTAGGCCTTACAGTCATATTCACAAAAATACCACACTCATCTCTAACACTGTTGTCATAACAAAGAGAGCACATCCTCAGATTTCTCTCATGTCATCTAAACTTTCTATCATAATGGTCCTTTTATTTACTGACATTATGACCAGGTCGCACAATAATTCCTGTAAAACTGCACGTCTCAATCTATTATCCTCTTTCTGTTTCTCTGTTTACCCTCTCCATCTGAGTATGAGCAGGTCTCCCCTGAAGCCCTTTGAGGATTGTTTAAACTGAAAATAAAAGCATTTCATCCGCCTGGTGGTGAAGTAGGAGCTACAGCTTATACCCCAGTCTTGCCAAAGCAATCAATTTATCCTTCAGACAAGCTAAAGGGTGTTTTTATCACTGTATTTTATATTCAATCAAATCTGTTTTAATATCTGGTAAAATAAAGAGAAGAAGTTGTGGCCCGTGCAGCATCATATCAAATGACTGCTATCTTTCGGATGTGTGGTTATAAATAAGGTGGGAGATAAGGCGGTTGAAAGGATGGATGAGAAAATGATTGAAGAGGAGTCTGGCAGTGCTCCTGCATTGATTAAGCTGAGGATGACTAGGCGGTAATGAAGACTCACTGTCCTGACTGCAGATCTTTCTCGCTCACCACGGCACAATTAGTCAGTGACAGCTCATCTGTTGGGCATCGCGCCGCTTGCATGGTCTGCAAAGAAAGAGAAAGGAAAAGATTAATGGATGAGCTATGTTTAATATATTAAGGAAGAACACGATTTCCTTCACAGATCTTTTTCTTGTTCATTTTTTTAGCCTTTAATCATCATTGCTGAACATGTTGGTGAAGGAAAACCCCTCACCAAAGCTCATTCATAACAAACTAAAGCTGTTATTCATTTTCTATTTGAAGCAAAAGGTTCACAAAAAGACAAGTTGTGGACATAGAGAAATGAGCCTCCAGCATAAAAGCCGCCCGTGGGTTAAAACATGATCCATGACAGGAGCTAACAACCTTTCCTTCTTCTCACCTGTAACTGAGAGAAACCTGACAACTCCCAGGACCTTTACAGAAAAAAAGTGCAAAGCTGTCAAAATAAACGTCAATTTGGATCTTTTTTACCAAAAGATGAGTGACTGGGAAACAAAATAAAAGATTAGGAACAAAAATACAAAAACATATCTCTGAATACACTGCAAATATGACAAGTCATTGCCTGAAATGTTCTTGAAATGAAAACATAGTCTAGATAAGGTATGGTTGACTTTTATCATGTTTCTTGTGTTCGTTTTTATCACTATCAAAAGAAACTGCCATGACTTCATCTAACGTGTCTAAAAACATCACAACTTCATTTTCCTTTCATTAAAAAAAACTCTTTAGAGCGTTCACTTTAAATAAATATAAGAAAACAATGTCTGCCCGTATGCTGATGATACCCTGATCTCTCTGTAATACAGACATTTCCTCTCATAACAAGTTTAACTAATCTCAAATCAATTTATTGTGTATTTACTGGCTCAGAAACAGTTCAAAATGGAAAAAAATGTATTTTTAGTGTGTTAGTCACTAAACACTAAAAAAAATTGTAAAACACCCGAGAACCTCTTCTTCCGCTCCTATAAAAAACAATGTCATCACCCTATATCTGTGAGATAACAGCTGCTTACTAGGAGGATTTGTGTTTGTATTTTTTATTGAATTTTGACCAATGTTTCCTGTTTGCAACCTTCTGTGGTAAATTGACTTGTTTGATTTTGTTAAGACATGTCATGTTTACTCATTCACACACCACAATCGTGCACGTCCTGTAAAGTGCCCACTGTCAGCAGATTCCCTTAGTCTGCATTCACACTCTGCTGTCTATGCTCCAGAGGGCAGTTTGGGCTTCATGTCACGCACATTTCTACATGTAAGCTGCATGGGGTCTGGGACTGATCTGCCAACCAGAGACAAGCCAAGCAGCAAAAAAGAAACAACAATTCTCAAGGACATTTACAACTCTGTTACAAAGTGAGTAGAAAAAAATCAATACTAACACCCCTAAGTGTGACCTACAGCTCGATGAGGGCTGAACACCAGGTTGTCAGAAATAGACATGACTCGGACAGGGTATCAAGGGTATGGAGCAGAAAAAGCCACACGTGCAGCAAAGAAACAAAAAAGGAAAGAAACTTCAGCCTGTTTCATGTTGTTTTTGAGTGTTCTGATATCATAAAGATATGATAAAACAGTTTTAAAAGTTTTAAATAATTTAAAATTCCTCACAAGGATCGCCTTAATCTAATTTCAGCCTGACTTTTGTTGAACTACCATCTCTGATCACTGAAGAGAGGTACAAAATCCCATTGCGGTTGTTAACAGTAAAAAAAAATCCCAATACACATCCCCGCAGCTCGAGCAAATGAAATGGTAACCATGGTAACTGTATTAAGCAAGCTGGCACGGCCTAGAGCCATAAATCAGGTGTTAGCGCAAGCCGATTCCTCACAGGATTGAGTGAAAATCCATCCCATAGGTGGCAGGGAAAAAATGAATGTCATTTCACTCAGCCAATGCTTTATGCGTCAAATATATTACAGTCTCTGAATCACAGAAAAGGTCGCCTCCCCAGTGTTTGCTGTTTCATCTGAATTAATCTGCTATACGCAAATATAATACAACAGTCAGCCTACATTTACAGAAACAGCTTTGCTTCAATTGCAACTTAACACCTGATATACATTCGATAACATTTGGTGTTACAACTCCGCAAGTATAACAATGCAGCCAGCATTATTTCCATATGACATACACAGGAAATTCTCCATCAATTGACTATTTTCCATCAACGCTCACTGTCAAATTTATTAGTCTTTCACTCTGACGCCTCAATCAGGTTCGGGCCAAATTATTTTTTATTTCTACAGCTCCTCAATCACTGAAAAGAAACAGTAAGACATTGTTTTTGAGTGTCTAAGATACAAAGAGAAGGATGTGAGTTTCAGACATCATTTTGTTAACTTGGAAAGAACATCCAGCTTGAGTCTTCAGTAGTCTTACTAAACCTAGATTAGATCTGACACAGACAGTAGCCATTCATGAACCAGTCGTGCCCATCAAGTGAACTCAATCAAAACCACACCCAATCACAGCCCTCCTCTCCTGCATTAGATGTACCGATATACAACATCAAAACTGGGTAAATGATTGGCGAAACCAGCAAAAATTAATAGAAGTTGAGCCAGTCAGCAGGAACTATGTGTCATTGCTGCAGAAAAGCTTTGAAAAACTACGCTTCAGAGGATCGAGGAGTTCTGGAGGAGCAAACATGACAATCTGCAGAAATGTCTGTCTAACCAGACCAACAACCTGCAGGTACTTCAGAGCTCAGACCTAAACTCTATCCACCACACATCCGTGCAGAGACATAACTGATCAAACCTTCAGGAAAAAATGTCTTACCTTCACTCTGGAGTCTAAAACAGTCAGCATTATCAGTCATCCAGCTCCAGCAGTTTAATAATCCACCGATATTATTCACATCCCGTTTCTCGCGGTCAGCGCGTGTCATCCATTGTGTGAAAAAAGTTTATAGCTAGCTTTAGCTTCAGGTGTCCCGATAGAGACCGACAGCAGGGGCATCTCTGGACTGGACCTGGTACCGAGTCCAGACCACAGGTCCAAACAGGCCGTGACTGAGGCCCGAACTACACGTATGTGGATATTTATTTATCAGGATATTTTTGTACTCCCGTCTAAATAAATGTATCTGTCCACACCTGTTAGTTCTCAAAAATATCTGCGTCTACACGTAGCCTTCAAACTCAATCCTATCTGGTGCCGCTTAAAAGAAATTCAGGAACAAAGCTACCCGATTGGCCGATGAATCGTAACAGCGTGATGCGTCATGCATTGTTTGCGGAAGCTACGCTAGTGCGTCGGGTCTATGTGCCGGTGTGGCGGCTATAACAAAGCAGACGCCTCTGTGAGTTGGCTGACTGGTGAATGTAGTTGTATAAAACAAGGTTCACTTGCAAGGCTGAAATTAGCCCCAAAAGGGCAAAACAAACGTAAAGAATACCCTGTATGTCCGCCATCATTGTTGTCGTTTTTCTTTTTAATTCGCATGCGCGAGCTGCGGTTTGACGTCATCGATCCGTAAAAGTTCAACCACACGAATCCACTTATACGGATATTTTTTTAATTTCTCCACTTGTTTTTTTGGATTCAGATTTATCTGGTTTGAGTGTTCCAAACTCCCGTTTTGGTGTGGTATGGAGGCCTAATCGGACATAAATATGTGCGGTTTGAAATATATCCGCATTCGTGTGGTTGGGGCCTGACTCACCGCGTCAGTACCGACACGCGGTCCGTGTCCCAGTGGAAGAAGACCAGGAAATAAACGACTGAGCCGGCCGACCAGAAACAGCGCTAAAAACGTTTTTCACGCGAATGGATGAGATGCTGACCGCGAGGTTGTAAACGGGATTCAAACAGGACGCGAACGGGAATAATATAGGTGGATTATGAACCTGTTGGAGCTGGATGACTGATGATGCTGACTGTTTTAGACATCAGAGTGAAGGTAAGACATTTTTTCCTCCGTTATTTTATGTCAGATTTCCATTAAACAGTGGAGACTCTGGTGATGAAGTTCATTACACTGAATACCTATCACTTTTTTTCTGAATGGAAACTCACAGGTCAACCCTTACTAGATACTAAACTACAACCAAAAAGGTTCTAGCAATGAAGAGAGTTTGAGCAGATTTGGGTGACAATAATAAACCATAAACCACTTTGAAATAGATAGTTGTGTTTATGTGGAAATTACAGCTTGACTTGAAGGTTTACAACAAACTTGAGAAAATCTTTGAAAAAATGGTTTTGTTGATCTGACAGTCAGCTCTTCACTTCTGTAAACAAAACACATTAAAAACAGATAATATACGGATGTTTATATCTGTACTTAGATCATTACTAGACTGACTGTTTCCTAATAGTGACCTATTGATATGAGTTCACTATAGTTCACTGAAGTTACACAAAAAGGTTCGAATTAACTTAAGTTCTGACATATAAAAAAGAGTCTTCTATGTGAGACTGTGTGTTTCATGTAAACTCTAGGGGCCTTTCTCACCTGTTGGAATTCTCATTTGCATTACCATCTGTTCATTAGGCTAAAATGATCACTAACATTAGTGTTTTAATGCCAAAGGTAAACACCAATAACCCAAATCTCTCAGCTTTACCACCTAAGGAGAAGCTGTCAGTCCTTCTATCTGAAGGATCAATGGCTCCTTTAGCAGCTCAGTATGTTTCTGCCTGCAACAACCTGAGGGCCTCACCCCCACAGGGAGAGCCATGATGAAGAGGAGCTGTTTGATCCACACTCTGTCATTATTCAACTGTGATATACCTGCATGTACATTGAATTGTAAAAAGAAAATTTTATAAGGGGCTTAATTTTAGAAAAAATAGGACTTGAATTTGGACCTTCGTCCTGTAGAGAAGGATCATTTCAACTCAAAAACTTGTCCTAGCAGCATCTCTACAACTCTTCAAAGATTATTATCAGCAACTATCGACAATATTATCTATACAATCATATCCGAAGAATATTAGAAGACAACTCTTTTTTTGCAATCCATTTGTTTGTTCAATAATCAGGGGAATCAATCTTTTTTTTTGTAATCATACAGTTTTGTATAATTTCTGTGCAGATATGTACAGTCAATTTTCTGCAGGAAACATGGTGCCAATCACTTTTGGTACAGCTGAAAACATGCTGGCCGCACCGCCTGCTGTTCAGCAGCAGGAATCTAATCTCCAGCTCCCTGCTGGGAACGCCATCCAGAGTCTTAGAGAGACCCTCAGCTCCACCATTAAGGAACTGCAGTCTCTGAAGGAGCAAAATAAGGTCCTAAAGGACACAATCAGCTTGCATGAAATTAAACGGGCTGAGTTTACAGAGTTGTAAGGGGTCATAAACAAGGTGAATGCCAACACCTTGGACCTTCTGGTTCAAAGAGAGAGAGAGAGGTGGCCCAGCTTCAAGAGCAGCTGAAGCAAAAAGATTATTTCCTCATCAAAGCTGCTATAAAGGAGCACCAAACCCTGAACCTGCTGGCCCAAAGTGAGGCCACATTAAGGGAACTCCAGCAGCAGCTGAAATTTTAAGATGATGCAGTGAAGGCCTATGAAGATCAACTAGCCCAAAAAAACATCCCAGGTGAGTAGGCTCCAGGAGGACCTAAAGTCTTTGGAGGAGCTCCAGCAGAGGGCTGTTAAAAAAGAAGAAAGAGAACCAAAGCCTACATATACACACTGGACCTGCTAAACAGGAAAGACCTGGAGCTTCAGAGGATTGAAGAGTTCTGGAGGAGGAAACATGACAATCTGCAGAAATGTCTGTCTAACCAGACCAACAATCTGCAGGTACTTCAGAGCTCAGATCCTGTATATTACAGTAACTAATGATTGAAAAAATCACTTCTTTCATTCTTTAGAAAATACTTTCAGGTTTCTGCTAAATCAACTAACACACAGGTTCTTTCTCAGCTCTCTCCTCAGGAACCAGACCTCAACAAACCTGTGCAACAGCAGCTGGAGGCAGCAAAAGAAGAGAAGGAGGAGAAGAAAGGAGAGGATAAGAAGGAGGAGAATAGTTCCCAGTACAAGGAGACATCAGAAGAGGGTAAGGAGAAGACAGAGGAGGAGAGACATGGGACTGAAGAAGAGACGAGGAAGGAGAAGAGCGAACATGTGGAGATTGAGCTCAAAGAAGAGGAGGAGCTCATTGGTGATAAACCCAAAGAGAAATGGAAGAAGAAGAAGAGAAGAGGAGGACAGAGAAAGAATTAGCTGCCCCCCCCCCCCCAAACCTAATCCCCTTCCTACCATTAACCCCCTTCTAACCGTCTTCCTAACTTCCTTCCCAACTTCCTTTCTAATCCCCCTCCTACCCTTAACGCCCTTCCTGAATCCTTCCTAACCTTAACCCCTTCCTGACTCCCTCCTTATCTTAACCTCCCCCTTCCCTTCATCTTTTAACCCTAACCCTTTCAACCCCTAACCACCTTCCCTTCCCCTATTCCCCCATCTCTTAATAACAAAACTGTACAAATCTGAAAAAGCATCAATACAGTTCTGATGAGCTGAGCCACGTGTCTTTGTGTGGTTTCTTTATCTTTTTCTTGTTGACTTTATTTGGTCTGTAAAATGGTTTCTCACACATCTCGTTACACTTTGGTCTTAAAAGTCAAAGTCATTCAAAATGTCCGGTCTGCTCAGTGGATGTAGGTCCTCTCAGTGGAGGTCTGCAGCGAGACCTCTGGAAAAAATACACAATACAGCCACACCAGGACAATTTGCAAACAATAATGGTGCTTTTTTTGAAATATCAACAAAAAGAGACTGTGGTTAGTTCTTCCAGATTTTCCAGCCTTATCAAACACAGGTATTACTGGAACAACTGCAGGAGTTAAAATAAGACAGAAGTCTCTCCAAGTAATTGATTCAAGTTGATCAAATCCATTAAAAATCCAAATTGTAGTCTTGAGCTTGTCTTGATGGTTCTATAAGACTCTCATCTGTCAATTCTGCCAACCAGCTAGACTCTATCTTTGATGGTTTTAGAGTTTTGGCTCCTCAAATGAGGCACAAAAGAGTCAGATTCAGACCCCCAGCAAAAGCGATGTATATAACACTGCTAGTCTATGAACTTAACCATAACTGTTAGTGTTTTTCTAAATCATAAGCAAATCTACAATAAATTAATCGAGTCTGATACTTTCCAAAGAAGTGCATTAACACAGCGCCTTCTCCATTACCAGGCATCCTTGCAAGAGCAACAGACAGACAGATAAAAAATTAAGACTGTTTCAGTGGCCAGATCCAGATCACGCGCAAAATATCACAAAATACGTCAACCAAACCATCCTCAATAAATCTCCCTTCCAAATTTTTGCCCAATTTCTAATCTCTAGATGTCTTTTGCCAGAAGACCGAATTAAAAAAAGAAAAAGGGACTGTGGTAGAGTGTTGGAGTCATTTCTCAATGATAAAACATGAGAAAAATTTTAAATAAATGATAAAAGAAGTTACAATTCAAATGAAGACTTTACCCTGAGGTATTGGGTTCAGCTAGTCGATAGAAAAGCAGGGCTATAAAGTTACACTCTGCAGCACATTCCTGCACAAACATGCTGTCTGTGTTTTGATCAGACAATATGAAGCCAGATATCGAGTGAGAGACTGAGGGAACAGGGGCAGACAGTCAGGCTGATAGAAAACACTGCAGTGCTGGTCCTGAGCCAACATCACCTGCTCCCCCTGAAGTGTGACCAGACAGAGGTGAAATAGAGCAAGACCAGCGTGCCCGAACCGTCTTAAAGGGGCATTTCACTTCAGAATGAATACAGTCTGAACTTTACCGTCTAGAATCATAATGATTACATCTTTTTTTTTTCATCTTCAGTGGATTAATATATGAATGTTTCGACTTTTAGCCGTCATAAGGAACTATTGGTGCTGGTATATCAACATCCTGTGTTTTGATTAAATACTACAAAGACCACATCAATCAACAGAAACAAAAAAAAACTATAACCCTCAGAGGAGAACCCATCAAGCAAAGTGCTTTGGCTGATCTAAAATGCAAACTGTGTTTGATTGGCAAGAATGTGACATTGTGAGGTGAGGTAGAGTCAACATCCACAGAAAGCGCTACCATCAGAGGTTTTCAGTGGGGTCACAGTCCACATACTCATTAATCAAAATGTGGCTACACCATCCAGCGCCACGGGACGCCCTCAGTCACGTGACTATGGTTACAATCAGTTAGTAGAGCAGCAGTGGTATTGCAAGGTTTTTGATGCTATGAGTCTCCAGGAATTGTGAAATGGTGTTGCTATGATTAACAGATATATTCATGAATGTTAAAAATGAAGTTAGTATCAAAGAATTTTTAAATCTTAAAAATATATTAGAAAACTACTTTCACATTTGCATTGCCACTCACATTTAAAAAAAAATGTTGTTTCTTCAGCCACATAAATCCCCCCAAAATAAAATACCAAAAGAGAAAGAAGTTCATGAAACAAAGGTGATAGGCAATATCTGTATGACCTTTTTTTCTTAGTGGCATTTTCAAAAACTTGTTTTCCTCACTGCTTGCTCATAAATAATCTTGCCGGTGGAGGGAGCAGTATAATTTTTAACATTTCAGAATACCACTTACAGATCACCCACTAGACAAGACGGAGGAAGAGAAATGACACAACACTTTGTTCCAAGAAATCAAGACGATGTTTGAAATCTTCTTGTCAACTTTAATTTTAGGTCTTCTCTGTACAAACTACCATCAGATACTCTATGAACTGTCGCCATGTCTAAGATATCTTTTTACTGCTTCTCTCCAGTAATTAACATTGCAAGTAAGTGTGGTGTGCACCCAAATGTGTGCCACCATATTTGTTGTTGTTGTTATATTAAATAATGGAATGAACTTTGTTTAATAAGCACTTTGTCTTAGCAAATATGCAGATAATTGAGTCAAGTATTATGTTACATTTCTGAGATGTACTACTGTTTGAATATTGGTGAGTGAAGGAGAGAAATGTTAGGCGGAGCCTTTTTCACTGTAATCGCACATCCCGGTTGCCTATTGTGGACAGATTTCCTGTCCCCTGAGTGTTCCTGGCTGTGTCTGAAATTAATCACTCAATCACTAACCCCTGACCCCCATATGGGGTTTCACTATATAGTTGACTATGTAGTGAACTCAATCACCGGAGGTTTCGGACACTACATGGCAGGACAGGATGCATGACGGGATGCCCACCACCAGTAAGTGACCATCGGATGGTCACTACATTTTACAATGCTTTATGGGAAATTTTGAGTCGCCTATATTGGGCACTGGAATTGATCAATCAGGTTTTGGACACTCCTCAAAATGGCACTAACCGAAATGGATCCCTAACCCCCATCTAGGGGTTAGGGATCCATTTCGGACACAGCTCGTTTCCTCAATCTCTGAGACTCCACCTTGATTCTACAGGTTAGTAGTGGCTGAAATCACTTTTAATGTAAGCTTTTAGTTTCGTGTTACTTCTGTAAGAGACAGATAGTAATTTTTGAATGAATTTCATCTCTATCAAGTAAGTTTACCGAGCTGTGTTATCGCGAGAGTTCGCCAGCTCACGCTAAATACTGTATTTTCTCACAGTATCCTCTGTACTTAGTATGTTACTCTGATTTATTTCACAAGGCTCCTGATGTGACTTCATGTGGTTGGTTTTTCCAGAATGTATTAGTTTTTGGTTTTATTTGGTTTAAACAGTCATGTTAAGCTAATCAATATACAGTCTAAGGTGCAATGTCCACATATGATTAAGTCTTAGCATTTATAAGAACATGGCTGAGTGATCCTGAGTCAGGCACTATTTTCCTTGAAGTCAATGAAAGATTAAAGGTGCCATATGTAGTCCATAATTAAGGTTGTAAGTCCACTTAGTGTTTTAGTAGTTACAGATGCATATTCAAAGGAACTTTATAGGTTTTTAGAGCTTTATGTCTTTCCAGGACAAGGAAATGCAGTGTATATTAAACATACAGTTGAAATTAAAGAGACGCAATCTGGAGAGAGATACAAGTGCTCCTGTTTCTTGTTGCTTTTAAGACTCTACCTTTATTCTACAGATTGCATTCTTTTTGTTATTTTGGTCACCATGTCTGGGACCCGTAACATTAGCAGTATGATTAGATCAGGATTCACTATATCGGACTTTGGTTATGCTGCATAAATGAATGATATTAAACATTAGTCCTACCCTCATGCAAACACCTGGACAAGAGGAGAAAACCAAATCAAACAAATTGACTGTATTTAGAAAGCATGAAAGCAGAAACAGCTAACACTGTATCACTCTGACAAGCAATATCCTGTTCATCCCCTGTTTCTCTTGTTAAAATAAAATTGAACACCTGGATAGAAACAACCACCTGACAACAATCTGCTAGAAAGTGAGTTTGCCAAAAAGGGGTGCATCCTTGGGACACATGGATGGTGAGTTAAGTGACTTTTAGGATCCGAATGCGACACAAACACAGGACCTAAACTCAGCAGCATTACTGGAGAAGAACAGCATTATGGCAGCACAAGAACGACAGCTCAGGTTTGCTTCAATATACGGCTAAGAGGGCCTACAATAATAGAGATGTTAAAAATCAATTTACCTGGCTAGTATTATAATACCAAGTAGGGAGGGTCACAATGGTTATTCCTATCTTTATAACATAACTCCTGTTAACAGCTGATAAGCCAAGAGCATCAAATACACTGAAAAGCTAAAGGACATTTCAAAGTAAAGTGTTAAGCTTTACGACAAGCAACCACCCTTTGACACCTCAGGGTAAATTTATCAATGTTATCATCTAAAACAGTGATATTTTACATTAATACTGAAGCTCAGAGATTACATTTGTTAGCACTAACAGACGACAGGTTAAAAATCAAAAAAATATATATATTTTTTTATAGATATGACAACACTGGGTCTTCCCATGACAATCTCGCTCCGTTAAGTACTGAAAACCAATGAGCAATTGTTATAAGAATAACTTTATTAATCCCCGAAGGAAAATTCAATTGTCAATTGTTATTCAATTGTCTTTTTTTTTCCAGAGATCAGAGATTCAAAGCTGCTTTGTAGATGTAGCTCAGATGCAAACATCCTAAACATCCTTCATTTATTTTTCAACATCTTAGATATTACTGGTTTCTCTTCAATCCTTTTCATGTCAAAGTGTATGCTTCGAACCAGAGCGACAAAAACAACCCACCATGTAGCAAAAATATGAAACACCATGAAAACACTTAGTGGTAATGGATACCTATATTTCTTTTTCAGGGAGAGAAAAGTGGCAGGAAATCAATACAGATGAAGACAGAGAGAGCAGTAAACAGCAGAAGCAACGTGAAAATATTTGCACTAAGAGTACCATCTTCTCCAGATGAAGTGAAAAATGTATCACAACTGTTAGCCAAGAGAGCATCTGGGTTACTACCTAAAAGACTTTGCATTATTTGTACGGAAATCATGTTCCAGTCAGAGTCAAACTTTTACATAATTAGATATAGGGTTAGGGTTATTAATCTGTGTAATGTGATGTAAACCAATCTTGCTAGATAATACCAATCTGTTTTAAGTGTAGGGTTATTTTGGTTTTCATGGAGGTTAGAAATTGAACATGTGATCTAAAGTTGGGTAACATGGCAGATCCAGTGTGCAGTGTACCAGTGCATGTAGAGGACTGGATAACTTTGACAGGTGAAGAGGATGTTCTGGAAAAATAAGTTTTTTTTAAATCGCTGGTAGATAAAACATCATAGTCAGCGTTTGTCTGTATGAGCGTTTGTCTCATCCAGCCGAAATAAAGTGACTGTCTGACAGTAACGCAAAAACTTCTATTTAAACATGGAAAGTGGCTGAAGCATGAGGTCAAATTGACCCCTAAATGCAGCAACTGAACACTGTACTATTGAAATATATCTTAAAAACCTCACTTGACAACTTCCAAACTCCATGTGACAGTCAGTTTTATTTTTTGGCCCCCTGATTTTCTGATTTAATTTTTAGTCTTGAGTATCTTACAATACCAAGTCCCAGTCAATCACTAATATTTGCCAAGAAAAAAGAACTGAACATTGGATGTCCTTTTTTCCTGTTCACAAAAAATAAAGAAATAAAAAAGACTGAGTCATTTTAGTTTTTTTCTATTTAAAGTAGTCCAGCTAGCATTGTTGTAAAACACACATTTGATCTGTTTCATATGCTCTGCTGTATGAGAACCATGAAACTATTTACACAGTTTGCATCTAAACTCAATGTTACTTTGAACAAAACTGTTTTTGACCTGGATCACCTTAATTAAAAAGGGAGGGAGTCAGTCCGATATGCAGTGAGGCTCAGCAGTGACATTGGACAAATGTCAGTTCTCAAAACTGACAAACTAACTACAAGATTCTGTGGTGTTGAGGCAGTGTGTGTCCACACAATGGTAAAAACCTGTATCCCTGCCTCAGTGATGGCCTGGTTGTCCAGAGAGATTAATTCAACCACCTCCTCTGAAGTCTATTTGGCCTTTTCGCTCTCTCCGGGATATTAAATCCTCCTTTGAAGTCAAGAGTCTTTCACTTCGGTGAATCATACTCTGTTGCATTTTTATTTTGCTACTACTATCTTGCCAAACCATTGTGTTGTATGAACTGCAAGTCAGTGTTAGACCGTTTTTATGCTGTCATTTTTAGATTTTGACATTTTACCCATTTGTGGAGACACATTTGTGTGTCTTCTTGAATCTGCATGGGCGTGTCACAGCTGCTGTCGAAGGGCTGAATACGGTGTAGGAGGGGGATTTGATTTGACATCCTCAAACAGAATGAAAGGTTTAAATTAGAAATAGTTCAACTGTGTTATTGTAACTTTCAGTTGACTGTAAGCACTGAAAAGACACTGTATTTATCTGATACAAATCCCTGTATGTTTGTATATTGCAATATTTTGCAATATATATTGCAGGAACAAAGAAAAGGTTGCAATATTAGTTTTTTTTTCCAGTATTGTAAAGCCCCGTCATTAAGCATATACAGTCAGGCAAACCTTTAACTTCCCAAACTGTGCTCAGTGACAGCTAAGGTAAGTGATTAGAGAGAGAAAATCAGCCGAAACACTGACCATTGATCAGTTAGAAACATGCCCAAATCAGCTTTGATTTACTGGATGAGATCAGGGTCAGGACATCCCTAAATTTAAGGATGAATGAGTTTTTTTTACTGAAACTACTTTATAGACTCAGCTAAAGTCAAACAGCTAAATGGAGCTGAAATCGTAGCGAAAGTGTCAGAAATAACTCAGAGTTTGAGTTGAAGCCGAAAACCTAAAATGAATGAACACATAAGCCATCACATAAGGACTGGCTGTGATAAACTGGCTTAAGCTGCAGTACGTTTTCTCAAAATTAAGTCTCGTTATCACATAAACTCTCATTTCATATTCAGCCATTAAAATGCTAGCAAGACTACCGCACTGTTTATACTTTTTCATCCTATCAAAGTTAAATACAGAACTTAAAAACAAGTAAATAGAGTTTGCTCTAAGTTGCAGAGCAACAGGAGAGGTGATTAATGGATGCTAAAAGCATTTCCATTCAGTCAGCATGTGACAACAACTTGACATTGCAGCTCAGTCACTGGTTGCAATGGTGTCAGACACTCTAGGGTTGCTGCTACATGTATGGTTGCCTGTTTCCTGAGGTGCTGGCGAGCTATCCAGCCTACAGCAGGGGGCTGAAAGCAGCGATGCACATCCTCTATATACAACCATATCCAGTCAGAGAACCACAGACAGTTAACACGCCAGCGAGCAGAAACAGCAAATACGGCAGCTGGTTTGGACAGTTTAACACGTGTGTACACATACATACCTTGAAAAATATTACGACCTTTCGGGCGCCAGCGTAGGCAAGCAGAGAGGAAGCACAGAAGACAGTATTTGAGACGGAGGGCGACTGAGTGCAGCAGGCTGCTGAAGCTGAGGTGCGAAGCTTTGTGGGCTTAGGGTAGGTGCATTGAAGGTGCATTCACAGAGGGCAATGCGGGCCAGGCTCTCGCTCACATTGAGAAATTACCTGGGATATAGCGGGTACATGCAGACCAGAGTTGGGGCTTTCTTAAGTTTGACTCAAAACCATTTTGCATGCAAAACTTTCTGTTATGACACATTTCCGTCTCTCCTTTTCTTGTCTTTTTCCAAATGCTTGGTTTTCTGGATTTTTCAGTTACAAACTTGACCCCAAATCTGGTTGTGGAATGGAGGTGTGAGCCATTTGAAGGGTGTAATGCCAACCAAACAGTGTTATGATTTCCACATGAACATGTAACTCTTCCCCACATTAAGGACAAAATACCAGCTGTCTTATTGTGGTAAGAGACATGGATACAGGAGAATGAAATCTGGGGATTTTGTTCTGTAATGGGTGAAAGGTAATTGTTAAAGAATGAGGGGTGAATGTCCTTAGTGTGACCATACTGGGAACAGAAACTGTCACTATGGGTTGCCTTTGTTTGTAATTAAATATCACATTTCATTGGATTAAAAAATCAGTCAATCATGGATAAATACAGTTGAAATCCCATATATTGTGCAACAGAATTTAATTCCCCTGTGGTGCAGGAAGAGAAGTGATCCACACTCTATTCCTATTATTACAGGTCTAATAATGTATTGCTGTGATTATTGGACTGGATCAGTAAGCATCAGCCGGCATGCTCAAACAGACAAGAAATCACAGGTTGTGTAACAATATCAGCAGAAAATACATGGAAACATTTCAGCTTCTTGCGTCAATCCACCATTTGAATTCTCCAGTTCCTAAGTAGAGTCTATCTTTGCCTACAGGAAGCTCTGAGCTGAGTCTGACACCTTTTTTTTAACTCCTAAGGGAATAAAACTTCCAGAAAGTATCCTTTCAAGAGCAGAGCAAGGTGCAAACCATGTTATTATTTAATACTTGATGGTATTCCCTTCACAAGTATCCAGAAATAGAAAGGAGAAAGATCGATACCACTCCAGTGTGTGTGCTGTACAATGCAGCTGCAGACAGGAACAAGAGTAGCTTAGCATAGCAGGGAGAGTGGAAACTCCGGAGGCTGACAGGACTAACCAATCTACAACATCCCACATAATGTTCATTATGAGAGACATGAAGTGCACTCAGGAATCGTGCAAATTGGTGGACACCTGCCAAAGTCACAAACAAATGCAGAGGCGGAAATGTACTGCCAGTGAAATAACACGATTAAAAGACAAATAGCAGAAATACATTAAAAACAGCTGCTTTTACAGCAAACAAGCTGCTAATGTGTTAATTTGTATCCACAAACACAAAGAAAACAAATATGAAAGACAAAATCAAAAAGTCTAGCTATGACTGTGCTGCACGCAACTCAAATCACTGAAGTGAACAGGTAATATAATTTAATTTCTCATGAGAGTGAGGAAGATGAAGCAGTGAACATTATCAGACCATGTAATAATGAATACCGCCAGAGGAGTGTTGATGACACAAGAAAAACACAACCTTAGGTTTGGAAATAATCCCTGCTCATTGCACTATTAGCGGACTCCTTCTGCTGTTAGGCTCTTAATGCAGTGTACTTTGCGAAGATGCATCAATCTCTACAGCCACAGTTACGGTAATCTTACTTCCTGTCTATGCCCACTATGTCAATGTCTTCAAACAAAGTGATTTCCCCTGTGGGTTGGGGGAAACAGTTTCTGTTCTGCTCTGTCATTCCTTCCCATAAAAAATAAAACGTTTGCTCAAATAAATACAAACGTATTTCACTGAGTGCTCCTGTATGCCTGAGCACTTCGGCAGCCTCAGCTCAATTTTATTTGTTTTTCTTTTGCAATTGCTTCCAATATACACAAACACATTTTTGAATTCTCAGCATATCTAAATCTGCAGCTTAATTGCGTCAATGCAGGTATCTAATCTTTTTGAAGCACATAGTCCTCTTCCACTGTTGCATTTAAAAAAATCTATATGTTTAAGAAAACACTTTCTCAAAATCAGATTTGGTGCACATTTCTCTCTTCAGCTGTTGCAGATCATTTAGCAGCTAGCTTGTTCATATTCGGGTTCAAGGTTCTATTTACATCAAATTAGTTCTGACCCAAAACCGCAACCTTACAGAGTAACACAAAGTCCTGTTGGTGCAGGCACCAGTGAACCTGCCAGCAGCATCTCCTTCAGTAATTTATCAAAGCTGTTACATAAAACAGCGACCAAACAAATTTACAGGAGCTTGGCAAGAAAATCACAGATTTTCCAACTCTTAGTAACCAGCCCTTCAGAGTGGTGGCAGATGGAGTCTTCCACTGGATAATGATGCACCTGGATATGGAGTATCAGTATTAAACTAAAGGAGTTTGAAAAGATTGGCAAATCAGATTATGGCAAAAATCAAATAATGTGCAACACTAAATTTTCCCTACAAACACTAAGTCACCTGGTTTAGGTACCTAACCAGTTCTTGTTTATATCTAAAGTTAATCATTTTAGTAAAATACCAGGTCAAGATTGGTATTTGGTTTTAAGGAAAGATAGGGATTCATATAGTCACAGAAAAGCAGTGTGGTACTTAGTTGTATTAAACCGGCAGCTAGTCAGCTGGTTGTCAAATAAAGCCAGGAGGAACCCATCTCGAGCAGTAAAGCATTTTTGAATTAACCCCAGTAGGCAAACATATAACAGGTTACCAAGTGCAGGGGCTGGTAAATGTGGTTACATTATGACAGAGCCAGGTTAGCTACTTCCAACAGTTTGACTTTATGCTAAACTGAGGAAACCAGCTGCTAGACGCCCTGTACTAAATACTTATAAGTCATACAAAATACCTCATGATTTCACTAATAATAAAGGCAAAATACCCTGAAGACCATGTGTTAGTAGTAAATGTTCATTCTTATTTTCTTTCTGTGTGTTTAACCATGCTTTCTTGCCACTTTTCATCTTTCTATAATTCTTCTGTTAGGATTAGAAAGACAGATGCAAAGACTCAGTGAAGTGGGTTGTGATTGCAGCTTGGTCACAAAGATGATAAAAAGTCCATCTGCTTGGTAAACTCCAACACAGCACCTTGTTTCGTCTCTGTTTAGTCTAGACTGCTGTTATGAGAACATATGTTGTCAAAAGACTTCTTCTAAGGTGCTGCTGGCTCAGGTTTTTACATTTATTTCTTCGAAGGATGCTTTTCTGAAGCAGTGTGTCTTCATATTTACTGCCACCACAAGATCTGTGTGCTTTGAAAAGACTTATTTTCCACATCATCTCTCAGTGTCTCCTTCTTGCGCACAAAACCATCTTTTCTTGCATCTCTCTTCAGTTTAGTCTTTCAGGTTTTATTGATCAGTCACTTTCTGCACCTTCTGTCTGTAGAGATGCTGTTTCAAGGTTATAAACCATGTTCCCTCAGCTGCTCAACTGTTGCCATCTAGTTCAGGGAGCACAATAAAATCTATCGCAGTAAATTTCTCTCCAGCTCTCTAAGTGTTACACTGCAGTAGCAGGGCAGGGTAATGAAAAAACAGCCACTCCCTTCAGCTCTGCTCCTCTGCCGTCTAAATATTCCTATTCCCACCATCCAAGTAAATTATTCATCCCACTGGACCTCAGGGGTTGTATCTGTCCAGATGTCTGTAATCGATGCTAACACAACCACTGCTGCATATGAGGCAGGGATAGCGTGGTATGGATAGCATGGATAGTATATGTGCTTTCTTGGAGGCATCAGTATATTCTGTTTTTATCCAATAGTCCACTGTCCAGGGACTCCTTGTGCATCATATTTTCAATGTGCAAAACATCCCTGAAAAATAAGCTATTTACCTTTACCTCCTTATAGTCTTCTGTTAAAATGTTCAACATGAGATCTTCCGACGCAGCTCCACTAAACGTTATAGTGTCTTTAAGGAAGTTGTTGTAGTTTTGTTTGGTTCAACTTGACCCATCTCTGAAGTTCTGAAGCCTCTTTGTAAAGCCAATGCAGATGTGCCAAAACCTTATTTTTTTTTCAATGGACAACCTCAGGGAGGCTCCACCGCCAGCAGCAGCAGGTTGATTTTTTTTTGAAGCACATGAGAAAACAACCACACATGACCATACTTCTCAGTGGTTGGTTTTAGAACTACTTAAACACACTATGATGTTTATTTTATGATCCGTGGTCCTACCACAGTGATAAAGAGATTCCTGGTCATTGGTCATTGGAGTCAGTCTCAAGATACCACAGTTTTCCTTAATTATGCATTAGCCTCACTGTATGGCACTAATTTTCTTTGGGTGATCAACCCCCACTTCCAACAGACTGGCTGACAGAGTTAGCAGTGAGCTTATGAACATGACAAACCATTTGGCAGCTATTAAGTCTATCATTTATCCTCCCCTAAGGTTTTAGCAGAGCCCAAGTGAAGCTGAAACAGAGTTAATATGAGATCAATACTGATTTTAGGTACCAACAGTGTAAGGTTAGCGACTGCGAAGCATGTATGATGTGCATTCAATTGACTTCAATTATGAAGTAGTCAAACTGAAAACAAACTTAGATTCATGTAAATGACCGTATTTTATCCATCATTAAATAATTCAGTATCTTTTTTATGGGTATCACAGGTATCAATCAGAATTACGTCATCGTCTGGATAATCAAAATCAAAGAGAGGATCGACAATCCCCTCCCTTCACATCTGGGAGGTGTGCAAAGCGGAAGCAAATGACAATGCCGCACATTGTAGCCAACGTGAGTCTCTGTGAGTTCTCATTTTTGTGGTTATGTTTGTTTTTGTTGTTTTCACTTCACTGAAAACAAGATTGCTAAATAAATTATTTAAATCTGACCATTAGTGCATAATGTGAGACAATACACAAGAATAATGGAAATTGTATTACTTGTATGTAGCCCATCTTTTGAAATAAGATTGACTGTACAAAATGTAATGAATAAAACCAATGATTGTAGACGAGACTATAGTCTAAAAATGGCATAGGCCCCTGTGCTTTAAGAAAAAGAATCGAGAATTGAATCAAATCGAGTCATGACCCTGAAATCTAAGTTTGTAAAATCGTGACACGCGTAATTTTTTTCAGTCCTGTTAAATAAATTTGCTTCACAGCTCGTGAGAACCAGAAATCAACAAACCTCCACAGTATCATGCAGTTAAATCTCAATTTCTGTCTGTAAAACAGTCTGAACAGAAACTGAACATAATAATCTTGATGACTAGAGGATCTTTGTCATGTGGTTTGCATTGCACTGTACTGGTAATTGGTTTTGCTGGACATGTCATGTGATAGATGTGATAGAAAGCTTAAGCTGAATTAAGTCACTTTTCAGAAGATGTTTTATCAAAGCAGAGCACAGAAATTAAAATCTGCTGATGATTGATCATCTCTGAACCTTAATTACTTGAGTTAATCAATCTGAGTCAAAGGTTCAGGGTGTCTAGGTAATAATGCCACAGACTATCAGACAAAATCATTATGAAGCAGATTTGTTGCTTTTCCGTCTCTCTAATTAAATCTGAAAGCACTGTTTGAAGCCTAACTTTGACTGAAATATGAGCCAGACTCAGCAATTAATTATCACAGCGCTGTGTGCAATCCCAAGACTTTTGTTTTTCTCTCAGATTTTCCATAATTACATTTAGGGCACATACAGGGCTTGACACGGCTTTCTCTTATTCAACAAGCTGTTTGCTGTTGATACAGGTCATGAAAGTCAAAAATATGATGAAATCCATGTCGATTCATTATTTTTTTGCACTAAAAACCAGGAAAAACAAACTCAGTATCTGCCTCCCGCTCTCACTGAGCACATTATGAAATTAATAAACTGCATATAAGAGCAGCTCACTTTTCAATTTAAATGAATCATGCTAAGTAATTCCTTGGCAGCCATCTGCTGAAGATGGTAATAAATCAAGGAGGTTTCAGGACACTGGCTGCCATCAGCTCTCGCAGCCGGTGGTGGTGCTTTCCTCTCTGATCTAATTTGATGTCCATTTATTCAAGGGCTCCTTATCAAAGTTAATCAGAAAATTTGATTAAACAGAGTAGACCTTTTAAGTTATATTATTAGCTTTAAAAAAGTATGAAAAAGGATGTCAAAATAAGTATCTATAAAAAATACATTTTTGCACAGTACATCGGCATACTCTGAGGGGACAGTGGCTTAGATGTGAAGTGGGTTTTCCACTACTTTGAGGATATGATCCCTGTGTCAAAGAGTCTTGTTCTTAAATTGCTAACTTTACAGTGTATGATCGTGTGACTGATCAGCTGATTATTGGCCTTACATGGCGTCAAGCATGTGTAAATATGTGTAAAAAAGTAGATGTGGCATGTTGTTTAAAAACCACCCTGAGTGGCCCTCATACTGTCATTAATTACTTTCAGAAGAATCCATCCCTGGTCAGAAGTGGATTTTAATATTGGATGGGGACCATATTAATATCATTGAAACAGTGTATTGAACTTTTAACCAATAATGGCTGGGCTAATTACCCCCACTGTCATAATGATGTGACCACATAACATTAATAACATTATTAACAAAAATAGTTTTATTCCATCAGCCATCGGGCACATTAACACGGGGAAGAAACCTTGAGATCTGTTGGTTTTTATTTGGTTTGACTGAGTTTGATTTGGTCTCATTTGATAATTTGATTCATTTTAATCTCTTACCCCCGAGCACTGTTGTCACTTAATGCCTTGTTGCATGTAATGTGCTGTTTGTTCATCTACTGTCATACATGTGATTCACTGCAAACAAAATTTACCTAAGGGTACAAATAAAGTAACCTTTGACCCTTTGACCTTAGGCTTACTGGTGAAATGAATTACATTGATAGTCGTTCTGTTCCAGCAAAGTCAGCAACAATAAGCAAGGCAGAGACGAGGATAAGGATTAAAGTTATATCACCCCAGACCTATATCAACGCTGCAAAACAGACTTCAATTCTGTTGCTGTTTCCTCAGACATGTTTCCACTCTCATAGTTGTCCGACATAAGATTGTTGAAGTATGCACTAAACAGGCAGTTCCCGGTTTATATGCTTCAGAAGAATGAAAATGCATATACAGTGATGCCATGCACCACCACTTACTACGCCAAAATTCAGCTTTTTGGTTAAAACCGCTTTTTCAGACCAAGATTTTAATACACATGTGTAGCTTTGCCTTCTATGAGTGTTAAGAGTCTTGATACAAGCTTTTCTTGGGATCTTTGTGCTCTCTGCCCACTCTCCTGCTCCTCATGGACACACACTGATGATCTCAGGTAACCACCGCTCAAGGTCACAGCACAAAAATGATCACAGGGTTAAGAGTTAGCTTCTTGTTCATGCCATTCAATGTTTTTGGGCTAATGTGCTGGCCCAGCATTCAGTGTTGTAATCTCAGCCTGTACTGTAGTTAGTTGGACCAAATTTCAGTTGTCCTTGTGAGGCAATTTGAGTTTCTGTCGCTATAAGAGAGTAGCCATGCCATTTCCTCACAAACACTACAGACATGATGTAAAAAACAGTCAAGATGCTACAGTAAGACTGGAAACTGGACTTAGTCATGATGAGGTACAAACAAACCACACCTGTCTAATATGATCATGTCATCCACCTCTACTGGTCACCTGTCGTCTCCACAAGATTTTCTTAATCAGATAGCGTACCAATTTATACAATATATGTGATATTTCTTGTAATAGCTACTTCCAGTACAACAAGAGCCACTCATGGATAAGAGGGTGAGTGGGTGAGTGGGTGAACTCATAATGCAATAAAAAGTCCATAGTGCTCATGGACATGTGCTCATCAGGTTAATTGGAGTCTCCAAATCGTCAGTAGGTGTAAGCTTGTGTGTGTGTGTGTGTGTGTGTGTGTGTGTGTGTGTGTGTGTGTGGTTTTTAATCCCTTTGTGTAAACCCTCTGATGAACCAGTGACCTGTCAAAGGTGTACGCAGCCTCTTTGCTTCGTGACACTGGGTTTGGCTCCGCCCCCAAAACCCTAGACAGGATAAGATAATGGAGGGATAATGTCTAACTCTGCTGCTATCCTGTTAACTGGACAATAACTGGGTAAGGAAACAAACTCAGACACATCTGCAGGTTGCTCCTGTCTGAACACACACACTAACTCACACATAGACAAAGCATACGTGTGTGTGTGTGTGTGTGTGTGTGTGTGTGTGTGTGTGTGTGTGTGTGTGTGTGTGTGTGTGTGTGTGTGTGTGTGTGTGTAAATCTGTGTATTTGCTGTGTTTGAGCCCACTTATCAACACTGTGTGTGTGAGAATGTGTGTTTCTTGTTGTGTAGACCGCCCTGCAGCAGAGGACCGCTCTCTAAATATAGCTCCAGCTCAGAGCTCACAGAGGAAGGCCCTGCCTGCATCCAGACAGCCGGGGATTAACCATTACTCTCTCAGTCACACACGTCAAAACATGGATTCCCAGTCACGCCCTGGCATACAAAGCATGCGTTTTCAGAGGACAACAAGCGATTCGCTTTGTCAATCAGACTGTTTCAGGTAGGCAAAATATTCTGCACACATACAGGAAAAAAACGTTAGAAAGCTGCTGCATCTCATTTTCTTTCAGCCAGCACATTTAGCATCTGATTACCCCGTCAGCATTCAATAAAACTTGGACTGGCTCCCAAGAGCCAGGAAAACCATTGGTCGTAAGATAAAGTGCCCTCGAATAAATAAACATTCATGAAATATCGTCCACAGATGTGTGTGAGGGCACTTTGGTTTTTGTGGTGTTAGCTTGTTATTCCAGTAAAGTAGCAACAAAGAACCTCAGCCATCATTCAAATGAAAAATCCTAAACTAAACAAAAAGATGCCTCATTGGAAATTGAAAAAAATAAAAATAGACATGCATTCTTCTGAACTAACTCAGTAACTTGTTTATTTCTAAGTGACTGCAACACAATTAAGACTAGTACGATAATGGGACCATTAATATCTAGAGAAGATTGATGAAATCTTGTTCAACATAGTTGAAGCTTCGGTGATCTGTAAGTCACCGCAATATTCTGTAATAAATACATTTATCCTCTAATAAATGAATCTGTAAACTTCAATGAATTCAAATAGCTTTATACCAAAAAAATCATACTAAACTGATTTATCAGTTTTTAAAGGGTGATAAATCACTTAAATCACAATAAATCTTTTAATTTTCTAATTTGCATGTTTTTTCAGCCCTTTTCTCCTCATTGTTGTTTTAGTTTTGAAATAAACTCTCTCTACCACCAACATTAATAATCAATCCCTGAGGTAACTAACTGTTCCTGGGTGATAAAATGAGGTCTGTATGGAGAAAACCGAGAGGCATGCCCATGAGAGGGGGCTGGAGGTGAAGTGATATTTTTTACACACATTGTCTAAACTGTGTCATTATAAATCTCAAATGCAAGACAGCAACATATTAGTTTAATGGCCCTCTTAATGAGCCATTTAAATCTATTTGACATCGCATCTTAAACGACATGGTATCTAGATTATTACCCAAACCAAAGCTTTTAGATGACTAAAGCTGAATTTTTCTCTGCTGTTTTGAGGGAGGAGCCTGTTTGTCATCTACAGGACCCAACAGAGGCGGTCTAACAGCCCCAACCTCCCCAACACTCTCTCCTGTCCTTTTAATGTTGGTTTGGGCGCTGAATCAGATGCAGGAGCAAGAAAAAAAAAGGAGGTTCCAGCTGAAAAGCTGTTGAGCGAAGGATGGCTGAAAACAGAAAAGTAAACCACAGTTTGTAAACTGTTCTTTAATGAGAGAGGAGGGCAGAAAAAGAGCCCACAGGGGAGGAGAGACACACATCAGGAGAGCTGACATCTTTCACAGCCCACTCACTTCTTTTATCTCAACAGAAAGCCTTGTTTTTTTCTTCTTTTCTTACCTTACAAACAAACACACAGGAGCTCTTTTAATTGGTTTGACACGACTACATCGATCATCAATCAAACAGACAGCACCTACTGACTTTTATTGTGTTGCAGCGCCTTTCTATCAGCGCTTCTATTTAGTTTGTTGCTTGAGTTTACAGCTGAAAAGTCCCTCACATAAATGCTATCTTCCTTCTCACTTCTGAGTCACTCTGCTGTCTGTGATCAGTCACACAGGCTAATGAGAGGACAATCTTTCTCAGGTGCTGTGGAAACTTGGTTAGTGTCCATGCTCCACATGAGGTCAAACTCAGGTTGAGCTGTTTCACACTGTGCAGCCACAGTCACTGTGACAGTAGTAGCAATATTTGTGTTCAAAGAAAGCTCAGTCTGCACAGAAAAAAAAAAACAGATAAAAACTTCTAACCAAACAAAAACAGATTTCAGGTGTCAAAGAGAAACACGGAGCAAGTGAAGTGAGTTTTAGGTAAATACATTTTATGTGTAATTTCTGACAAATTCAAAGTTTAATCCAGCAGCTGTATGAAGGACCATAGGGTACAGCCAGAGTACCAAAGATACCACATTAGTCCCCACCACAGCTAGAGTCTGTCCGAGTGATCCCTACTGCTCCTCCCTGACTTGAAGGTGCAAGAGGCAAAGACAGAAAACCTGGGGTTACATTAACCCTAAAGCCTAGTTTAAGACAATCTTATCAGCCACACACATTCAGCTTAGTAGGTGCAATTTGGTTTCAAAATACATAAAAACATACATGTTTTATATAACTCCCATGGATTTCATCCTGACAGATAGGCTGTGGAATTGATACAATACAGATTGCCCAACAATCAAAAGTAGGGCTAGGCGATATGGCTTCAAATCAATATCACGGTATAGTGAGCAGTTCACCTCAATAACGATAAATAGACAATAACTACTCCACAAGCTGCTCACCCCCTCCTACATTAACTTCGTCTACTTCAGCTGCTGCTCTAGCTGCTAAAACTTTTAAATCATCCTCCATCTCCTCACCTGTCTTTCCCTCTTTGTTACTGACTGGATGGGGTGGAGTCACGTCTCTGATGTAGGACAGCATCTTAAAGGGACATGAGACCATAGCCTACCTACACACATCCAAAGCCAACTTTTATTTATTTTTTTGACACCAATTATACTGATACGGGCAAAATGATGTTGGTTATTGTCGTAAATTTCGTAATTGGTCAATTTTCGGTTTATCGCCCATCCCTAATCATAAGTGACATATGTCTATTAAACTATTAGTTGTAGCAATTTCTCTCTATCTCTCACCTCTTCTACCTTCACATGCCTTTCTAACTTTGTACCCTGTTTGGCAAAAAATCTGCTTTTAGTTTGAAAATATACAAAGGGTACTTCCAATAGATCACAAACTTACTGGAGAAATGTAGCAGAAAACAATCAAGAGAAAGCATCCTATGCATCAGCACCCCAGGAGAAGCATGAGCTGTTACCATGCCAAAACATTATCTGTATGTTTTCCTTTTTTTTTCTTTGTAACTGCACAGCACATGTCGAGACACCACCAGGTCATATAGACAAAAGCTTAAATGGTCTGCAAACATCCACCTCAGCAGGCGACAGTTTTCAGCCCAAATTACACCTTCATGTGAAATTTGAGTTTGTGTTTTTCAATCCACGTCTGTGAACATGTTTGCCAAGTTAATCACATGACTTTATGTTACTTGAATCTACTTGTGCTGCAGTGTGAGATTTCCTCTTTGCTGGCTTTGCATTGGTTCTTGGATACCTAACATGCATAATAAAGGCCGCTTTGACAAGTCTGCTTATGACCGGTTTACTTTGACATAACATGAGAAGATGATAGCCGACGAAAGACAAAGATAGGTGTGAAGTCGTGTTGCTGTAGACACTGTCTTCAAAGACAAAATCACTTATGCAACTGGAGATACAGGGAGACTTTCATGCCTGAGGCAAGCTAAAGGCCAGCCAAGGATTGGCTTCAGAGCAGACAAACCAAAGTGTTTCTTATTTAGGCCTCGGTGATGATTCACATAAGGTCAGATACAAAGAGTCAGTGCCAGAGGCTTGACAATATTCAGAGACTACACACATCTTCTTCAACCACTGAAAGCTTTCTGAGCAGATTATTGTTTAAGCCATGAAAAATGTATGAACACATTTGTCAAACAGGCTGATTGTTGAAAGGCCATCACCTGCTTTGGAAGAGAGAAAAGGCGCAGAAATTGGTGAGATGATCGAGATTTAACAATCCTGTACTCACACAACATGAATATTTACACAGCAAGGCTTATAGAACATTAACTACATGTTTTCCTGAATTCTGTTTGACCTTCAGTGTGTACTGATGTGCTCCCCTGTAGTCATAGTGTGGAGCTGTTTGCCTTGTCCTGACATCCTCTGACAAACTGCAGTATGCCCAGCAACAGTGCATGCTCTGCTGGGCCAGGGGCGGGGGGGTTGAAGGGTGTGTGTGTTTGTGTACGTGTGTTAACAATGTGTGTGTGTAGCATCAACCATCAAGCCGTTGGTCACTGTTGACTCATGCTGGATGCACCAGAGGAAGAGTATATAACAGCTACTCCTCTTCCCATGCTCTCACATAACAGTGTGATGTATTTTAGAGACAAGATCAAAACTCTGACACATGAAGCACCTGTTTAACATGTAAACATAACACAGGTGCACTGGACTATTTCAGGAACCTTTTTCCAGCTGCATCTGGAAGGGATGCAAAAAAGGAAGATCTCATTTAAATTTTTATATTTTGCACCTTTGTCAACTTGTCAACTAGGGCTGGGCGATAAAACGATAAGGATATATATCAAAAGCGATTTTTTCTCGATATCGATATGAAACATACTCAATATGCTTTTCAATAGCCAGCATTCTGCCATGTTTTGGTAGACTATACGAATAGCCAATGAAAAGGGGAGTTGCTCTGGGTCCGTGCCATGCTGAACCGACCATTCAGTCCGCTTTCTCTAGCACAACGCTCTACAACAAAACGTCGAAGAGACACAAAGACCTCACAGATGCAGTAGCTTATTGTATTGCAAAAGACATATTACCAATAAACACTGTTAAATCTCTTGTAAGAGTAACAGGGAACATTTAAGATTGACAAGTAATTTTTCTATATCGTGACGTCGATATCGACTGATATGAAAAAAATATATCATGACAAACTTTTTCCCATATCTTCCAGCCCTATTGTCAACATTTGCATTCAAGTAACACCCTTTTTATACTGAAGTCTGCATATCCCTTTAAATTAATAGCTTTCACATTTCCACATACAACTAACTAGCATGTATCTACATTAGCACTAAACCCATCTAAAACCAAGATGACATCATTTACTAAACCAAAAACTCAGTAACTATAGGCCACATGATAACTAGACAAGTTCAGAACCAGCCAAAGATATTCAACTATCTCCCATTGTTTTTTAACAAATCTGGATTCTTATTAGAGTTTAGACAGATATCAGTGCCTCTGTTCTGCTCATGGACTCATTTCAAGTTTGCACTTCTTCAATCTTTGCCAGCAGTACTCAAAAAGAGTTGTTATTCATTATGTTAAAAGCCTCTTCTCTTGTGGTGTAAAAGATGAAACTAAACACAGAAAAATATCTTAGTTATATCTTATGGCTTAATGTCATTTCCACTCCTAGTTTATTTGTACAGAACTAAACAACATGACCATGAATTAGGCATATTTTTACCGATAAAAATTCAAAAATTAATTCATCGTGTAAAACACACTGGGGAGCTAAAACCACAGCATCATTCAAAGTAGTATTGATCGAGTTCCTCCAGGTGTTGAGCCAGTACACAAATCAGCAAGATGCCTGCTCTGGAACAGCAGTGGGCAGACTGTTTAACAAAGTGCTGCTGTTGTAGTCTGTCTGGGCATTGCAGTAAAATTAGACTCTCACAGGTCAGCAATTCCCTCCAACTTACATTGCACACTGTTTTTCACAGACAGCGTAAGAGTTTCCTCTGTAGGTGTACTGTAGCAGCTCATCTGATACTCAGCTATGCAGCTCAGAGCTCCTCTGATACAAGCACCAACCTTCTGCCATGTTTTAACCCATGAGTAGCTCTTATGAATGTGCTTGTAGAATACCGTATTTAATGTTTATTACGTAGGACACCCTCTGCGTATGTTGGTCAATCCCTGCGAAACAGCATCAGCAGTATGACACCTTTTTGCTGAGTAATGCTACAGCTTTTAGCAACTTGTATCATGACCATGACATCAGCAAGATTCTGGTTAAAAAAAAAAGGACTCTCTCTCTCTCCTCTTACATAAAAACACAAGCAACTTTGCAAATGGCTGACATTTGAAGCTATAATCACTACTCTTTGACTAAACTCATCAACCTCTTTGACTTTTCTATTTCCATGGTGGCATACATAAGGATACAACCAGAATCTTACTAGCCAAACAACCAGCAGACACAACCATTACTATGAAAATCACCCTTTAAAATGTTCCTCATCATTTTTGTGCTTGTAATGTCTTGTTTGATAGATGTCCTTAGTTTTGCACAAAGACTAACTTTTCTGTCTGTATTCAGTATTTTTGCTAAGCTCACCTAAATAGCTGCTGACAGTAGGGTCTGCTCCATATCACTGGCGTAAGATATCCTCAATATCTATTTACTATGTTATCAAACCACTGTGTTTAGAGCCATGATACTTAAAAGGAATTTGAGAAGACTAATACCAGACTAATCAGGAAAATAATCCAGTGTACCTGCAGAATGGGTGCTTTTTCAGTGGATAACCATGACGTAAGGATACTATAGCTACAGTGAAAGAGCAAGACATCTACATTTACTGCCAATCTACCTTCCCCAGGAGTAGAAATGTAGGCTATATGCTGCAGCAAGTTGCCCAACCCCAAAATGATCTTTTGCTGTGTTTGTCAGCCAACAAGTGGATATGGATGCACCAAATTAAAAATAGACCAAATGATAAGGATAAAAACCCCACAGGAGTCCATTTGGGGGGTAATTAAAGACAAATCAGAGTCTACTAAAAAAAACAAACAGAGGCTTGTGATGGTGTGATCACATAGACACACCTCTACCTGGCATTGTCCTCCTGGTAAACATCGTGACATTCTACACATCCATTCACCAAATATGTGCACACAGTCCAGCAGTCAAGCATGCACCGCTCAATACTGCTCCTCCACACCGCAAACAGCGCGCACTGGCTGCAGATAGGAGGCTCGAGCTGCAACGCTAAACCGTGTTGTCTTGACCGACAAAACATCGAATGCATGCTGACTTGCTTGAAGCGGGCTGATTTACACGATTTTCCCCCTCCTATGAGCTTTACTTTCCACATTTACAAATTGTCCTGTTATTTTATACGTGGAGCTCGTAAAAGCGCCTGTGTGTGGCAGGTTTTTCTGCAGCTCAAGGACAAGCAGAGCCCAGGATTAAGCAACGATACTCCCAGAGAAGGTAGCTGTTTAGCAGGCTGATACGGAGGCTAATATTCACTGCTGAAGGAAAATTATCTGCTCGACACATGCCAAGGTTAAAAGCTGCAACATCAAATAGAATAAACACCATATTCTGCTGTTATTGTGACATCCAGGCGATAAGGTACCAAGACTGATCACAATTTGGAGGAAGGAGACGTCATCCCGACATTTAGACCCTGTTTCTTCCCCGTTATAATAAACACGAACATATTTACATCTTATATAATTTACTTATGTCTTACCCGGGCCGCCATCTTCACGGTTTGCGGGAAATCAGGGACGCTCGGGTCAATGAATCGTAGGACAGCGGGGACAGTGAGCGGAAAGGCTCGACAGCAGATGGGCTTATAACCAGCACGGTACCTCGCTCTGATTGGCTGAGTCAAGCGGAAACGTAAAGACGGGGCTGTCACCACTGGGTCGCGTGCAATTGAGAGGCGTCATCACACTGCCGTATTAAACACTCACGTGGCAGACTGACAATAGTAGGGAAAATGCAGTTGACTTGTCGCACAGTGTGATGATACTCTCGTCTGGAGTCACAATTTATGATGTATTAATGATCTAAATTATTGACCATGGCACGTGCACGAGCATATGACTGCGCTACTCTTGTTTTTCATCGACGAGAATTGAGACCAGCCCCGCGAGAATGCGAATATGTAAATACCCTGTTTTGCTTTGAATGTAAACCAAATCTAAGTTCGTATTAGTTTAATTGGTGTCCATTTGCAGCTTATGCGGCAGCTCTATAGTTAATTTGAACTGAAGATTCGTGTTAATAGGCGATCTCTGTTTCAGCACCAGGGACAGCGCCCCTGTGCTCTGTGCATCTGAACTGACTCATAGCAGCGATGAAATGGTGCTGAGATAAAACAGTGAAAGCAGAGACAGTAACAAACATCATGTTCAGCTCCGAATGTCAACAATCAGTCAAGCTGTAGGGGGTGTCTGTTTGATAAAGCTGCTGTAGAGTCAGAAAACAACTTAAACGTCAGATAAGACTCTGTGAACCTTTTTTATAGCCCTATCTGTTCATCTGCTCTTATTAAAATTATGGTACTTGCCATGTTAGGGTCACTGTTGACCCAGTTAGATCAATTTCTAATAATTAGAGCAAAAACTGAAATCATAAGTGCACTGTCAGGCACCACACTGACAGTCAGATCCTCTTCCAATCATGTGAGATTGAGGAAATTCTTATTTTGCCATGTTTTTCCCTGCATAAAAAAAAACATCAGGCAAGCCTAGACAAGTGAGATCAGTTCAGTATAGATGTCTGTGTGAGGGGTATACTGACAAAGAAAGACCCAGAGGCCCACTACAAAATTATTATAAGCAATATCTTCATGGATAATAAAGCCTAACAAGGTAACCTTCAGATGAGAACCAAATTGGATGACAGAGAATTGTTTTTAGTGTAATTTGCAGCTGATTTAAGACACGGGTCTAAACTGACCCTTAACATGGTGGGTGCATAGTAAATGCTAACTCAGCAGGAAGGTTAGTTGAAGGAATGAATTTAAGGTTGTATAAAAATTTCTCTCTGGTTTATAGTTAAGGCTGTACACCAACTTAAAGAGTGGTAAAGATTCGATCATCTATTTTTGCTGTGTTTTAAAGGGCAGGGTGTGATGTTTTCACTGTTTTTTCAGCACCATTGAGAGCACCATTACAATGACACAAATGCCTCAGCAATATGCCCAGTGCAACCTATCTTATCAAAGGTTTTTATATTGATTACAATTTCTTTTCAACATCCTCTTTGTCCATTGGTACTGTAGGTGATTTTCTCCTCTTTGTTCACTGCCAGGGTGCCCATGAGAAAACCCCAACAGCTCTTGGAGCCATTGTGTGTGCGACCCACTCAGTCTGACATCTCTAGGTGTCATAGGTTCTGGCCTATGTGTGTAGTAAAAATAAAAAAGACTTGTGTTGTACTGCATAATATCAAATTCTTCTCTGTTCACATTTTCAGTAGTAACACAAGCTGCCATCTTCTTTAATTTCAACACAAACACTTGAAGTATATCTACTCTTATCGACTCTTGTTGGACGGAAAAATGTCACCTGCAGGAACACGCTTGTGCTGGAGAGTCAACAAGAAATACTTCTAGTGCCTTTAACAATGTTTCGTCAGCCAAACTTCCCAAATACCTCGTCATCCGTGGATCAAATCTCCTCCCAGAAGCCTCTAATAATCACTGCAACAACCCTGCACTGCCTCAGTGTGGTCAGGCTAAGAACTGTCTCTACAGACGGATGTCATTTATCATTTGTATGAAAAAGAAACAGAGAAGACCTTGCTTGTAAAGGTTTTTATATAAAGTACCTGTAACAGTTGATCAAATTATTCTTATTTCTCACATAAATATTCATACATCCACATAGTAACAGACTGCAGCATCAGCACTCTAGTAACACTAGTAGCCTTGACTTTTGTTCAACAAAGATTCTTCTTTATACAACATGATCCACAAATTAAAGGAAGGAAACCATAAGAACTTCATCATCATTTTCATAAGCTTCATATGTTACACAATAGTTTTTGTCTTGTACATGTTGCAAGAGAAAATATGGCACATAGTTATGAGTGGATCAATGATGAGAGCATATAGAGGGGTTATCTTTTCCTCTCCAGTTCTAGAAAAAGCTTCATTTTTAGGGTCAAATTTTCCCGGCTTACTTGTCTTGTTTCACTGTAGTTGCACTGCAGAGAAGACTAGGACAGATTGAAGCAAAAATATTACATCAGTAAACCATTTTACCCCCCTTTCAGTCAAAATCCAACATCCAACATGGTGTTTAATAACCAAATGTAATGCTTTTGAGTGTGTAGGGAGGATTATAATCCTTGATAGGGTTTTTTAGGCTCCAATTTGCAGAATAGAACTGACCATTTGCAAAAATTTTCCTTCCACCACCAAGCTAATCAAGCTTTAGCCTTCTATGCACCTCAGTCTATGTATAAAGTAATGCAGAAAACTATGTCATCAGCATACAGAGATATTTTGACTCACCCGATCCCAAACCAAACTCAGAACACCAAAGGTGTTAGTGATGGACTAAATTGTGTTTATATGCTGTTTAGAAGCTACAGTTGTTAGCATGCCTAGCTAACAAGTGAGCCTCCGACTGAAGTAACACAGTTTTAATTTGGGCCAATAGCATAAACATGCTAACATCAGCCATAGTAACATATTTTATGTCATTCTTGAAATGTATCCGCCTACTGGATTAACGTACGGTCAACGTTTCTGACCAAGTAACTACTAATCAGGGATACGTTTCACTTTGGATAACATGATGCTAACTCAGCTAATATTTTGTCTTTCTGTGTATTAAATTGAGGACTTATTATGTCATGAAGCACAAATCTGTCATATTGTCAGGCTAAACTACAAACATAAGGCTATATAAATGAAAGTTGTAGAGCTCAGCAAATGGTCAATTAAACTCTGATGTTCAGTATTCATTCTTGAATAAGATCTTGGTAATGGTCAGGTCACTGCGTTGTTTAAAAACCCAAATTTATAACATACTGTTAAAAATGGAGGTTTTTGCATTTGATCAGGTGTTAATCCCTTTTAAACTTGTCCTACATACATTAGCCTGCTGTGATACAACTCCTACCAAACCTTCTACTTGCAATTTGGAGCTTTAGGTGGAACAAATTAATAAATACGGTATCACTATTGAACAGTCATTTGGGGAATGCCACTCAGAGAAATGCTACTTATGAACTGTTCAACCCATCAGAAACAGCTATAGGAGGAAGGTCTTGTAAACAAGCTTGTTTGCCATGGATTCAGTCTTCATGTGCATATTTGTCTGGTGAGGTCTGACTCTGCATCAAGGCTACATTATTTTTACAGCATGGTACCTAGTGCAGCCCAATCAATTCACATCTGAACATACAACACAACCACAGTTAAAACATCACCTGCACCGTGGAGAGACCCAGTCTGGAAACAGGTAAGACATTCTGTTTTTTTTCTGAGGAAGTGTTCGAAATCCTAGCGAACAGAGAATCATAATTTGTGTTTTCTCATCTCACAGAGGAGGAGGCCAGATATCAATTTTCATAAGTTATAACAGAATGCAATGTGCTCCAGCTTAGGATGACCCCAATTTTGGCAAACATTTTGCAAAGTGACAAAGTTTCACTGTGTATTGAAATCACAAGATTCCTATTTTGACTCCAGATCCTTGTGACCCGAACAAAGTCCCTCTTCTTGTCAAATACATGATGTAGATACATAGTGAAAAAAGCTCAGTCCTGATTTCCTCAGAGTTCATCTTGTTCATGAATCAGAGTTTGAGTTGGCTCATGTTTCTCAGTGTCTTTTGTATGAAATGATGAGTCTTTATGATATGGCACAAGTACTCTGCCCAGCTGAAGAAGGCAGAGCTTTTCTAAAATTGCAGACAGTTTATTGGCTAAGGTTAGACTCAGTGATGTGACACCATTGAAGGCGAGGAGTGTTTTGGGCCACTCCGTTCATTTTAGACATGCAGTTCAGGTGAATGATGTCTTCAATGGGCCTGGAAGGAGCTTTCCAAAGTCTCAAAGCCTCTGCTACAAGCTGAAAATAAGAAACATAGCAGCTATCCACTTTAATAGTGGGGGGCAGAACTGACTCCCTTGAGCTATCTGGAATTCTATAATTGAAAGTATCCATCGATTATACCAAAAATGAGCTCAAAACCTGCATAATTGCACGTCCATAAAGGCTGAAAACAAATAATAACCAGGGAACCAATCCTTGAAGGGTCTTTTAGACCCCAAAGCACCATAAAACCAAGAAAAGTAGAAATCCCAGGATTTGATTCACCCTTCCTGAAGTCTGTGCCGCAGAGTCTCTCGCCCGTTCTTGTGCCGAGCCGCCACTGGATGTCACATCACTGAGCCTAGCTTTCAGCAGTTCAATGTGGCTACCGCTCAGTCTCTTCTGTTACATATGTTACGGTGTGCCCAAAACAAAGCAGCATGCTAGGAAAACCTATAGAAGCACACATGCATGTCAAACAACTCAGTGAATAAGTAAGTCGTCAGGTCAGCGAGCCAGAGAGTCTTTAAATAACTGGATTGGACTGGACCTCACTAGAGAAGGCCAGCCAGCTCAGACCAGCCTGGAGCAGATGGACAGAAAGAGAGAGAAAGTAAGTCTGTGTTGTTTTAGTTCGTAGTGGTTTTTCTGTGAAGAGTATTGAGTGTAAGAAAAAAGAAAAGATGAAAGAGGAGGGGGGGACAACATATCAAAGAGCAGAAGATTCCCCCGATCAGAGTGGTGACAGCAACACCAAAGCTTTGTTCTGGAATTAATGTCTCATCAACACCTGTAGCATCGTCACCCCAACACATCTGCAACATAATGAGACTTTCATTCATTCTTTCATGGCGTGTGGAGCTATAGATGGAGAGCGATCACATGGTCTCCTTTTGAAACATAACCTTTATGACGCAGCTCCAGTAATTGTTTGGTGCAGCTTACAAAAGTGAAAAGGCTGCTTTCTTTCTTTCTTTCTTTCTTTCTTTCTTTCTTTCTTTCTTTCTTTCTTTCTTTCTTTCTTTCTTTCTTTCGATAAATATTTTCCTCTGGTCATGTCAGACAGCACCAATATGGACGGCATGAGAAAGTGCAAGGGGAGGAAGGAAATATTCCACGATAATATTGCATTTTCCCATATTTCTGTAAACACAGCTTAGAGAGGGGCTTTTAAATTTACAACTAATCTGAGCCCAGGAGGTAAGAATATCGTAATCAAAGGAATAAGTGTCTAATCTACTAATTAAAAGCAAATTTGAATGACAAAAAACAACTTTTGTTTCCTTAAAGATACAGTACTCAGGTTATACTCAGCACTAACTTGCCAATTAGAAATTTAAATATCACAGTGCTACAGTTTCCACTCCACTTATGTTGTGGTTGATTCTGTCTCATCTATACTGTGGTAATACAAGAAGGATCAATAGTGGGGGTAGCAGCCAGTTTGGCTAAGTGCAACAGTTCTTGGGAGGTTGATAGGTAAAATGTAGAGAGGGGCTGGCAATAAGCAGGTTGTCATGTGCAAGGACATATGAAGTGAGCTCATGCAAGGTGCTTCTTGTTTTTCTTTACCCTGACATTTCTTTTTAAGAGAAGAAACGCCTAAACACGCAATATCATCACATCAGTGCCATTTATCATTACATTAAATATATTTAACCTTTATAAGTAAATGTGTGTTGTCTGGCATTTCTAACCCCATTCATTCTTCAACAAAAGACTCATAAACACCCCAGATCAGTCACTTCTGTTCCTTTGAAACAAGGTACAGGTCTGACTGATGTGTGTCTCAGGGCCTGAAGCTAGGATAAAAATGATAAACACCTCTCCCTCACTGTCTGTTATCGTCACATCGCCAACAAATGACAAAACATTACTTACCTTGTCTAAAAACTAATGATACATCACTGCCTTAAAGCTTGCTATTGTGTCATCCTGAGCAGAGTGACCCAGGTGTTGGATACCAACAAGTATAGCCTGAAAGTCTTGTGAATCTAATCAGATCCAATTATTTCAATAATGCAGCAATAACCCTGATCTAATCTACTTTGGTGGAGTTAGAGTGACATGCTAGACTGGAACTGTAATTGTTGATCTGACACTGAAGATCAGCTGAGAGTTTGTTTGTGTTTATGTGGCTCATTATTCGACTAATTGAACAAAATGCTGCCAGAAACTCTTTACACAGGGTTGTAAAAGGGAAATTTAGTTAAAGATAAACCAGGAGAGATGCCAGACAACAGTACCGCTTCAATTATCACTACACTGCAACACTTTGTCCACCCCAACTCAACCTGTAAACTTCATCAATCTGTCTACCCTTTCTTCCCCCCTCCCAGCTCCCTCTTATCGGTCAACGCCTATGAGGAGTTTGGTTTTCTCCTCCTCTTTCTTGCTCTCGTTCTTTAGGTCAGCAAACACCTGGGTGAAGTAGTGCGGGTCGGTGTTGATCTGCAGCATTTTGCCACTCATGCGGTTGATGATCTCCAGGCAGCGATCCCAGAAGGCCTCCTTCTCCACCTCCACCAGGAAGGGTTTCAGCGGGTAGGAGATCTCGTTGCCCATGTAGGAGTAGGACAGGTAGAGGCAGGTGAGCAGCGAGGCTTGCAGCTCCCGTTCCGAGGCCACCTCAGATGACACCACATCGCGGCACAGCATGTAGAGGAAGACCACATTGGCCGGAGTGATGAAGCCCTGATCCTGCCAGCCCTGAAGGAGGAGGGAGCGGTCCACGCTGCGCAGCCACAGCACCGGATCTGTTGGGGAAAGACGCTTCAGGCGGTAACACCTACGGCACAGGAACTCACCCAGGCTGCGCATCAGTTCACTGGTGGAGGCCTTAGTTAAAGAAGGAAAAAGAAGGTGATGAAACACTTTCAAATATTACTCAAGAAGGGAATTGTAGTGTGAATAGATATAACATTTAGAGTCTTTCGTTTACCTGGACAATGACACGTTTTGGGGTACCGGCTGCAGTTGACGGCTGGATCCCCGAGCCTGTGAGGGAATTCTTTTTGGCAGCAACAGTAACTACATTGGCCAGGGTCTTGGATGTGGGTAGGTGGGAGGAGGTAGTGGTGGTGGTGGCTGAGGGATCCTGGCCTGATGAGTAGGATGACAGATTAGCACAGGACTGGGACTTCTTCAGCTTTATGCTGTTGGAGGCTGAGTTAGCTGTGGCAGTGGCTTGACCATCTGGAGGACTCCCTTTCCCACCATCCCCGCCTTCCGACTGCAGCTTCTTGGAGCCCTTCCTCTTCGCAGATACAGCCACAATGCGTTTCCATGGTAACACATTGATAATAGAGGGGCGCTTTAGGGACTTTCCAGCTGCTGTGGCAGCATCCTTAGCGTTCTTGCTGTTCTGGACTGCTGTGTAGTGTCCTACTGTGGCTGGGCCATCCTCGAAGAGCACCGCCTTGCGGTAGCTCGGGGACAGTGACAGCACCGTACCCATGATGCTTGTGTGAGGGTCAGTGGTGGGATAAAGGAAAGGAGATGCGTCAAGCTCTTTGACTGGTCAAGACAAAGAGCTCTGAGGGTGTGTCACCTCGAGAGGAAGTCGAACCTGTAAGCAAAAGCAAGTAGGAGTGTAAACAGTGCATCACTGAACCATATCTGATAGATTAAAAAGAGGCCTACTCTTTCCTAAAAGGCAAATTTAAAGCTCCAGAATCAGAGTGAAGTGTTCGAGTTGACATTTCACATAGTCACAGTATGTTTTGTTAAGCTTCTTTTCAAAAACCAAGACTAGACCTTGAAATTCAATTGATTTTGTGAAGAGGATGAGTTGTCAGTGTCCGTGACTATAGCTCTCAACCGTATTTGATGTCATTCTTCAGCTGAAGAAGCTTTCTGAGAAAAATTCTTACTGCATAGAAAGCTCTATCCAAGAATATCCATATAAACGCCATCAGATGAGCAAGGCTGAGTATAAGAGTCGCAGTGATTGTTTGCTACTTGAACTAACAAGTGGTCTCAGGTTGAAGACACTGACATTTTCAAATGTTAAATAAAAAGAGCTAGTTATATTAGTTGCATTGTTTTTGAGCCAACCACTGTTTCTCCTCACTTTTTCCATTTTATTTTTTCATGTTTAATGGTGAAATATGTCAAGAACACTGGGAGTGACTGTATATTTACTCATGTTACTCTGCTTGAGAAGATTTGTAGTAGAATAGTTAGAATTATTAATTTTACTCGTATTTACATGTGCCATTACTGAGTAAAAAGTTGCCTAAAATCATCTACCTACCAACCAGCTGATCGGATGATGCCCTCACTATGAAAAACTCAAATCTTACCAAGTTCATTTGTCTTACTTCTCCTTCAGGCTTCTCTTTGCACTCACTTGAAGCTGCAGTGATTTGAAAACTATAAGTATAAATCTTGTTGGAAGATATTTTTAGCCAGATGTTTTGATAACTTTCAAACTAACTGTTGCATCTTGTTTCAAAACACTGATCAAGATGATTATGCTTGCTTAATTGTGGTTATTTTACTCATAACAATCAATAAAGTCCTTGATTTTGGCTTCTAATAACAAGGCTCTCTGCAGTGACAGCTATGACTGACCTGGATTCAAACTATTAGGTATAATAATGAGACATTATGCAGCAGAGATATTCAGTTATTTCACCCTGGATGGCCAATTTAAAATATAATACTCATAACTTGGGTAAATTCAATGGTAGTTCTGCATCTATATGAGCAAAATACTACTTAAGTAACTGCACTTTTGCTTGAGTAAGATATTTCCACCCCAGAAAATTATTTAACATTATGCAGAAGTGATCTTTGGTGATTTTATTGGTGAACTAACAACTGAACACTTGACATTCCTTCACATTATTTCATGATTGAATGCTGAATAACGAATTCTCCACAGTTGGCTCCAGCTGGAGAAGTCTCTTGTTTATTTACATGTCAAAGAAAATGAGCACAACTCCTTAGAGGCGACCCTAGGCAGTAGGATTTTGACGAGTACATGATTTTATTCTCAATTTGTGTCGAACCATAGCGTTTGTGGTGATACATCGTCAATATACCTAAAGCATATGCATCGTGTGTTACGGCAGTGTAACACGGGCCTGCTGTTGCTGTTCATCAGTATTATATAAGGAGTAAGATAAGGCCACAGAGGCACGGGAAAGAAATGTGCGCAAGCATCCATCTTAGCTTCAAAATGGAAGCCCTGAAAACAGCCCCTCCAACACACGGCAGCTTCACAAACACCCAGTAATAAACCTGAGCTCTTGTACACGATTGGTGTGGATATAAGGGATGTGATCTTATTGTGTTTAGGGTTTAGATCACCTATTTTAGGAAGGTCTATGTGGGATGAAGAGAGCGCTCACACACCTGTGCATGTAGGTGATTATGTCGACATTGTTGGCTTAGAAGCAGAACACGGGCCCTACTATTTTGCTTTTCTGTGGCTGCATCATCCTCAATGAGACCGAGAGTGTGTGTTGCAGTATGCAGTAAAACATTGTGTTTTCCTACCTTCTGATTAATCGGCTCGTCTTGTGGAATCCATCAATCACACCTTGACCCCCCTTACTGCGGTCAAAATGTGAAAAAACGTCTACAGCCCCTCTGCTCGGTTTCCACACCACCAACACGAGCTGAGCTGGGCGTGAAAACCGAGTGTTAATGTTAAGTCCCTGTGGCTTCAGGCCCACAAGTTTATTCGCCAGTGAGAGTCTCTGTCTTCAGATTTTTGTTTGTTCAAAGTCCCTCGCCTGTGGATGCGGATGCAGATGCTTCAGTTCTTCGCTCGCTGCGAGTGGGAAGATGTCTTCCATTGAGAGAGGAAAATCTCTACAGTCAAGGCTGTTGACGTCCCAGATCGACGCTTAAAGCTTGGAAAACATCCCTCGGATACAAACGCATCGGCACATATCACCCTAAAAACGAAATCAGAAGAAAGATAGGGAAATGGCTACTACAGATTCCCTAAAATTGGAAAGCAGCGTATACCCTCAGCTATGAAAACCTGCCAAAAGATAGAGCGAGGAAGAGGAGAGAGAGAGAGAGAGAGGGACCCGTTGCTTTGATGCGGGCATCTGCAGTTATTCGGGTTGGATGTGGGGGAGAAACGGCGGCCTCTCATTGGCTGCTCCCGGGATGCTGCTGCTGCTGCTGGCCGTCGCTGTCGCAGCCGCGCCGCTAACGCCATTGGCCGCCGACAGGCTCGAGCCTATCGGAGAGGTCGCTGTCCGAGGTGCTGAAACCAGCCGAGCAGATGTGTCAAAGCTGCTCCGCGGTGGCAGAGATGGTAGGGGGCGGAGGGGGAGGGGCCGAAGCTGGCTGCTGGAGATGAACGCGGAGGTTTTTGTGAATCAGTTTGAGTGGGCTGAGCCCCGCTAACACTTGCGGGGGGGTGATAGATATGCCTGCAGACAAATGTGCTCATGCGCCATTCTGACAGCACAGGGGTTTAAATGCTCATTTATAAAACAGCATGTATACTGATTGGACAACATGCATTCTGGGATTGGTGTTATAACATCACTATGCCATTTGTAGTCATCCCAGGTGCTCCGATTACCCTTTTTATCAACAAAACAGCGGTCTTTCTTTGTCTTGATCGATTACATGATAAATGTTAATTTATAGGTTACACTGACAAATGAACAATAGGCTAGAAATGACCTGGTCTGAAATAGGCTCCCATAGACTCAGAAAGCAGCAAGTGAGGAAATTGCTGTTGCTTAGTAACAACCCAGTTCCAGTCACGTTTCGGAAATAGTTGGCCAAGCTTATCAAGTATACAAAATAGGTCGAGATATATCTGTTTGCGTTTCCTCCGCCACTTACAGAGGTGTATGATCAACACTACTTGAAAGGGAGTTAATATGGGCAGCGTGCTATGACAGTAGGTTATAGGCTAGGTTTTTACACAGATCATTTTTATGCATTGGATTAGACATTTCTGTTTTTATTCTACTAGTCTTTGATGAAGAGTGTGGCGAGCTAAGGGGTGTCAACATTGCATCTCTCTAGATAGACTTACATAGCTGCCAGAAATAAAAATCGCCATATAGGTAATGTGTATAAAAGGGAATCCCGTACCTCCAAGTAAGCAGTGAAGTCTATTCATGCATGCACTGTCTTCTGCCTGATCCCTGTAATATACTCCCCATACTCACTTTGAGCTGTGACTCACTGTACCCAAAGTAAACTTAACAAATCAAAACATTGCGGGAAAAAATGTGCCTCCTCGTAAATCAAAACATTGAAAATAGTTTTTAAATCTGAGGCAGTTTTGCAGCAGCAGTTTTCAAAACAGCTCCATGGCACTTTTTTTTCACAGATATTTTCTCATCCTGTTGTGTCTTACTGTACTGCACCATGTCTTATAGTATGTTATTGTATCCAATCAAATCGTGTCATATCATATCTTATCATTCCTTATCAGCATTCCTCAGTATTAGTCTTCCCTCCATAAAAACTCGATTAGACTGCTGCAGCACATTCAGAATGCTGCTGCAAGAGTCCCCACCATGACCAAGAAAGTGGACCATATCAGTCCAGTTCAGAGGTTTTTACAGAATCATCAAGTTGTGTCTTGACAATAGGGCTTGATTTGTAAGTAGGCACCTTTCAAGAGTGTCAAGAGGTTTAGGGCTGTGACTCCATACAGATGATGACCAGTCTGTGAGTTTTAATCCTGGGCAAGATGTAAATACTGAATTTATTTTGATTATGGAAAGACCAGTTTGTGAATCTGTGTCAGGTGAGATGATAAGACTCATGTGGTTTGAGGCTACTAAGCATCTGAAGTTAATCTTGGGTGTGGACTGAAGGGATTACCTATAGTCATTTAAAATTGTGCTAACAAATCATCATTGTTTTGTGCCTGTTAATCTAATCCACTGTCACATTTAAACCCTCTGTTTTTACTCTTTCAGTAATGACTCTTAATGCTGCCTTTAAATCATTCTTATTATTTTTCTTTTCATATGTTTTTCCAACTTCTTTAATGTTCTTTTCTAATGTCTATATTTAGAACTTTGAGTTGTCTTGTTGCCAAAATGTACCACAGTAATAAACTTGTTGAGCCCTAAAAATCAAGGCACTATGAAGGCCAAAAGTGTATGATGTACCACTTCTACTGTCAGGCTCACTGCCCAGAATACATTCAAGAGGGGTATGATACGATTGAAACTCATGATAACACCCACTTCTGACCATGAACACATCCTAAAAGAAAACAAATAATTGGCCTTATAGCCTTAGTTGTTCCAATTTTGTACCCAGTTACATAACGTAAGGGAGAGGTGTCCAACAGTTTGGGCTTTTTATGTACCCAGTTAAAGATAGAGAACTAAATAACTTCAAGCCATGATTTCCTTTTTCATGTGTTGCCATTTAATTTAATTTCTCAGTGGTATCAGCTTAGAAAGTGAGGGAGCTGCAGGCTCTGTTAGTGCTTCAGAGCTGCTGCAGATTTCTGCCTCTTTGGGGAAAAAGAGCCTAGCAGCTGGTCAGTCAGGATATATAAGGCTTCTGTGCCAGGAGTCAAAACAGAGTCAGTGAAACTGTCAAAGAGTTGATGAACTTGCCAGCTCATGCCTTAAATTATTCTGACATTGTGCTTTTATTAATTTTGCAGTTTTCAAACAGAGATTATGATAAGGCACCAGCACAAGATCCAGACCTCTATGTGAGTCTAACAGGACTTCTTGAATCTTAATGTTGTATGAAACTTGTTTTAATTAATATATACATATGTATGTAATGTATATTCATTTAATGATCCCTATATAAATGCCATCTGTGATTTGATCAGTGCTGTTTAAAGGTCACTCTTTCAAGCATCTTAGCTCAAAGTTTTAATTTCGGGCAACATCTATGGGTAATTTCATCAAACAAATATGGTGGTAATGCATGTTTTTTCTTTAGTTGCAGTGGCCAAGAAAACTATATTTTTCTACTGTGTTCCTAGTTGTCACTGTTGTGAGCAAGCATGTAAAAAGTAAACTCAAGTAACAATGAGTTTGTCATTCATACCTCATTTCTTGTATCGACTCAAATCTGTATCCATGTAAAAAAAATGTTACCTCACAAACATTAAGTTAGGCTACAGCACATTATTTCTGAATTTGAAACGGTAGTCTGTTCAGATTATGAGGAGAGGTACAATTATCTTGAGAAAAAACACCTTATTTCCACTCAAGCAGTGTTTGGAAGGTCTGGACTACTAGCCCAGGCCCGTTTTTTATTCCGTTTTTGGATAATTCCTCTTATCAAGAGTAGCTACTTGCTGTTTAACCGTATTGCGTCGCTGAACTACATAACCCATCATGCAGTTCGCGGCCGGCGCGCACATTAACTTCCGGTGAGCGAGTTTATAAGCCAAATGTTTCGTCTTGGGAGTTCGATGTGAGCATGTTGGCTTGAATTTACGCAAATAACTTCACCGGCGTCTTTCTGGGCTGTCAGATGGATGCCTTACACAGACACCGCTCACTTTATAAAGGCACGACACCGCCATGGAAAGAAACCTACCGCAAAGTGAGGCATTAACTGTTAACATGTCAGTTAGCTCGTTGGGCTGTCGGCTAACTCTTTCTCTCCTCTGTGACTTGTCTCTGTTTTATAGCGATGTGTGGACAGACTGAAAAACAGCCGCTCGAGGCTGCTGGACAGATATCGACAGATGGGGGACTGTCAGCTGCGCAACGGCTCCGGGGCCTCCACTATCGTCCGGGATGTGATGGAGGAGGAATGGAGCGCGCTGCATACAGAGGACCAGAGGCTGCCCTCACTGTGCTGGTCACACGGCCTTTCAGAGGCTAGTTTCTCCCTGTCCCTCTTGTCTCTTCAGTATACTTAAACTAAATCTCTCCCCTGTCTCTGTCAGAGTCCCTACTTTTACCTTTGTGTTCAATCACTTACTTTCATAACAGTTTGTTGAAAGCTTGCCACACAGTCTTAAAACCAGACTTTCTTCATCTTCCTTATTTTTCCAGACATTGTGCAAAATCTTATAACACTCAAAAGCAACCGAAGTTTAACTTGAATAACATAGTGATGGTATTTGTGGGTACAGAGCCCTCATGGGTTATTGCCACATGTTTCAAATCCATAAATGAATGTCAGAGTATTGAAACTAACAGAGGTATTTTTCTCCTCTCATACACAGATACGTGGTGACAGCCAAGAGGATTATGAACTGGCGATACTCGAAGAAATCCAACAGGAGCTCTTGGCTCATGGTAACACATTTTTGTTTGTATTGAATGTAGAATGTAGATATTACAACACATATAAAGGTAGTGTAAATGCCTGGCGTACCATGTACCTGGAGGTAGGACTGGGCGATTATATGATTGGGATTAATGATCGTGATAAATTTCAGTTTGATCGGTGATCAGCTGTGAGCTTTTTTACTTGTTCAAACATAACGAAAATGTGCATCACAACAGCCAATCAGAGTCGAGCTTTTCCTGCTCATTTCTGTAAGTTGCTGGACAAGTAAACAGAGAAACCGAACGTGGAGCTGAGGGCAGTAAAATAGATGTCAGCAGTGACTTTGAGTCATCCTCTGAAGATGTTATTGTTGAGAAGAAAAGTTATTTAACGTCTTATTTAGTATTTATCTACTTTTGTTGTTCTGTGGAGTTAAAATGTTTTTTATATTTTTCTGTTCAACTTATTCAGTTTACTTTGTTATCTACTTTGTATGTTAATAAAATGTTGAACTAAACTCTAGTTTTTTTAGTTTTAAGCACAGATGCTTTAAAACTGTCAGTTTAAAAAAAAAAATCGGGATATAATCGAGATCTGACGATTTGACAAAATATATCGTGATCATCTTTTTGGCCAAATCGTCCAGGCCTACCTGGAGGTGACCATATCCAACAGTAGTAAAAAGTGTGTTTTCCTCAGCTGTGAAGATTCATGTCTTTTTTTTTTGTGCCTCAGAAATGTCCATCATTGGAGAGTATGAGAGGAACCTACAGTTTGAACAGCAGTATTTATCATCTGTTGTGGAGGGGATGGATGAGATGCAAATGATATGTCCCATATGTTGCATGTAAGTCAGAAACTACACTTCTACAACTGAATGCTGACACATGGAGTCTTGTTTTGTGTAAGGAACTTTTCTTTTAAGTCAAGTAAACAAGCTTCTTTTGTTTCTCAGGAGGAACTTAAACATCAACTGCTATTTTATCTCCTGCCCCTGTGGACTGTACATTAACACTAAGGTTTGTTTTTTAGATTGTAACTCACAGTTAACTCTAGATTACATGGCACCATTGTCTTACTTGCTTCCATTGATATGATTTTATAGCTTTTTTTTTTTACATTTTTCCAAACAAATCCGATAAAGTCTGCCATGATTTTCTAAATGTCTTCAGAATCAGAACATAACTCCTGAGATCCTGAGGCATCTTCTGGAGTCTAGGGTGTCTGAGCACATGGAAGATTGTCTCAACAACCCTGTTTTTTCTGTGGCTCCCAACGCTGATGACAGCTCCCCTAACCTGATGATAAGCTGCAAGGTACTGCACAGTCATTACCAAGCTGTTTTTTTTTTCACAGTGGATTCTGGAAGTTCATACCTAGAAATCTCATAGGTCATACTTGAGTGCTGTATATCATTTTTTCAAATGTATATGTAGGATGCAAAAGTTCACAGCTGTTTTCTTTTCTTTCAGGTCTGTGACTACCTGTCCATTGTCCTGTGAAAGAGAACACTGCTGTTATGAAACAAGAGACTTAAGTTGCAATATGTTTGTGGATTTTTATTCTTTTTTTGTAAATAAAGACTATTTTATATATTCATTATGGTATTTAAACTGTCCTGTATGCTTCTCTCTACTAAAAAAAGACCTAATGATTTTTTTTTGTAAATCTACATATAATTTTAGTATTACTTAGTAACATTTTAACATTGCTTTTGCTGATCAAAGATAGGAAAAGTAAAAATATCATCAATAGATTCTTACTGTGATAATCTAATGGCAGAATTAGCTGCAACTTCACTTTTGCTCATCGATTCTAACTGTGATTTAAGCTCAGTTGAGAAACTTGCGAAGTCTAGTACAAATTCTATAAAATATGGGTCTTTTATTATCCATGTGCATATTGTGGTCTGTACTTTTTTTTTTTTTTTGAGGATTCTTTCATGGATGATACAGGACTGTTTCTTTTGCAGCAGAAAATTGGGCTCTTGAGACAAAGCACCCACATATTTATGTTACAACTGTTGTGAGGAAATGAGCAGCCATACATATAAGTTTAAAAATGCCAACAACAGTTACAACAAGGGGTATTGAAAACCTTTAAGTGAGTTAACTATTCAAATGCCTTTAAAAATGATAATCAGGATGCCTTTTATTATAAAATATCATGAAATATATTTCTATTATATATTTATACTGAGGGAGAGTTTGTTCTTCTGTTGTTGCTTCACATGAACATTTTTGTACACTGGATGACTATTTTCTATGTGTGTATTGTTTCAGAAGTGCCATAAGCAAATAAATAATAATGGCATGCAAAAATGTATTCATACTATATAATACAAGTGTAAACGTATATTCCTAGTTTCCAAATACTGCTGTAAGACAGCAATTAAAAAATTTAAAAGTGGATGAGGGCAATGGAAGCAAATGCTCACTGTTTTCAGAGGAATCGAACTAGTTAATCTCTGCTCTAGTGTTCTGTCATTCGCAAACGATTCGTTTAAAAGAACTGAATCTTTAAGTGAACGTACTTAACCAAATCACTTCCTTGAGATATTCGTTCGTTTGAAACAGCATTGCCAGTCGAGCAGCCGACGAACAAGGGATGGATGCACCGACACCTGAATCACTTGGTGAATGAATCACGCATTGAACTACACTCTCTGGAATCATTTTTTTGTAAGACAAAACTACCCTTTTTTTTCTTTTTACTGCTAAATTTCCACCACAACAACATGCATACAAGAGGACACAGCATGTAAAAAGTGGCACATTAAACCCGCAGCATCCTATCATTGCAGCGGTTTGCAAGGGAACGGTGTATGTTCAGTGTGAATTCTTCTAAACGTTCAGTGAATGAATCACTCAGTGAGCCCAATTAACTGAGCAGACCTGATAAATACCACACCATAGGACATGCACTTAAAACATCATCACATTCATTCTTACAAACCTGTTTGCCAAAGCAACACAGCCACAACACTCCTGTCTTCCAGTCCCAGAAGCTATGAATTGAACTGAATCCTGAAACTTTAAGCTGTGTATCAGTTCAGGAGGTCGGAGTATGCTTCTCCTGACAAGCACTACATGATTGATGTAGTGAACGAATCTTTTGAACTAATCTTTTTAGTGAACTGATTCTAGTGACTCAGTACATCTAAAACACAGGTGTCAAACTCAAGGCCTGGGGGCCAAATCTGGCCCATGGACCAATTGTATTTGGCCCACGAGATCATATCATATTTGTATTATTATTGGCCCACCAGTATGAGATCTGCAGATATCCTCCAGGGTGATAATGTAAACTTTAGCACCATTATTTAAAATATCCTTAATAAACCGTGAAAATCTGGGAAAGTAAAGAGTAAGGAAGATTTGATAAATAGTCAAGAATGTGGGGAAAAAATTGTGTTTATCCATATTTCCAATTTTGGATCTCAAGATTAAAAAGTCAAACGTGATTCGACTTTTTCTTTTGTGCGTTGATTTTTTTTTTAACTCAGTATTTAGATTTATGTCATTTTAATCCTTTAGATTCCAATTTTAAATTTTAAGTCATATTTTGACTTTAAACTCTTGGTTTCAAAGTGATCTCATATTTTGACCATTCTGACTTATGATTTCAACTTTCTCCTCATGTTGCTCTTTAAAAGCATTATTTTTCAGTTTGGGTTAGATGTTGACCCTGTTGGTTCCTCAGGTTAGATTTAAATCCAGATTATGGCCCTTGCTGTGGTTGAGTTTGACACCTCTGATCTAAAAGAACTGCCGTGCCCATCACTATGCTTCTCCCAGTGCCAACATCGATTCCTCTGACTTGTTCTCCGGTCGTTTGTGGACATGCAGTTACTCAGTGGAGGCAGAGCGCTCCCTCACCAATAGGGGGCGGAGTTGTTCCAATCATGTGAGCGACCTAACCGGAAAACATCCAGGCCGGGCGGAGTGGAGGCAGGCAGAGGAAAGATGGCAGCCGCGGCAGTGGCTGAGTTTCAGAGAGCACAGTCTCTTCTTGGAACAGACCGGAATGCCTCTATCGATATCTTACATTCAATAGGTAAATATAACCAACCTAGCATGGCACTGGAAAGAAGCCTGTCACTAAAGCTGTACACTCAGTTATCCATTGTGGAGCAGATGAGTTCACTGTTAGCCTGTTAGCAGCTAAGCTAAGTTAGCTAGCCCAGTGCTGGCCGTCTGTTTTTTTCCGCCTAGCTTGCACAGTGAGTCAGCAGCAGCGGGCTAGCCGGTTAGCAGCATGCCGGCAAACTTACCAGACGAGCTAACGTTAGCGTCTCTGGCTCATTCATTTGACAGCAAGTTCGGCTGACAGCTGGCTAGTTACGGTTAGCACGCAGCCAACGCTATTAGCAGCTCTGCCTCGTCTTGTCAGGTGTCAGGCCGACGACAGAAACACCGACTTTACTTAGCAACTGTTTTCTCTTTTGTGTTTCTTTCCCAAGTGTATCTGTGTGCCCGTCAATAAAAGTCATATTTGTATTTGACAGGGTCGATATTTCACAGCTACGTTAAACACTTGGCGGCTTTCCATACGATCTAAAATACCTCTGATAAAACTTGACATAAAGCTAATCCCCGGGGACAGACAGTCAGTTTTGACACAAACATACATCGTGGTGAATTATATCAGTATGGACATGATTACATCATCAGCAACGTGCAATGTGTATGTGTGTGTGCGTGTGTTTGTGTGTGGTAGTGAAGCGGGACATCCACGAGAGTGATGAAGAGGCGGTGCGTGTTAAAGAGCAGAGCATCCTGGAGTTGGGTGGGCTGCTGGCAAAGACCGGACAGGCTGCAGGTAACGGAACATGATGTTCATAATTAAAGCTGCTGTTTGACTCTGACACTCACTCAAGCTTCTCCTCAGGCTGTGAAAAGAAGGATCATTTCAAGATTCACCCATCAGTTCAGCTTTAATGGAGTTCTTTCACAGGAGTCAATATCCACATTGATGAGATTTGTCAGTCATTTGGGTCTGATTGACACATTGTCCCGCAACACTGAGCAGCAAAGTACCTTTAGGGTCAAACACACCATAACACAGAGTTGGACACCCCCTTGAGAGATGAATTTTTGCCGACCGCTTGCTTCTCTAGTTATACCAGCTTTAGCAACGACCGCAGGATAGCAATGCACAGCAGTCTGAGGAGCCAGAAACAAACCTCGACAAAAACGCCACTCTATAGCCACAAATAATGCTCAGAACAGCACCTAACTTCATCAACAGTACATACAGGGTCCCAGCCACCAAACATCTTTTTAGCTCTGCCTAATTTCTGTAGCAAAGAGACTAAACACAACTCACCTGCTCTCTTCCAGCAGCCGCTTGTTTTTAGGGAGAGCTCGGGCCAGTCCATCATTGTCTGAGGTGGGGGGGCGCAGCTCAAGGAAGAAATTTTATGATCATTACTTTATTTCCCTGAAGTAATAATCACCATATTAATCATTTTGCACTGCAGACGCAGTAGTTCTTCTGCTTTAGCGTCTCGGTCTGATTTCATTTCCATGAAGAATGATCATAAATGTTCTTCCTTGAGCTGTGTAACCCCGCAGATGTCCGTAATGGACTCGCCCGAGGTCTCGCTACAAACAAGCGGCTGCAAGAACAGAGTAGGTGAGTTGTGTTTAGTCTCTTTGCTAAAGAAATTAGGCAAAGTTAAAAAGATGTTTGGTGGCTAGTGCTGTGGCTGGGACCCTATATGTACTGTTGATGAAGTTAGGTGCTGTTCTGAGTATTATTTGTGGCTATAGAGTGGCGTTTTGGTTGAGGGTTGTTATGGCACCTCAGACCACTGTATTGCTATCATGCGGTCGTTACTAAAGTTGGTATAACTAGAAAAGCAAGTGGTCGGCAACATTCATCTCTCGAGGGGGTGTCTAACTCAATGTTACAGTGAGTTTGACCTCAAATTAAATTTACGCCTGGAATATCCCTTTAAGAGTATTATTACAACACATCTTCTCCTGTGAAAGAAGTCAGTCTCTAATACATGTACATCAACACACTAAAGCAGTAGTTCTCAATCCAGTCCTCGAGCCCCCCCTGTCCTGCATGTTTTGGATGTTTCCCTGCTCCAACACACCTGATTCAAATGATCAGCTCGTTATCAAGCTCTGTAATGGCTCAATAACGAGCTGATCATTTGAATCAGGTGTGTTGGAGCAGGAAAACATCCAAAACATGCAGGACAGTGGGCCTCGAGGACTGGATTGAGAACCACTGCACTAAAGTGTCTTTTGAATTCAGTCATTAAAACTGAAATATTCAAGATCAGTAATGTCATTATCACCATACATCATGCCCTTTTATAAACATTGTGCCAGGTCAGTGGACTTTGGCTGGAAAGTTTGGTACTGCCTCACATTTGGGCTTTTAGGAAATCTTTTCTTGGAGCCACCAGTGTTCTTGTCTGCCAGTATCAAATCAAAGCAAAACAACAGATCAACATCACCTGCTAATTGGTCCATAGGTGCTAAAGAAAGTTGGACCTCCATCAGGTGGTACTACACAGGTCTGGGTCATTCACAGGATGTAGTCATTAAGTTGCCAACATATTCTTCCTTGTTGAAAACCAGCAGCGAGGCAAGACACGACTAATTCAGGTATTGATAAGTGATAAGAATCAACCCTCTAAATTGGACAACAGTTAATTAAGACAGATGTCAATAAGGTTTTGTGCACTGAACCAACACACAATTATAGTGATAGGATGGATTTCACAGTATAAGTTGGACAAAAATATGAAAAGCATTGAATGCTTTGCTGTGATTCGTTTCACCACCATCAGCAGCAGCAAACTAAGTAAAAAAAAAAAAAAAAGAAGTATGTTGCAAACAGTAATGATGGTTTTAGCTGTCAGCTGTTTTAGCTTTTATTTAATTTTCTCTGTATGTCCTCTTGTCAGAGCTTGGAGGTCTGCTGAAGTATGTACGACCATTCCTCAACTCCATCTCCAAGGCCAAAGCAGCCCGGCTGGTCCGCTCCTTGCTGGACCTGTTCCTGGACATGGAGGCCGCCACGGGTCAAGAAGTGGAGCTGTGCCTGGAGTGCATAGAGTGGGCCAAGGCTGAGAAGAGGACCTTCCTCAGACAGGCACTGGAGGTGAGACTTGGAACGTTTTGACAGGAATGTACCAAAACAAACAATGTGAGACAGGACTGAGTCAGAACTTCATCAGTCCAGTTTGTTTATTCCTTTGATGCTTCAACTACTTGTTTCTGTTTTTTTTATGTTTTTACCTCAGTGAACAGTGATGATCAGTCTTGTTCTGAAAGGCTGGCTTTTAGTGGAAATGAAAATATTTGTCCGCCGAAAACTAGTGATTCAATCTTGCTGCGTTTTTAACTACTGATAAAAACGAAGAAGAATTTTTGTAATTTTGTTTGTCGGCTCAGAAACTCAGATTTTGAACATGAAACTGCTTCTTACTTTTTTACTGGTTTTAATTAGTTTGTCATTTTTGAGAGAGCGAGAGACTTTTTTTTAGATCAAAATCTCTGCGCTGATAAACAGATCCTTTTGGGACTCAAACACACCAATGCACAAAAAAGGGAAAAAAATAAGTCTTTTAAATCATCAATAATGATGACTGTATTGTACCCCATTGAGCCCAGCCTCAGGGAACACCCAGTGAACTTCATGACAGTCCATGGTCATGCCGTAATTTGTTAAAGCTCAAGCACCAAAGGTATTTAAACTCGGTACTTGAATTTGATTTTGTTTGTTTGTTAAAAATGTTAGGCAAATACAGAAACTCTGGCAGCACAAAGCTGGAGCTGGACAACTGACTGTTTTTTTTCTTTCTCTCTTCAGGCTCGTCTCATCTCACTGTATTTCGACACAAAGTGCTACCAGGAGGCACTAAAACTTGGTGAGTGGATGAAATTTCTTGTACAATGGTGCCATTTTTCATGTTGGCAGTGTTTTCGACTGTTTGGACCAGGAACAAAGGAAACATTGAATTCATTTCCTTTCTTCTGCAGGCTCCCAGTTGCTGCAGGAGCTGAAGAAGATGGACGACAAGGCCCTGCTGGTGGAGGTTCAGCTGCTGGAGAGCAAAACATACCACGCGCTCAGTAACCTACCCAAGGCCCGTGCTGCACTCACATCTGCCAGAACGACCGCCAATGCCATCTACTGCCCGCCCAAGCTACAAGCAGCTTTAGATATGCAGTCAGGTATGAAGCAGGACCAACACAGTGGTACTTTTTGTTGTGGTTAACCTGATGTGATTTTTAATAAACGTGGTTCTATATATCTAATTTCTCTTTTTTTTTTCCCCAGGGATCATTCATGCAGCAGAAGAGAAAGACTGGAAGACGGCGTACTCTTACTTCTATGAGGCCTTCGAAGGCTACGATTCCATAGACAGCCCTCGAGCCATCACAGCCCTCAAATACATGCTGCTCTGTAAAATCATGCTAAATGCGTAAGTGGAACACGGCATGGCAAACTACAAATTCACACTCATTGCAACTCATTACACATTACAAAGCTTAACAGCTTTAATTTTACTTCCCCTAATTTTACTTTAGGGGAATGTTAACCATAATGAAATTTAAGTTGATTTACAAAACCAAAGTAACCATATTAACACTGTTTCTGTTTATGATGTTTTTGTTTCAGGCCGGAGGATGTTCAGGCCCTTATCAGTGGCAAACTAGCTCTGCGATATGCTGGAAGACAGGTATGACTCTTTGTTCCTGAGAGTTTGTGGATGAAATGAGACTGATCTCACCTTTTGTGTCAGTGCTTGTACAGTTACACTCACCAGGGTCCTTAAAAATACTGAGATTGAACAATTCAAGGTCCAAAAGACACCTGGAAAGTCCTATTTCCACTTGTGACGGTTTTTCTGATGTCTTATCCCTGATCTTCTTCTCTGGGTGTAAAGTGAGGTTTTTATTTTCAACTCAGTCATCCCCATGGTTGTCCCTTGTCATGTCTGGACTAGTTCCTGGTGTCTGTATGTACACTGGTTAAGGTTTAGTGCAGGTAAATAATGGACAGATTAATGAATGGGCGCTCCTCACAGAGCAACACAATAAAAACAATGTTTACACTGACGAACAACCTATTTTCAGTCTGTTAGGATAACTACACAAGCTTGCACAACCTAAATTTGTTATGTTTTGTAAATGAGTGGAGAGCTACTGAGTCGTACCCACTCAGGTGCTAATATATTCAACACTAATATGTGAATATATCTCCTCTGGCTGCAAACAAACATTGTGCGGTGACTTGTAAGTTTTGTAAAAGATCTTTGAAACCTGAGTTATAAAGTTCAACATTAACATTAGAGATCAGGTGTATTTATTTCTTAAAAGGTCTTAAATTAGATTTTTAAAAACTGCAGATACCCTCACAGTGAACTGCAAAATCCACTCTGCAAAATGTTGTTGAATTTTAAATTTGGTTGTACTTCGTCGATGTCTCACTCATCTATATTCTGCTTGTTTTTTTTCCCCTCTTACAGACAGACTCACTGAAATGTGTGGCACTAGCCAGCAAGAACCGGTCGCTTGCAGACTTTGAACAGGTGTGTGTCTACAAGTTGTTGTTTAGAATATTTGATGGGGGTTTTTTTTGTGGGGGATAATCTCATGCCCAGCTCTAATTTCTACCCCTTTATTTGTGATTAGGCACTAACAGAGTACAAAGCAGAGCTGAGGGATGACCCCATCATCAGCACCCATCTAACCAAGCTGTATGACAACCTGCTGGAGCAGAACCTCATCAGGGTCATTGAACCTTTCTCCAGAGTCCAGGTGATCTTCTCCAACTCTTGTCTGCAACCAACCACTTCCTGCCAAGGGCTGAACCACGATATGCAGACTTCTTTCAGTGCTCAGGATGACCCAGACTTGATGAAGTTTAGTATATCTGTTGTTATTTGTACATTCAGCTGACTTGAGTGTCCTTGTTTTGTTTTTGCAGATAGCACACATTTCCTCCCTCATCAAACTCTCAAAGGTAAGATTTCATTTGTCTTTGATAATGTTTCCTTTTCTGCCTTCCAGTTTTTAATCTGAGCGTGTCTGCCTTTCAGGGAGATGTGGAGAGGAAATTATCACAGATGATCCTAGACAAGAAGTTTCACGGTACTGTCTGCAAACCTTTAATTCAAGTCAATATAATGATTCGGCCAAATATGAGTGATTACTTTCATTAAACCTTGATGTTTCTTTGTTGTTCATACTCACTTTTTCCTTCCCCTCTGTGTTTCTCTCCTATTCATCCCTTCCTCATCCCACCCACAGGTATTTTGGATCAGGGTGAAGGAGTGCTGATAGTTTTTGAGGAGCCAGTGGTGGACAAGACCTACGAGGCGGCCCTGGAGACCATCCAGAACATGAGCAAAGTGGTCGACTCGCTCTACAACAAAGCCAAGAAGCTCACATAAGGTGAGGTCCTGGAAGAAATCGCAATCCTTTTGTCTGTGTGACAAACCTGTTAAGACCTGGAGATAGTTTGTTTATTGGTGCTATCCAAGAGTAGATGGGTAAAAAAAAGGCTCAATTTTTTCGAGTCAGAAAAGTCAAAACTAAACAAAAAATCTCAAGGAATTTTTCGAAGTCAGCACAATCCTCTCCCGAACCTAAGAGTAACATGATCATCCTGACAATAAATACGTCCTCTTTTACCCGGACATGTCCTCTTTTACCCGGACATGTCCTCTTTTTTGGGGGGCTGTCCGGCCTTGTCTGGCTTTGTCTGGGGAAGTCTATAAAGTCCTTTAAATGTGCGCGGTTTTGTAAGGAAGTTTCAAGTTTGTGTCACATAGACTTGCTGAGTTAGAAGCACGTAAAAGACACTCAAACCGACCTGAAAAACTCTCCAACTTAACTTCGTGTGACTCCGACCCCGCGTAGTTCTGTCCTCTTTTTGGGAAGTCAGAATATGGTCACCCTAGTTTACAAATGTTCAGGAATTGTGTTGCAACCCTCTGAAACAGAGGAGTCAGAAGTGGCTCAAAGACAAAGGCAGAAGTTTATTTAACTATTGGTCTGAATCAGTTCAGACAGAGACTGAGGGTCTGACCAAAAGAACAATGAGGAAGGATCAGCTGCTACAACAAGCCCACAAAGGGCTGATGAATGCAAGACAGATCCTCTAACCACACAATGAAAAGAAGCTGCATAAAAACAAGACTGCCTAAACCCCCAGTTAAAAAAAAAAAAAATACAGACCTCTGGAGCTGCTTCTCTGAAGAGTCCAGCGAGAGAGACAGAGATTTCAGGCCACTCCATATTAGGGCTGGGCGATAAAATTTACAGATGGCGAAATTTACGACAATAACTGACATCATTTTGCCTATATAGGTATACTTAGTGTCAAAAAAATAAATAAATAAAAGTTGGTTTTGGATGTGTGTAGGTAGGGTATTGTCTCATGTCCCTTTAAGACACTGTCCTACGTCAGAGACGTGACTCCACCCCATCCAGTCCGTAACAAAGAGGGAAAGACAGGAGAGGAGATGAAGGGGGTGAGCAGCTTGTGGAGTAGTTATCGTCCATTTGTCGTTATCAAAGTGAACTGCTCAATGTATCGTGAAATTGATTTGGGCCATATCGCTCAGCCCTAACTTCAGCCTCCTTATATTCACCTGCAGCACTCAGTCACACCTGGAGGAAGAAGCAGCGTAAGTGCGGTAGCAGATACTCATCTTGACCTATAGATGGGGCCAAAGCAACGTATAAACTAACAACTTTTTCCAAAAGTGCCTTTAGCTGGTAACGATGATACGATGACACATCATCGGTACTCATTTGAAAGTTCTGTATACAGATGGTTCAGTTCACCTTGAATGTCGGATTGTGTTTAATGTACTCATTTTCTGCGTGTTCTCCGTCTTGTTCTTCCCCTCAGAGAGAACGAAACCATTACTCCTCTCGTCCGGAGTGACGTGGGCCAGTAAGACCTCTGTCGTTCAATCAGTTCAACCCAGGAGGGACAATGGGAGGAGGATGAGGAGGTTACGAACACTAAGCCACCCAGCAAGCAAACAAACCAGCTGATAACTGAAGATACTAAACCTGGGTAGACATGCTGCTCCTTCTGGTCCTCCTTCTCACTTCTTCTCTCCTTCCTTTCTGTCTCCTCCTCCTTATCTGACTGGGGTTGATCTGACACAATGTGAACAAATCCAGGCACTGTGCCCCTCCTTTCTCCACCCACCACTGGTTTCTATTGTAAGTAAAATTGGACAAGCCTCCCTTTCCTTTTTTTCTTTTTTTTTCCTGCTGTTTCTCTCTGCGCTGGCCATCAGGGAATCTTGTAAAATAACAATAAATACATATACAATACTTATACATACATGTATTATATATATAAAAAAACAAACCTTGCTCGGTCTGTTCTCAGAGTGTAACCGGGTGCAAATGTGGGTTGGTTGGTCGTTGTCTTTCACTGGATTCTACCTGTTCTGTTCATTTGCCAACCAGCCCTGGAACTGAATGTTTGAATCTCTTCATTTTTTTCTGCGGTTTTGAAGAATCAACCGACAAGTCACCTGAGAATGGTTTTAAAAAGAGGCTGTGAGAACAGCCCCTGCCTTTGCCTCACTATGACCTTTCCCCGCCCCCTCACCTGTCCCCTCCCCCCTGAGTGGTGTTACTCACTCACAAGGCATTCTTGGGTTCGTGGACCATACAGGGAATTGTCCGCATGGGACCACGCCACAAGGAAAGGAGGATGTTTATCGCCGCACTGTGGTCTCCAGCACCCCCCTCCCCCTGCTCCTCACCCCTGCACTCCTACTTCCAGTTTGTAAATAACAAAGCCAAGCGCCTCTGTTCATCCCCAGGCCTGATGTATTCATACTGTCCCCTTTTTTTACAATGGGTTAAGAACAGAACGAGCCTCCTTGCTCAGAGCTTGGTCAGTCACACAAAGTGCTTTTGATGCTCGACACGTGGCTGGAGACAGAACTCTGCATCTTGAGATGTGATGGTTTGTTGTGCAGAAATTGGGGGGGCGGTTCTCTCAAGAAAAACAAGCTGTACATTTCTGGGAACTCAATTTTGCAAGGACTTTGGGGGGGTTACCATATATGAAATAGAGAAAGACAAATGCTAATAAAAAAATCAAACCTGCAAGTGGTGTGATTGTCAGATTGTGGACATTCAAATCTAACTTAATATATAATCCAAATATAAGCCTATCTGCGATCTTTTTTACCCCATACTTAAATCATACCGTTTTTATTCATTGAAGTTTGGCTTTTCGACTACATTTTTATTTTTTTCCTTCAAACACCAATTCAGTTTGTATGATCATCTCAATTCACAAAACTGAACTAATTTTAATCTGAAAAACTCAACAGTACACTCACTGTAAATGTAAATGTGTGATTTAAAGTGTTGAAAGAACCTGCTCAGTCATAACAAAACGGACAAAAGCTTGAAATTAAAAATACTAACCGTGGATAATTCAAATGACCAGAATACGTGTGACTAGAAGTGAAATAGTCTTCAGAAAAAGAATCCAATTCAGGCATGAAGGGCCCAAATGTTCAGAGTCACGCAGCCGGTGATGGTAACAGCTGAACATGGCAACAGGTTGAAATAGCAAGAGTAACGAGTTGTTTATAGCTGCCTAAAAATAACAAGTGGAGGCTAACATTATTGAAATATCAAAATGACTTAAATGGCCAGTAATAGACGTTAGCTTGGACTAATAATTAAAAGGCTGAAATAGAGAAATAAACGGAAGCGCAAACTTTATTGGAAAGATCTTTCTTGAACATCATGGTTTACTGATTATGGAAGCCTGAAGCAGACAAGGTTTATTATTTTTTTTACCCCCATTTTCTCAGGGTCACAAGATAGTTTTCTTGTGATCTGTAGAAAACGAGGGGTAAAAAAATAAATCAACCATGTCTGCTTACGGACTTCCATAACTAAGAGTGGCATATTAGATAAATTGATATAACAGTTGTTGGAAATGAATGAATGGAGTGTTGAAATACAGAAATCTCATTAAAAAGTGCTTAAACTAAAGCAGTCCTTATTGGATATGGTCAAATTTAACCAAAAATCAGTATTTATACTGATTTTTATACTGAAGAGTTCTGACAGGACAAGGAGGACAGTAACCTAAACATGATCCACAATGGGCTTGAACGGTAATTTTAGGTAAACATGATATATAACCTGTTTTTTTAATGAGTTTTGTAGGTTGAAGGTGCATCCAGAAGCAGTCAGTCCAGCCGACAGTGAGGAACCTCAACAATGCCATCTAGCGGCGAGGTTATCACATTACTACATTAAACTGAAACGTTAAAAGACATTGAACACTTGCATTAAAACATGTTCTGTTATTTCTTTTTTTTTGTAACACTTGTTAGTTGAACTCTTCAGAGTACGTTTTTCACGTTTGTTTTCAGAGTCTGAATCAGCTCACAGCACTAAATGACTCTTAACTCTTTTAGGAATGTAACAGCCCATACACCTAAACTAAGTGCTTTATGGGGGCTCTTTGTCCCCCCTGAGGCATGGGAGAAGCCCAGAGCCCAAGTCAACACATGTAAAAGAAGGAAAAGATTTTTTCTTGTAAATGAGCCTCGATTAACTGTAAATACACCCAACATGGGTCGACGGCAGCACCTGGCTCTGAATCTCCATTTGAATGGGAGGCAGCACTGTAAAGCTAATGCGTAAACACTCGTTATCACTAACACCATTATGCGTGGTCTGGTTGGTAAATCTTTATCTACTCCACTGAGAAACTTGTTTGTTGTCTTAGAATTGAGGAGGTGAATGTAAGTCAGAGAACTTTACAGGGTTGCCAACTGTTTATACGCCGTGCTGTGGGCCCGAGAAGAGGCTTACTAGAGGTTTCTGTGGGGAGGAGAAGGGAGCCAGACAGGCGACAGTCAGCGCTGTCTTGGCCTCAGGGCAGAGGCAGGGAGCGAGCAAGAGAGCCAATGAGAAGGAGACATCCACTCCCTTCTGTCCTGCCCGGCTTGGCTCAGCTCGGCGCGCCCTGTAATTACAAGCTCTAGTTGGGTTGGGCGCCGCCACGGTGGACAGCCCGGCTGCTGCGTCAAGGGAGTTTGGGAACGCCAGCTCCAGACGGTGAGGACTTCTGAACAGTAACAGTTTTGAGCTAAGTAACCCCCTTACAGTCTAGGGAAATGAACGGGCAATCCTCACCTGTCTTCGAGGAGAAGAAGCCTCCTCTCCCCGTGGTTGGGAGCTCCATCTCAGCCACCAAGGATTCACCAACTCTGCCAGAGTCTTCATCCACAGACATGGGCTTTTTCAGCGGCCAGAGTGCGCTCCACGGCCCGCAGGACTTCTACCAGGCGCAGCAGCCATACTCAGCCCAACACATGAATCCTTACGCGTACCACCATTATAACCTGAACGGGATGGGTCCAGGTGGTGCGTACTCTGTTGGCAAGGCAGAGTACCCGTACCCCCATGCAGCCTACAGGGAGCACGGTACCTTCAGCAGGGAGGTGCAGTCAACGCTGCAAGACGCAGGTAAGTTTTACCGAATTTAGATGGAGATCGCTTTATGGGTACACACTGGAACTGGGACGAAAAGGGTCCCTGTAGGACTCTTATTTCAGATTTATTGAATGATTGATAAACCGAAGACTGTTTCCGACAGTCTTTGTTCAAGAAGGACCAAAGCCACACTGACCACCTGAGGATGATGTGTGGCAAGTGCTCACGTCAAGCCCTTTAAACCTGATTATTGCGCACGAGTTTTACGCACGAAGGCAAGCGAGGTTATTTTTATTCATATACAGTAGAATCTGACTTTCTTTTTATCCAGCCTTTATATTAGGATGATACCCCATAGCTATGAATTTAAGTATTTTTCAACTTAGCTCTGTGAAAGTAGTTTAAACACAGTGCTGGGGGTAAAAAAGACACAGATATGGTAAGAATAGTAAAGGACAACTCTTAATGGTTCCTGAAATTTATTTATGTTTTGAAATAAAGACATTTTTGCGAAGGAATTAAAGTAGACAGGGTGAGTAACAGAAAAAAAGGGGAAAAAAGGAAATAAATGTTAGAGGAAAGGGTGTTGGAGTTTTCACAGCCTGTTTCTGTTGGCGAGAAAGATTTATTTTACTCTGATAAAGGATGAATAGTTTGTTACTTCTCATCAGGACAGCAGCCTTAAGTTTTCCTCGCCATGTTCATTGAAGTCACAGATTGCAGAAGCCTTTCTATACATTATGCACAACTGCAGCTCAGTTGTCACTCTTTGTTTCACTTTCTCCTACTTCTCAAAGTTTTTTTTTATGGTAGGGAAACAGGGTTACTGTAAAGGACTTTGGACAGCAGCTATGGCCTAGTTCTCAACTGTGACTTCTTAACATTTGAAGATTCATTCATTGACACAAAGCAGGTCCATGTGCACTTAACAGTGTCTGATGTGTCTGATTCTTAGACTTTGTCTCAAAAAGTAAAAGTATTGGTTAAAAAGTGATTTTTTTTTTTTTTAAAGGACTTTCAGTTGAGATATGATGAGGTTGCCTTTGAGTCAACACAAAAACCCTGCAGGAGAATTCAAAGCACATAAAAGAAAAAACAACAAACATCTTTTTACTTACTTCTTTAACAATACACCAGACATTGTTCAGTAGCAGTTTTATGTCTAGTTTTAAGCCTTGAATGTGTGTGTGTGTGTGTGTTAACGACAGAGGGAAAACAAACTCGACGGACTGGTGTTCTGTTTTTGACATTCCAGTTGGGAGTTGACTCCTGGAAATGGCCCTGGGGGACTTTGGCCCTCAGCCACTCACATCAGGTGTCACGGCATGTCAGTCAGCCTTGGCCTTTGAATCATTCAACGAGGACGGCTTCTTATCATGCAAGGCTCACAGCCACACCCTTATAAATCGATAGGTCAATAATCACAGACGCATTTATAAGGAATATTAGATGATGAAAAATCTATTGGTTTTATAAATCAAATTACTTTTGTCTTCCTAACTGTGTGAGCAGTAAGAATCAAAACAAAATAAGGATGCTCAAATTATAATAAAACAACAGCCAAACAATACATAAAAACAAAATCTGACTTTAATACCACACTATCTTCTTTTTAAAAAACATAAAACAGTGTTGTTTTTTTTCTGTCTTTTATAAACAGTGATTCTTTCATCTCATCGAGTGTGCACAACATATAAAAATGTGTGTTGGAGAAATTTCTGTCGCATTTTTAAAAGTAGGCAAAAAAATGCGGGAGACAGGAATAACAGCACAAAGAAGGAGGGATGTATACAAGCGGCCTTCAGGCTACATGAAAAGCACCTATAAATCTCAGTCCTTCTCCTCAGCTGTGGGAGACTCTCAGACCAAAATTATAAGTTCGCTGTGCTGGCGGAATTTCTTTGAAATTTCAGGGTTGTAGCAGCAGTGGCCATTTTCCTGCAGAAGCTTATCTGCTCAAACTACCCTGTGAACAAAATGAGATTATATTGTCTAAAACACTTTCCTAAAACTAGAGAAGAGAAAGACTTTGTCTGCAGCACACAAGGTTCCCTCTTGAGCTTAACACTTTTCTCTCCCACAGTGAAAGAGGAACCACTCGTTGAGGTTCGGATGGTTAATGGGAAGCCAAAGAAGGTGAGAAAGCCCCGGACTATCTACTCCAGCTACCAGCTGGCTGTCCTGCAGAGGAGGTTCCAGTCTGCACAGTATCTGGCCCTTCCTGAACGTGCCGAGCTGGCTGCACAGCTTGGACTCACACAGACACAGGTGAGGCCACACTTCAGTACAGAAGTGAAAATGCAACACAATCACAGGCGAAATATGTTAGTGACTGCTACAGGTTTTGAAGGAATGCTTTCTTCCTTACTGTAAATTGGTTCAACTTTCTAAAAGTCTATTTGCCCTTTGAGATTGAATGAATATTGGAGTTTGAGCTGAAGCACAGAGCGCAGTTGGAAATGAAAAGTCTAAGAGCATAAAGCTGCTGATACCAGTCCAGGTGTTCATATTTAGGGTGAGGTCTGAGTCAAAGAGTTGGATAAGTTTAGAGAATAAATCACTTCTTGTTGAGGAAGCACTCAGCTATCATTTCAAGAAAGCAGATGAAGCTTGGTTTGAAATTTGAAAAACAAAAACTAACATGTTAAAGTGACTTGTGTGGCTGGAAAGAAAGACTTTTTAAAGTTTGGTGCTACATTTCTAACTAAAAAAATTCAAAAAATCCTCACAAATTCAAATTCAAAAGAATAATATTCCTTGAGCTAAAATCACGAAAATAGCTTGTGTTCATATAAAGGTATAAACTCCCAAAATGTCCAAAGATGAGAGGGCTGCTTGAACGTGAGATAAAAAAAAATCAATCTCTGAAGTTACAGGTAAGGATATAAAATATGGTGATCATGATGTTTCTCAATGGGAGACTACTAAAGATAATATCTACAGCAATGACACGGTGGTTTTTCAAACATAAATGAAGAGTGGAGTAAAATACAACAAAAATAGGCACATAAAAAAGAGTGTCAGTGATGCGCGACTGCACCGTGACTGTGGAGTTAGTTTGGATTAGACAGACACACTCCTCCCTCCTGATGATTTACAAGCACAATATTTACCTTCACCTTGAGTGGTAAAAGATAAAACGTGCAGCCGGGGTTGTTTTATTAGGGCTGCTTTAATTCTTAGTTCAATATTATGTCGGGGATCAACGGAGAAGCTTTAAGAAAACAAAGGCATTAGTACAACTCCAGTTGGCCTGTAACGTGGGATTTTAAGGCCTCTTGGTTTCAATGTCGTTGAAGAAAAACAAAGACAGAGTTACAATGACTCTCATTAGTTAGTATTTAGAAACGACAAGTAACAGAACTATGAATATTATTAGACAATACTTCTGCTGCTCTTTAGTGTTAATAGTGTCTCTCTTTAAAGAGGTTGTATTTTTATTGATAACTATTACATATTCAAGAGAGAGTGAGATAAAAATGGACACACTTGCATTTGTGTAAAATGAACGATTGCATTCACATCCAATACTAACATTATTTTTTTATCATTATTGTTATTACTCACTCCAATTAATTAGATTATTGTTATATGCTTCACTGGATTCACTTGCTCATTTTTAACAAACAAATTAGCAAGCTGTTTTGTGTTGAGCAGGTAGAGTACAACGGGTTTACCAGAGCCTTTCTAGGGGAAATAGGTGCTTGAAAAGAGTTTAGTAGGAAATTAACAAACAGAGAGACAGCAAAGGCTGAATATGAGGCTGAAAATATCCACGTGGGGGAACAAGTTCAACAGACCTAGTTGGGAAACTACTTGGGGATTTTGGAGTACAACTGGTGGCTAACCTGCAGTGCTGTGGGCTGGAATGGACAGTTGTTGAGTATATTAAACATTTTGATGCTAACATAAACAGCAAATAGTTTTCAGTCTTTCTAATGAAAAACAATAAATTATCGTTGAGAATTAAACCTGAAACCTCTGAAAGCAATTGAACTGAGACTTCTCTCTCTGCAGGTTAAAGCTCCTATGTGGAGTTTTTTTATGTGAACAAAATAGATGGAAATTCATGTTGATGTTGAAAGAGACTGAAATTCTATTTAATTTAATTTAAATTTGTATGTTGTAATTTTTAATGTCTTAAACTGGTTTAAAGGGGTAGGTGACAGCCGAGAAGATAAAGAAACAGCCTTGTTTTTACAACCCCCCCGTCAAATATTCACAATACATGATACATTTGACAATCAAAAATCAGCAGGATGAAGTTTTTTTTTTTTTTTGCAAGAACACAAACATTAAATATGTGGAGGAAAAGATACACAAAGAGAGTTTTGTCCACAAAATTTACACCAACTGAAACTTTCTCGCAGGAGCTATAAGTGTAGGGGTGACAACTTCACAGGGACTGAATCAAACCAGGTGACATGACATTAAGCCTGTCCACGGACTCACAGAGAGGTTTATGTGACTATGTATATTGGTGAGCAAATAACACGGGGGGGATTTGAGTGTGTCCCCACCTGCTCTGGAGGATAACCGAAGAAAGATTTGAGTTACACCTGCTACTGTCCTCCTGCTGTGTTGTAGGAAAAAAAGTAACTAGGGCAAAAGATTACTGTCTTTTATTTAACGATGCTTATGGATAGTCATTTTCTAACCGTATCAATGCTGTGATTCCAAGGCTACAGTTCAGGACAGTGGGCAGAGCTGGAAACAGAGAAGAGAGTAGAGATGTACACATGTAGTCCTCTACATAATTAAATGTCTTCATCCTCACCAGAAGTACTTGTCAGTTTAACTAACATTTCATGATTTTTCTATCACTGGCACGAAATGTTGATCACATGTTGGGTTGAAGCTGTGGTTCAGCCATTTGCCACAATCCTGGACTGTAGCATTTGACTTGTGCTCTACTACCCTGATGTAAATAAGGACATTTTGTACCATGCGCTTGAAAATGGAGATACAGTTGTATATGGGCTTTGTCTGCTTAAACTGGCCCCTAACCACCCATCAGATGAGCCTCTTAAGGGTATTTAAAATGTAATCTGCAGTGGTCTTAAAGTTCTATGCTAAGTAAGTTAACACAGAATTTTTTAGTGTTTTCTTGTCAGCAGCGTATGAGCAATCTCAAACATAAACAAGTCTACTGGCAGCAGAGCCGCCATTTTAGACTGAACTATATTATTAGACAGCCATGAAGACAAAACCCCACAATGCAGCCCGTCAATGAGTGAGCTATGGCTCATTGGGCGCCGACCATTGTTCCATCTGTGTTAACCATGACATTATGATGTTGTCAAACTGTGTATGATTTCCAAAAGTTGAGCATAGACTGTGACAGTCTTATCTGACAGTATTAGAAAAGGACAATAAAATATATCATTCAAATAAATATGGGAATGTCAAACTGGTGCACTACTCTGACTGTCAGCTCCTTGAGCTTCAGGATCAAGGAAACTGATCTGCTTGGTCACTAAATAGTCCTCTATTTTGCAAAGTGCTGACCAACCTGAGAGTTCTTCCTGGTCTACAGCATGTCCCTTTTTGGTTGAAATCATCTTTCATAACTTGCACGTCTCATTTACAGCAATGGCAAGCAGGTGTTTTCAGCGAAAAAGCTCATAATGGTGGAGACCAAACCAGAGTTTAAAACATAGTAAATACTGGATGGTCATTGGATGATATTAAATTTCTTTATTTTTTAAGTGGTCTAAATATTCGATGCTCTTCCTTTTAGGTCAAAATCTGGTTTCAAAACCGTCGTTCCAAGTTCAAGAAGCTCTACAAAAACGGAGAGTTCCCTCTTGGAGATATTCCTCTTGAACACAGTCCGGATGCCAGCGACTCCATGGCCTGCAACTCGCCTCCATCCCCAGCTGTGTGGGAAGGAAACAACAACAGTAACAACAACAACAACAATGGCAGCAGCGACAGTAACAACACAAACAGTAGCAGCAACACCAATAACGCAGTGATGGATCCTACCAGCAGGGGTCAGGGTCACTTTCACCCCCCTGTTGAATCCTCGCCCGCTTGCATGGGAGACTACACACACCAGAACTGGTACCAGCAACAAGGTGCACATTTAGGCCTACAACAGTCAGGACCGGCGCACTACGCGCCATCAGGCGCAGCGTCAAGCGCACAAAGTCTCGGCGCTGTCCACTGAAACGTTGGCTCTGCAAAAGAGTTTCCAGGGAGGCCTTTGCATCCAGTCCAGGAATGATTTATAGCTTTGTTGTGGTGAGACAGAGACAAGCCTTGACTGTAAATCTTCAACACACGTGTTGTACAACAAGTTTCTCTGTAGTAAATGTGGACTGACAACAAATGCTAGCCTCAGTTAGCTATCCTCGGATTTCGAGTTTATGAACTCGTAAGGCAGAGGTTATGATGGAAGTATAGGTTACTGATGTGGAACTTTGCAGAGCCAGGACTGAAACTGACAATTTTATTTAAAATCACAGATGACCAAAAATGTTAAGGATGTTTAATATTTGTAAGTATTATCATATTAATGCAAAAACATGCATTGATTAACCGTCATCTAAATGATGCAGCATTTTTAAAAACTTGTTACTACTGAAATTCCCCCAGGCCTCACTGCAGGTTTGAGTCCGCTTCACCACAAGGGACACCTACAGTTTCAGCAGGCTTTAATAAACATTTAAACTAGACGGTTTGATGCAGATGAGGCCAGAACAGTGAGCGGGACTCAAAGGCTGCTCACCTTTCAGAATAAAACATCAGCATCAACCTGCCACAGGAGACCGGCTGTGGAGAGACACTGAAATACTCCAGGATCTGCACTAGCAGCATGTGTCCTGCAGCTTCAGCTCATTCTTGTCATTTCTTAAAATTTCTGTCGAAAGAGTTTGATTTCCTACAAAACACATGAACACGTTGTGTTTTAACTGTGGCTGTTTTGCAGGTTTCAACAAATTGAGACAATAAATATGTTATATGTGGTTATTTTAGGACTTTTATACTTTGAAAAACTGTTTGTGATGAGCCTGCTGATGTTAATTTTGGCTTCTGCTGCAGCTTTACTATCAAGGACAACACTGCAGGTACTACATTATGTTTGCTGGATTTCTTTCTCATCTTGTTCATCACTGCTGTGTTGGTTTCAGTGACTTCATTGCAAAACAAATGTAAGATTTCAGAGTTATATGTTGTAATGATGTGAAGGAATAAAAAACGAAAAGCAGAGCCAGAGAAATCCAGGTAAAGCTTTCAACCACTAACTCCTTAAACTTCTATAAAGTTACTTCTAACTTAGAAGTGTTTCGCATTTCACCTTCTTTGTTTAATCAATATCTATATCTATTACCAAACAAATCTTCACAACCTCAACCCTCAACCAAGAAGTCCTGATCTACGTAAGAGGAGTAAGGCCACAGGAAGAGAAAAAAGTTATTACAGGGAGGAGATTTTTTCAATTTCCATTTCAAGATTAAAGCCAAATTTCGAGATTAAAGTCAACAATTTAAAAAGTTGAAATTTCGACTTTATTCATGTCGACTGTAATCCCGAAATTTCGACCTCAATCCCCCAAATTAAATCTTTTAATTTTGAAATTTTGACATTATTCACAACATTTCGACATTTTGTTATCTTGAAATTTCATCTTTAATCTCGAAATGTCAATTTTTATTCTCAAAAGTTCGACTTTATTGACAAAATTTCGATTTTGGAATCCCAAAATTCTGACCTTAACCTCGAAATTTTGAACCTGATCCTTCCTGTAATTATCTTTTCTTCTTAATGTGGCCCTAATCCTCTTTCGTACTGATCATATCATCAACGTGACCAAAGCATTTTATTCTCTGTATCTGTACAAGTCTATGCATGGTGAATTGTGAACAGTATAAAAATCCCCTAAAAACTGTAAATGCATTTTCATCAAAAACAACAAAAAACTCATTCTTCATCCCCTAAAATCAAAATAGTCTCAACAGAACATGTTTATTTTGGGTTCAGACTGCTTCGACCGAGCCAAACGTACAAGTACAATTTAATTTGTAACAAGCTGGAGACGAATGGACAGGCGCTATGCAGCTGCAGCCAAGCACAGTTGATTTCTGTCTCAAGAAACTCTGGTACAGAACCTAGCCGGACCGACACAACAGGTCATTAAACTGGGCACTAGTCAGCCTCAAACTGCAGAAGCAGCACAAAAGTTAATCCAGACTTAGGCCCTGGAAATGTCAGTAAAATGGTCCAAGCTGTGTGTGCCTCTAAGTGACCAAGACAAGATGTTTGCTTTTCGAGACAAAGTGAACGTTTGCAGGCTGTGTTTAACCAGTTTGAGGATATAAGAGCAAATCCTTGGTTTAGCACTTGGTTTAGAGTAATGCAAGAGGTTGCTTCTATTTGTTAGTGCACACTATCAAACTCGATTAAGGCTCCGTCAAAGCTGCAGAAGTTATATTAAAATATTGATTCTGTGCTTGAATCAGCCATTCGTTCATTATGCTCTGTGCGAATCTCACGTGTTATTGCAGTACGAACACACAAACACATAACAAAGGTGTTGAAAGTGTGCTGACGGTGCTTTCCTGGTGTTCCTGTCAGAGTGAGTCAGACAACAGATACAGGTTGCACCCATCTATATATTATAGACACACACACACACACACACACACACACACACACACACACACACACACACACACAGTGCGTGTAAAGAAGGTTGTGGGAGGTGACAGTGCAGCAGACACTCTGGAGTCTCTGGATACTAATAACACACCGCTGACACTGAGAGACGGGTGTACACTGCTTTCATGTGGCACACAGTTGGAAAGGGGAGGAGACGTTTGTCTCTGTGTGTGTGTGTGTGTGTGTGTGTGTGTGTGTGTGTGTGTGTGTGTGTGTGTGTGTGTGTGACAAACAAGCTGCTCTCACCACCCAATCCCACAGGTTTTCCATCAAATAATGGAGGTGAAGATAAAGTAGATGAGACAAACACTTTTAAAGGATCTTTTTTTTTACACCTTAACACTTTCTTTCTTGCAGAGAGTCGAATCACACCTTTTCACAGTTGCAAGTTTTCTTTGCTCAGCAACCTTATTCAGTCACCAAAAGGAGCACATTTCTGTCTGTGTCTGAGACTGATGTACTATGAAGACTTTGAGAATATACCTACCACCATTTTTTAATCCCAGAGGTTGTACCTCGTTTAAAGCTTCCAGTGTGTAATTTTTTAAGCTGGTCATAAAACACTAAAAGTTACACTGATGTACCTACATGATGTTGATTTGCTGCTTGGACCGTTAATAGAAATTGATTGTAAATAAAGGAGGATAAGATTTGATTGAAGGGAAACTACTTCTACGGACTCAGGACGAGTTTAGCAAAGAGAGAGACGGTTTTGTCAACAAGGGGAGTCAAAATCAGCAAAACCCTCACAGGAGGTTTTACTTTGAGAAACAGGAACAGCTTTGCATTGGGTCGACATTATGGTCTAGACCAAAGACTGTATATAGAATGGGTGCCGTCTGCCTCCTCGCTGGGTAAAGCCACTCTGAGAACAGCACCCTCTGGTGACTGGCTGCAGTATAGGTCATAAATCCCGCCTCCTTCTGCAATCCCTTTGGAGCTGTCGACAAACTTTAGAAATTATTTTACAGAATATACATTTTTCTCCCCCCGATCACGATGTTGTGATGTAGTTACTGTCAGACTGGTTTGTGCTCAAGTCCTCTTTTTTCTGTACAGCTCCATCTTTAAAAGTTATCAGGGGGTTCATGTTTTCTACGATTGAAGATTGTGTAGCTCACCCAGGGGATAAGCTGTTTTAGCCGAGCGTCATCACAGCGACTCTCCTGCTGAATGCGTACAATGCTACTATGCAAGTGGTGGACAACATCTCTACTGCACAATGTTGGTTTCAGGAAGTGGAGAAAAATTGTGGAAATACAGAGAGCTTTTCGGCTTCTAATCCGTATACCGGCGGAAGGAGGAACCAAGTTGTCCAAAGTATATACAGTCTATGGTTTAGACCAGCTTTTTAAGATTTGCTGTGAATTTACACTATATAAATAAAGATTGATTGATTGGTTGACATGTGCCCAGCTTGTGAATAGTGGTTAAGATTTCAATTATGGTCACCACCATCAGTGAAGTTCAAAATGCACCATTAGGGGGTTTCATTAAGATCCAAATATGGATAAAACTCTCTGGATTCTTCCTAACAATGTGCTTAAAAGTCTATTTTGTAAAACTGCAGTTGAAACCTTTTTAAATCCATAAATATTGAAAATCAATGAGGTGCAAATGTAAGAGGGGAGATCTGAATCGTGCTATATCCAAACAAATGACCAGACTTATTAGAATAGAAATGAAAAATTTAATAATCTCCCCTTGTCATGGTAAATAATGTTTCAAAATGCTAGTTTATGTTTCATTATTAAATACCCATCCACCACTGCCTCAGAATGCTCAGACAGTCTTACTTTTACTCCTGCCATCTGATCTTGAATCTATTACTAACATGGGAATCATACACTCTCACGGTTGAAAAGATTTATGTCAGAAAAGACAGACTGCAACTTCTGACACTAGAGCCAATTCTAAACACTTGCTAAGGTCTAGAATTAATCACAGAAAAGACTGCCACTAAATGAAAGTATGCAGAAGAAAACTTTACAGATGTGTTGAAGCTGGGCGCCAGTTTGGCTCAGTGGTTAAAGTGCGGAGCTACAGTCATTGGAGCCGGTGGTTTGATCCCCATTCACAGCCTCATACTGCTCATCTGTCCCCTCTCTCCATGCTCCCGGTTTTCTGAGGGTAGGGCTTGTTTACTATGTCCCACTCAGCAATTTTCATCAATTTTCGATACAGGAAAGGGCAAGCCGGCTCACTGTTTTGGTAAATTGACTTTGCAGGCTCCCTCTGCTGTGTAGCTGTAGTATAACAGGACACTTTTAACCCAGAGGAGTTGGTTTCTTAGCCCCTGCTACATTTTTAAGTTGCTTGTCCAACCCTGGTAAGATGAAAATCAGTACAGTCAAAAATGTAGTTTTGAGATGTGGTAAAAAAAGAAAAGGGACGGCGCTGACTACATTTTGATGTTCACCTGAACACACACTTGTGTGAAGGGTGTGGACCCTAAATCCCACATCCATGAGGGACACCTTCCCTGTTTGTTTAGGCTGGTGTCTTCCT